GATAACAACCTCTCCCTCAACGTGATCAAGACAAAGTAGATGATTGTGGACTACAGGAAAAAGAAGAGGACCGAGCACGCCCCCATTCTCATCGATGGGGCTGTAGTGGAGCAGGTTGAGAGCTTCAAGTCCCTTGGTGTCCACATCACCAACAAGCTATTATGGTCCAAACACACCAAGACAGTCGTGAAGAGGGCACGACAAAGCCTATTCCCCTCAGGAGACTGAAAGAATTTGGCATGGGTCCTCAGATCCTCAAAAGATTTTACAGCTGCACCATCGAGAGCATCCTGACTGGTTGCATCACTGCCTGGTATGGCAACTGCTCGGCCTCCGACCGCAAGGCACAGAGGGTAGTGCGTACAGCCCAGTACATCACTGGGGCCAAGCTTCCTGCCATCCAGGACCTCTATACCAGGCAGGGTCAGAGGAAGGCCTTACAAATTGTCAAAGACTCCAGCCACCCTAGTCATAGACTGTTCTCTCTGCTACCGCACGGCAAGCGGTACCAGAGCGCCAAGTCTAGGTCCAAAATGCTTCTTAACAGCTTCTACCCCCAAGCCATAAGACTCCTGAACAGCTGATGAAATAGCTACCCGAAGTATTTGCATTGTCCCCCCCCCCCCCACCCCCTTTTTTACGCTGCTGTTACTCTCTGTTTATTATCTATGCATAGTCACTTTAACTCTACCTACATGTACATAAATTATTACCTCAATTACCTTGACTAACCTGTGCCCCCGCAAATTGACTCTGTACCGGTACCCCTATATATAGCCGTGCTACTGTTATTTTACTGCTGCCCTTTAATTATTTTCTATTTTTATTTTGTACTTATCTATTTTTTACTTAACACAATTTTTCTTAAAACTGCATTGTTTGTTAAGGGCTTGTAAGTAAGCATTTCACTGTTGTATTCGGCGCATGTGACAAGTAAAATTTGATGTGATTTGATTTGGTTGGTGAGCGGACCCCAGACCTCACAACCATAAAGGGCAATGGGTTCTATAACTGATTCAAGTATTTTTAGCCAGATCCTATTTGGTATGTCACATTTTATGTTCCTTTTGATGCCGTAGAAGGCCCTTCTTGCCTTGTCTCTTAGATCGTTCACAGCTTTGTGGAAGTTACCTGTGGCGCTGATGTTTTGGCCGAGGTATGTAGACATTTGACTTCAGATTCTCTCGCCCCATTGGGAATTCTCACATACACAGGCAGCTGAGCCTAGAGTCCTGCAGGTCTGATCTGTGTGTAGAGGCCCTATATAATCAGTATTATACTTCTATGAGAGGCCCTCTGGCTGTAAGCTATGCAGCCATAGTCATCAGAGCAGGGATTCCACTCAAAGGCTCTGATTAGGAGACACATGAAGCTGCTGGGTATTTCTAAGGGTATTTTGAGCTATCTCACTTGCTTAATAGATTTGCTGCTCAGACAGCCTCTTCCCTGCGTCTTGATTGGCTGCTGACACCTCTCTGACCTATCTGTGGGTGTGACCCCTGATGCTGTGTTGTTGAGAAGAGAAGAGGAGAGGAGAGGGAACTGGCAGCTGCTGCTGTTTTCCTGGAAGTAGGAGTGGGGAGATGATAGAGGGATTTCACTGTGACCTTGTCTGATATACTCCTGAGAGCCCGGCTCCATACAGAATTTATGTCTCCCAAACTGAAATGTCATTAATCTCCCTGCTCTGCTCTGCTCTACCCTACAGCATCTGGGAGAGAGGCACTCCGATTGAAACAAGGTTGTTTGTCTCCTTTACAATGGGACTGCAGAACAATACAAAGACTAATACATGGAGAATGTGGCTTCTGGAAAGCAGGTTGTTCTGCCTGTGCCATGTCTATTGTTTTTGTTGTTGTGTGTTTTGGGTGGAAAACAAAAATGAGTGGTGGGCGTGGTCTGTTGGCTGTGAATCATCACCCAGCTGCCCCTGGTCTCAACCTGCTCTGCTGACAAAATACTAAACTTTGTAAGTTACAGTAAACTCTTGATTTGTACAGGGACAATGTAATTCACGGACTACTTATAGTTACATAGAGCAGCCCAATGTTTGGGGACAATAACAGCTTTACAAGATAATTGCTGCATCTTGGTATTTTTTGTGGTATTTAATGTGGTATTTACAAGGAATAAAACCGGAAAAACTAAAAGGATGAACAAGTATCTTGTTAATTTAATTTTCCTGTGTTTGTGATGCTGTGACTACTATGGGACTTAGTTATCAGCAGAGGCTGAACAATGGCTGTATTGATTGAGCTTCAAAGGATTGAGTATAATAGAAAAACGTTTTAGTTATCACAAGGGTACATTCACATTTTTACCACTATTTTATCAGAATTTTCATTTTCATGGGGGAATGATTGACTTCTATTTACAAGACCCCTCTAATACAACCTCCAAGAGAGAGGAATATGGCCTTACAGACACTATAAACTCAGACACAGCTCAGATCTTACCTCGTCCTTACATGGAAATAGGACACACTTACATTCAAACTAATTATCTTAAATAATTTTGAGCGCAGATGGCAGAGCAGCTAATTATTTAGTGCAAATTGTCTTCACACAAACATGTTCCTCACAGTGTTCGTTGGCGCAGTGGGGATGTGCAGGGAGCCTATCAATATTTATTAGTGAGAGACTATTCTATTGCTGACTGAGCACCAACCCATAATGTCATGATGTGTGATCCAGCACGTTTTGGTTTCAGAGCAGTATCTGTTTATTGCATGTTCATAAGTCCACCCAATGTTGGGTGGATGGTATGAAGGATGTAGCCGTACAGTGAGGGAGTAAAGTATTTGATCCCCTGCTGATTTTGTACGTTTGCCCACTGACAAAGACATGATCAGTCTATAATTTTAATAGTAGGTTTATTTGAACAGTGAGAGACAGAATAACAACAAAAAAATCCAGAAAAACGCATGTCAAAAATGTTATCAATTGATTTGCATTTTTTAATGAGGGAAATAAGTATTTGACCCCTCTGCAAAACATGACTTTGTACTTGGTGGCAAAACCCTTGTTGGCAATCACAGAGGTCAGACATTTCTTGTAGTTGGCCACCAGGATTGCACACATCTCAGGAGGAATTTTGTCCCACTCCTCTTTGCAGATCTTCTCCAAGTCATTAAGGTTTCGAGGCTGACGTTTGGCAACTCGAACCTTCAGCTCCCTCCACAGATTTTCTATGGGATTAAGGTCTGGAGACTGGCTAGGCCACTCCAGGACCTTAATGTGCTTCTTCTTGAGCCACTCCTTTGTTGCTTTGGCCGTGTGTTTTGGGTCATTGTCATGCTGGAATACCCATCCACGACCCATTTTCAATGCCCTGGCTGAGCGAAGCAGGTTCTCACCCAAGATTTGACGGTACATGGCCCCGTCCATCGTCCCTTAGATGCGGTGAAGTTGTCCTGTCCCCTTAGCAGATAAACACCCCCAAAGCATAATGTTTCCACCTCCATGTTTGACGGTGGGGATGGTGTTCTTGGGGTCATAGGCAGCATTCCTCCTCCTCAAAACACGGCGAGTTGAGTTGATGCCAAAGAGCTCGATTTTGGTCTCATTTGACCACAACACTTTCACCCAGTTATCCTCTGAATCATTCAGATGTTCATTGGCAAACTTCAGACAGCCCTGTATATGTGCTTTCTTGAGCAGGGGGACCTTGCGGGCGCTGCAGGATTTCAGTTTTCTTGGTGACTATGGTCCCAGCTGCCTTGATATCATTGACAAGATCCTCCCGTGTAGTTCTGGGCTGATTCCTCACCGTTCTCATGATCATTGCAACTCCACGAGGTGAGATCTTGTATGGAGCCCCAGGCCGAGGGAGATTGACAGTTATTTTGTGTTTCTTTCATTTGCAAAGAATCGCACCAACTGTTGTCACCGTCTCACCAAGCTGCTTGGCGATGGTCTTGTAGCCCATTTCAGCCTTGTGTAGGTCTACAATGTTGTCCCTGACATCCTTGGAGAGCTCTTTGGTCTTGGACATGGTGGAGAGTTTGGAATCTGATTGATTGATTGCTTCTGTGGACAGGTGTCTTTTATACAGGTAACAAACTGAGATTAGAAGCACTCCCTTTAAGAGTGTCCTGCTAATCTCAGCTCGTTACCTGTATAAAAGACACCTGGGAGCCAGAAATCTTTCTGATTGAGAGGGGGTCAAATACTTATTTCCCTCATTAAAATGCAAATCAATTTATAGCATTTTTGACATGCGTTTTTCTGGATTTTGTTGTTGTTATTCTGTCTCTCACTGTTCAAATAAACCTACCATTCAAATTATAGACTGATCATTTCTTTGCCAGTGGGCAAACGTACAAAATCAGCAGGGGATCAAAAACGTTTTTCCCTCACTGTATTTGTCATGTGTCTTTTCTATTATTCAATGTATTAAAGATGACTGTGCAGTGTGGGTAGACACATAGACTAGAGGTCTTACACCTACAGAGTTATTTCAGCTAGTACTACCTTGTTAACATACTTTGTACATTTTTGCAATAGTGAAAAAGTCAAATGGAAAATCTATGCCAACAGTAAATTGTATGAGCCCTAATATTTACCATTGACTTTCCCCAGTAAATCTCCTTTGCCCAAGAAATATAGCTATAGCAGTTGTTGTCAAGAGCAGAATATGACATTTTTATATGTGTGAAATGACTCTATACTTCACCTTGGTGAATTAGTAGTGTGTGGGACTGGCAGTGAGGTATGCTGGTATTACTGTGCTGTGTAACAGTGTGAATGGAGACTTTGACTCAGGTTGGCTAATTGCACTTAACTTTATCTGAGAAAATTAAGTGTGGTTCAGCATGGCTGCGGCTAATTACATTTCATCTTCTGCGGTGCTGTCCTGACCTAATCAGGAGGCTGGTCAGGCGAGGGCCAAGCAATGGGGAGATTATTTAAAGCAGAGTGGGTCAGAGGAATGCTCGGCTAGTTTATGTTGTCTCACTTCTCTCTCTCTCCTCCCTCTCCCCGACCCCTCCCCCACTACAGTGCAGTGTCTGGAGATGACGACTAAGAGGAAGATCATTGGGCGCCTGGTGCCGTGCAGGTGCTTCCGGGGTGAGGAGGAGGTCATCTCAGTGCTGGACTACTCCCACTGCAGCCTGCAGCAGGTGCCCAAGGAGATCTTCAGCTTCGAGCGCACGCTGGAGGAGCTCTACTTGGACGCCAACCAGATCGAGGAGCTGCCCAAGGTGGGTTCTGATGGGGCTGGGGCCTGAGGGCCGGGCTTGGGCCTGAGGGGCTGTGGCCTGAGGCCTGGGGCTGAGGCTGTGGCCTGTGGGCCAGGGCTGGGGCTGAGGCTTGGGTCTGAGAGCTGGGGCTGGGGCCTGAGGGGTTGGGGCTGAGGCTGGGGCTGGGGGGATGAAATGGGTGAAGTGTAGAAAAGGGGCTCTATAAAGCCAAGTCATAGTTAAGACCACACAGCCATTCCCTTGAATTTCCCCCACATTACAAAGCATGGCATAATTATTGATGTCAACATTATCTGTCTCTCTTCATGTGGCGCTCAATGTTGATTGTCTAAATAAGTTGCCAAGCCAACCAAACCCCCACAGAACAAAGAGTGGCGTAATGACCTTCCTGTCTGTAAATGAGCTGTTAATAAAGCAGAGAGCAAAACACACACAGAGATGGAGAGAGAGAGAGAGGGAGAGGGAGGGGGAGAGGGAGGGGAGTGAGGGAGGGAGGGGGAGAGTGATGGGAGGGAGGGAGGGGGAGGGAGGGAGGGGCTGATTGGTTGTAGTGTGGCGTTCTTGTTTTCCGCTTTATTTAGTGCGTTTGCTTTGCTATTCTTCTCCTCTCTTCTCTCGCTCTACACTCTCTCGCTCTCTCATCTCTCTCTACTCTCGCTCTCTCTCTCGCTTCTCGCTCCTCTATCTCTCTCTATCTCTCGCTCTACTCTCTCAGCTCTCTCTCTCTATCCTCTCTTATCCTCATCGACTCTCTCTCACTTGAAGATTATGTCTCTCTCTTTTTGCTCGTGCAGGAGCGAAAGGGGGTTGGGGCTGAATAAGCACCATGGACAGCTCCCAGTCAGTGAGAGAGCAGTTTAAGAGTTTCTTTCCAAAATGCTATATTTTCAGAAATGTTGGTAAATTAACTTTTATTTTTTAAAGAACTTATGAAAGAGATTGTTTTTTTTCTTCACTTCAATGACAGACATGTATTTGTTTGAAATCTATCACTTGATGGTTTCATTTCAGAGAGACAAATAATCATGTTTTTTTGCAAAACGCTATATATCCGACTCACTCTCAGAGAAATACGTAGTACTGCTAGGTTTTACATAGTCAAATGTAGCAAATAACTACATTTTTTATAAAGAACTGTACAATTAATATATTTGTGACATCAATATTTAAGAAAAATATGTTTAAAAAAATGAATCAATACAGTAATCTGTATGTAAAACATTTACATTTGACATTTTAGTCATTTATGCAGTAAGTGCATTCATCTTAAGATAGCCAGGTGAGACACCCACATATCACAGACAAATATACAATATACAAAGTTCATTCCAGCTAAACAATGGAGATGTAGAGTTTTGTAAAAAAAAAACATTTTATACACACAGTTAAAATATATGAATAAAAAGTAATATTTCACACACACATGAAGGTACCCATAAGCAATCATTTCTGATTTAAAAAATACATGTGTGAAAAATTGGTGGATATAGCGTTTCGAAAATAAACTCTTCAGTTTCTCATAGAGCAAAGGAGTATATGGGGGATAGTTGCTGTGGCACTCTGCGTCTGAATCCCCCACTCAATGGACTTGCTGACTTTTATCTAACCTTCACATTGAATAGAAGACAATACATTCAGTGAATGTAGCTTTCATTAATACTTTCCAAGGAGATCTATTACAATCTAGATTATATTCTGTTCTGACAATAGTGTCTTTGTTTGAAATAGAAACTCCTGGATGAATACATCGTAGCATTTAATACAATTATGACATTCAATGAAGTTCAATACAAAATTGTCTGAATGTGTACAGTTATATCCTTCAGAGAGGTTCAGTGGAATTATTAATTATTATTAGTTTTATACATTTCACAGTGTATTGTGTTCATCAGCCAACTCCCAATTAGATGCATTAAGTTATGAACAAATCAAGGTTTTCAGTGAGGTTTGTTCAGAGTCCAGAGTGGTTCCTCACAGGGTTGTGTAAGAACCAGGCATTGATAGATCCAAAGTGTGTGGTCTTTTATGTAAGTGTGGCTTGTGTATATCAGAGTGATGCCTTGGGCAAGACTGGACAGCGCTGGCTCTCCTGATCCTCTCCAGTACCCATTGTTGTAGATACTCCCCCTCTGGCTATTATAGCTCTTAAAGAGTAATGGCCTCTCATAATGGGCCTGTTACAGTAATGTCTCCCTGGCTGTGTCTCAAATGGCATCCTCTTCCCTATGTAGTGCACTACTTTTGACCAGAGCCCTATGGGCCCTGGTCAAAGGTAATGTACTGTATATGGAATAAGGTGCCATTTGGGATGCAGACCCTTAGAACTTCTCCCTCTCTAATCTCTCCTCTACATGGAGAAAGGAATGGACTACAGAGATGGGAGGAAGCGCTTGTTGATACTTTATTGGCTGGCTTTGTTTATTCGTTTTCTGTACATTTATCAATGTAAAAGTTGATCTATTCATTATTTATGTTACAGTTAGAATGGTAATTGTTAACCTGTTATCTCAAACATACTGCATACGGCATGATGCACATGCACATTAACTCTGCATAGCACCCTTTTCACCTTCTACCTCCCTCCCTCCCTCCCTCCCTCCCTCCCTCCCTCCCTCCCTCCCTCCCTCCCTCCCTCCCTCCCTCCCTCTTTCTCTCTATGCTTTCTCTCTCTCTCCCTCCCTCCTCTATGCTCCATCTCTATCTCTCTCACCCTCGCTCTCTCTGAGGAGGACTGATGTGGCTCTCTCCCTCCCTCCATATGTAGCTGTGGAGTACTAATGTTGTCCTAGAAGGTTACTCAACAGAGAGTTGTTGCTCTTACAGTGAACAAGAGGAAACATGTCAGAACATTGAAAGAGATGTTGCCTCAGCGTTTCTCTCATGTTTCTCATTTAATAACAGCACAGCAGGATCATTAGAGACCGGCCTTATTGAAACTCAATGCATGAAATCTCACGAAGTCTACACTCTTTCAACTCAGGAGGCTAAGAGATTGATATAACACCAGTATAACTTGTGTTTCTGTTCTGCCCCTCTCTCTCCATAGCAACTATTTAACTGTCAGGCTCTCCGGAAGCTGAGCATACCTGACAATGACCTGTCAAACCTACCAACCACCATAGCCAGCCTTGTAAACCTGAGGGAGTTAGACATCAGTAAAAACGGTAAGCGAGTGAGATGTGATGTCCACAGGAATCTCTGCTAGTTTCTATTCTGATATATTCTAAATTGTTGACTCTAAACTGATACTGTCACTCTAAATATTAGCATGATGTACAATATGACGAGGCATGAGTGTTAAAAATGTGTGTTCATTTGTTATGAATGACAAACATGTTTCCATTCCATTCCATCTTTAGGTATTCAAGAGTTCCCAGACAACATTAAATGCTGTAAATGCCTATCTGTTGTGGAGGCCAGTGTAAATCCTATTACCAAGTAAGTGAAGAGAGAAGTGTATCATTGTGGTGGAATGGCTGTAGTCTATAGGGACAATGGTAATGTTGTATTATCAATGCCAACAGCTGTGTCTGTTGCTACAGTGAGGGAAAAAAGTATTTGATCCCCTGCTGATTTTGTATGTTTGCCCACTGACAAAGACATGATCAGTCTATAATTTTAATGGTAGGATTATTTGAACAGTGAGAGACAGAATAACAACAAAAAAAATCAGAAAAACGCATGTCAAAAATGTTATAAATTGATTTGCATTTTAATGACGGAAATAAGTATTTGACCTCTCTGCAAAACATGACTTAGTACTTGGTGGCAAAACCCTTGTTGGCAATCACAGAGGTCAGATGTTTCTTGTAGTTGGCCACCAGGTTTGCACACATCTCAGGAGGGATTTTGTCCCACTCCTCTTTGCAGATCTTCTCCAAGTCATTAAGGTTTCGAGTCTGACGTTTGGCAACTCGAACCTTCAGCTCCCTCCACAGATTTTCTATGGGATTAAGGTCTGGACACTGGCTAGGCCACTCCAGGATCTTAATGTGCCTCTTCTTGAGCCACTCCTTTGTTGCCTTGGCCGTGTGTTTTGGGTCATTGTCATGCTGGAATACCCATCCACGACCCATTTTCAATGCCCTGGCTGAGGGAAGGAGGTTCTCACCCAAGATTTGACGGTACATGGCCCCGTCCATTGTCCCTTTGATACGGTGAAGTTGTCCTGTCCCCTTAGCAGAAAAACACCCCCAAAGCATAATGTTTCCACCTCCATGTTTGACGGTGGGGATGGTGTTCTTGGGGTCATAGGCAGCATTCCTCCTCCTCCAAACACGGCGAGTTGAGTTGATGCCAAAGACCTCGATTTTGGTCTCATCTGACCACAACACTTTCACCCAGTTCTCCTCTGAATCATTCAGATGTTCATTGGCAAACTTCAGACGGGCCTGTATATGTGCTTTCTTGAGCAGGGGGACCTTGCGGGCGCTGCAGGATTTCAGTCCGTTACGGCGTAGTGTGTTACCAATTGTTTTCTTGGTGACTATGGTCCCAGCTGCCTTGAGATCATTGACAAGATCCTCCCGTGTAGTTCTGGGCTGATTCCTCACCGTTCTCATGATCATTGCAACTCCACGAGGTGAGATCTTGCATGGAGCCCCAGGCTGAGGGAGATTGACAGTTCTTTTGTGTTTCTTCCATTTGCGAATAATCGCACCAACTGTTGTCACCTTCTCACCAAGCTGCTTGGCGATGGTCTTGTAGCCCATTCCAGCCTTGTGTAGGTCTACAATCTTGTCCTTGACATCCTTGGAGAGCTCTTTGGTCTTGGCCATGGTGGAGAGTTTGGAATCTGATTGATTGATTGCTTCTGTGGACAGGTGTCTTTTATAAAGGTAACAAACTGAGATTAGTAGCACTCCCTTTAAGAGTGTGCTCCTAATCTCAACTCGTTACCTGTATAAAAGACACCTGGGAGCCAGAAATCTTTCTGATTGAGAGGGGGTCAAATACTTATTTCCCTCATTAAAGTGCAAATCAATTTATAACATGCGTTTTTCTGGATTTTTTTGTTGTTATTCTGTCTCTCACTGTTCAAATAAACCTACCATTAAAATTATAGACTGATCATTTCTTTGTCAGTGGGCAAACGTACAAAATCAGCAGGGGATCAAATACTTTTTTCCCTCACTGTATGTGCCAAGCAACAATCACAGATTACTTCAATAAAAAACAACCATGAATATTCCTATGAATATGCTTTCTGTCAAATTGGCTGTAGAAATAATGGCTAAACAAAAAAACAAAAAAATGGTCACCTCATGGGAACTTTTAAATTAACTGATAAAAAAGAATGAGGAAAATAACTACATGGGAGACTGTTGTATTTGTGTATCTGAGGCTTTTGTCTGAATTGAAATGTTTAGCATAGAAGAATAGAAACAATGTCATCGCTGTTTACGTAAGACATTTCTTTCCTGCATTGTGTAAATACTGTATGCCATTTGTTAAATATTGAGTAGTTTCCTGTCCTTACAGAGGGTAATGCAGGTCTCTCTGGTAGTTCTTGACATAATGCATTTGTTGTTGGGAAATCATAGGTTGACAAATAAATGGGTCCTCGTAGACTTCTAACTGCCTCTCTCTTTCAATTCAATTCAATTCAATGGGGCTTTATTGGCATGGGAAACATACAGTGGGGAGAACAAGTATTTGATACACTGCCGATTTTGCAGGTTTTCCTACTTACAAAGCATGTAGAGGTCTGTAATTTTTATCATAGGTACACTTCAACTGTGAGAGACGGAATCTAAAACAAAAATCCAGAAAATCACATTGTATGATTTTTAAGTAATTAATTTGCATTTTATTGCATGACATAAGTATTTGATCACCTACCAACCAGTAAGAATTCCGGCTCTCACAGACCTGTTAGTTTTTCTTTAAGAAGCCCTCCTGTTCTCCACTCATTACCTGTATTAACTGCACCTGTTTGAACTCGTTACCTGTATAAAAGACACCTGTCCACACACTCAATCAAACAGACTCCAACCTCTCCACAATGGCCAAGACCAGAGAGCTGTGTAAGGACATCAGGGATACAATTTTAGACCTGCACAAGGCTGGGATGGGCTACAGGACAATAGGCAAGCAGCTTGGTGAGAAGGCAACAACTGTTGGCGCAATTATTAGAAAATGGAAGAAGTTCAAGATGACGGTCAATCACCCTCGGTCTGGGGCTCCATGCAAGATCTCACCTCGTGGGGCATTAATGATCATGAGGAAGGTGAGGGATCAGCCCAGAACTACACGGCAGGACCTGGTCAATGACCTGAAGAGAGCTGGGACCACAGTCTCAAAGAAAACCATTAGTAACACACTACGCCGTCATGGATTAAAATCATGCAGCGCACGCAAGGTCCCCCTGCTCAAGCCAGCGCATGTCCAGGCCCGTCTGAAGTTTGCCAATGACCATCTGGATGATCCAGAGGAGGAATGGGAGAAGGTTATGTGGTCTGATGAGACAAAAATAGAGCTTTTTGGTCTAAACTCCACTCGCCGTGTTTGGAGGAAGAAGAAGGATGAGTAAAACCCCAAGAACACCATCCCAACGGTGAAGCATGGAGGTGGAAACATCATTCTTTGGGGATGCTTTTCTGCAAAGGGGACAGGACGACTGCACTGTATTGAGGGGAGGATGGATGGGGCCATGTATCGCGAGATCTTGGCCAACAACCTCCTTCCCTCAGTAAGAGCATTGAAGATGGGTCGTGGCTGGGTCTTCCAGCATGACAACGACCCAAAACACACAGCCAGGGCAACTAAGGAGTGGCTCCGTAAGAAGCATCTCAAGGTCCTGGAGTGGCCTAGCCAGTCTCCAGACCTGAGCCCAATAGAACATCTTTGGAGGGAGCTGAAAGTCCGTATTGCCCAGCGACAGCCCCGAAACCTGAAGGATCTGGAGAAGGTCTGTATGGAGGAGTGGGCCAAAATCCCTGCTGCAGTGTGTGCAAACCTGGTCAAGACCTACAGGAAACGTATGATCTCTGTAATTGCAAACAAAGGTTTCTTTACCAAATATTAAGTTCTGCTTTTCTTATGTATCAAATACTTATGTCATGCAATAAAATGCAAATTAATTACTTAAAAATCATACAATGTGATTTTCTGGATTTTTGTTTTAGATTCCGTCTCTCACAGTTGAAGTGTACCTATGATAAAAATTACAGACCTCTACATGCTTTGTAAGTAGGAAAACCTGCAAAATCGCAGTGTATCAAATACATGTTCTCCCCACTGTATGTTTACATTGCCAAAGTAAGTGAAATGGAAAAACAAAAGTCAAATAAACAATAACAGTAAATATTACACTCACAAGTTCCAAAATAATAAAGACAATTCAAATATCATATTATGTCTATATACAATGTTGTAACAATGTGCAAATAGTTAAAGTACAAAAGGGAAAAGAAATCAACATAAATATGGGTTGTATTTACAATGGTGTTTGTTCTTCACTGGTTGCCCTTTTCTTGTGGCAACAGGTCACCAATCTTGCTGCTGTGATTGCACACTGTGGTATTTCATCCAATAGATATGAGTTTATCAAAATGTGAATTGTTTTGTAGGTCTGTGTAATCTGAGAGAAATATGTGTCTCTAATATGGTCATACATTTTGCAGAAGGTTAGGAAGTGCAGCTCAGTTTCCACCTCATTTTGTGGGCAGTGTGCACATTGCCTGTCTTCTCTTGAGAGCCAGGTCTGGCTACGGCGACCTTTCTCTGTAGCAAGGCTATGCTCACTGAGTCTGTACCTACACTACCAGTCAAAAGTTTGGACACAGCTACTCATTTAAGGGTTTTTCTTTATTTGTAAAAAATGTTACGTTGTAGAATAATAGTGAAGACATCAAATCTATGAAATAACACACATGGAATCATGTAGTAACCAAGAAAGTGTTAAGATCCAATTTCTTCATAGCGCTTGATGGTTTTTGCGACTGCACTTGAAGAAACTTTCAAAGTTCTTGAAATGTTCCGTATTGACCGACCTTCATGTCTTAAAGTAATGATGGACTGTCGTTTCTCTTTGCTTATTTGAGCTGTTCTTGCCATAATATGGACTTGGTCTTTTACCAAATAGGGCTATCTTCTGTATACCCCCCCTACCTTGACACAACACAACTGATTGGCTCAAACGCATTAACTTTTAAGAAGGCAGACCTGTTAATTGAAATGCATTCCAGGTGACTACCTCATGAAGCTGGTTGAGAGAGTGCCAAGAGTGTGCAAAGCTGTCATCAAGGCGAAGGGTGGCTATTTGAAGAATCTCAAATAAAATATATTTTGATTTGTTTAACACGTTTTTTGTTACTACATTATTCCATAAGTGTTAATTCATAGTTCTGATGTCTTCACTATTATTATACAATCTAGAAAATAGTAAAAATTAAGAAAAAACTTTGAATGAGTAGGTGTGTCCAAACTTTTGACTGGTACTGTAGTCGAAGCTCTCCTTCATTTTGGGTCAGTCACAGTGGTCAGGTATTCTGCCACTGTGTACTCTCTGTTTAGGGCCAAATAGCATTGTAGTTTGCTCTGTTTTCTCATGATTTGGTTGGGTCTAATTGTGTTGCTGTCCTAGGTCTCTGTGGGGTCTGTTTGTGTTTGTGAACAGAGCCCCAGGACCAGCTTGCTTAGGGGACTCTTTTCCAGGTTAATCTCTCTGTAGTTGATGGCTTTGTTATGGAAGGTTTGTGAATCGCTTCCTTTTAGGGGGTTGTAGAATTTAATGGCTCTTTTCTGGATTTTGATCATTAGCGGGTATCGGTCTAATTCTGCTCTGCATGCATTATTTTGTGTTTTACGTTGTATGCTGAGAATATTTTCGCTGAATTCTGCATGTAGAGTCTCAATTTGTTTTTTTGTCCCATTTTGTGAATTCTTGGTTGATGTGTGGACCCGAGACCTCACAACCATAAAGGGCAATGGGTTCTATAACTGATTCAAGTATTTTTAGCCAGATCCTAAATGGTATGTCACATTTTGTGTTCCTTTTGATGGCATGGAAGGCCCTTCTTGCCTTGTCTCTCAGATCGTTCACAGCTTTGTGGAAGTTACCTGTGGCGTTGATGTTTAGGCCGAGGTATGTATAGTTTTTTGTGTGCTCTAGGGAAACAGTGTCTAGATGGAATTTGTATTTGTGGTCCTGGCAACTGGACTTTTTTTAGAACACCATAATTTTTTGTATTACTGAGATTTACTGTCAGGGCCCAGGTCTGACAGAATCTGTGCAGAAGATCTAGGTGCTGCTGTAGGCCCTCCTAGGTTGGGGACAGAAGAACCAGATAATCAGCAAACAGTAGACATTTGACTTCAGATTCTAGTAGGGTGAGGCTGGGTGCTGCAGACTGTTCTAGTGCCCTTGCCAATTCGTTGATATATACAGTACCAGTCAAAAGTTTGGACACACCTACTCATTCAAGGGTTTTTCTTTATTTTTACTATTTTCTACATTGTAGAATAATAGTGAAGACATCAAAACTATGAAATAACACATATGGAATCATGTAGTAATCAAAGAAGTGTTAAACAAATCAAAATATATTTTATATTTGAGATTCTTCAAATAGCCACCCTTTTCCTTGATGACAGCTTTGCATATGCTTGGCATTCTCTCAACCAGCTTTACCTGGAATGCTTTTCCAACAGTCTTGAAGGAGTTCCCACATATGCTGAGCACCTGTTGGCTGCTTTTCCTTCACTCTGCCGTCCGACTCATCCCAAACCATCTCAACTGGGTTGAGTTCGGGGGATTGTGGATGCCAGGTCATCTAATGCAGCACTCCGTCACTCTCCTTCTTGGTCTAATAGCCCTTACACAGCCTGGAGGTGTGTTGGGTCAATGTCCTGTTGAAAAACAAATGATAGTCCCACTAAGCCCAAACCAGATGGGATGGTGTATCGCTGCAGAATGCTGTGGTAGCCATGCTGGTTAAGTGTTGCCTTGAATTCTAAATAAATCACAGACAGTGTCACCAGCAAAGCACCCCCACACCATAACACCTCCTCCTCCATGCTTTATGGTGGGAACTACACATGCGGACATCATCCGTTCACCCACACCGCGTCTCACAAAGACACGGTTGTTGGAACCAAAAATCTTAAATTTGGACAAATTTCCATCGGTCTAATGTCCATTGCTCGTGTTTCTTGGCCCAATCAGGTCTCTTCTTATAATTGGTGTCCTGTAGTAGTGGTTTCTTTGCAGCAATTCGACCATGAAGGCCTGATTCACACAATCCCCCACGATCAGTTTATGTTGAGATGTGTCTGTGACTTGAACTCTGTGAAGCATTTATTTGGGCTGCAATTTCTGAGGCTGGTAACTCTAATAAATGTATCCTCTGCAGCAGAGGTAACTCTGGCTCTTCCATTCCTGTGGCGGTCCTCATGAGAGCTAGTTTCATCATAGCGCTTGATGGTTTTTGCGACTGCACTTGAAGAAACTTTCAAAGTTCTTGAAATGTTCCTTATTGACTGACCTTCATGTCTTAAAGTAATGATGGACTGTCATTTCTCTTTGCTTATTTGAGCTGTTCTTGCCATAATATGGACTTGGTCTTTTACCAAATAGGGCTATCTTCTGTATACCCCCCCTACCTTGTCATAATACAACTGATTGGCCCAAATGCATTAAGAAGGCACACCTGTTAATTGAAATGCATTCCAGGTGACTACCTCATGAAGCTGGTTTAGAGAATGCCAAGTGTGTCCAAAGCTGTCATCAAGGCAAAGGGTGGCTATTTGAAGAATCTCAAATATAAAATATATTTTGATTTGTTTAACACTTTTTTGGTAACTACATGATTCCATATGTGTTATTTCATAATTTTTATGTCTTCACTATTATTCTACTAGGTAGAAAATAGTGAAAATAAAGAAAAACCCTTGAATGACTAGGTGTGTCCAAACTTTTTACTGGTGCTGTATGTTGAAGAGGGTGGGGCTTAAGCTGCATCCCTGTCTCACCCCACGGCCCTGTGGAAATAAATGTTTGTGTTTTTTTTACCAATTTTAACCGCACACTTGTTGTTTGTGTACATGGATTTCATAATGTCGTATGTTTTTCCCCCAACCCCACTTTCCATCAATTTGTATAGCAGATCCTCATGCCAAATTGAGTCAAAAGCTTTTTTGAAGTCAACAAAGCATGATAAGACTTTGCCTTTGTTTTTGTTTGTTTGTTTGTCAATTAGGGTGAATACGTGGTGTGTCAAATGGTAATTTGGTCAAAAGCCAATTTGACATTTGCTCAGTACATTGTTTTCACTTAGGAAATTTACAAGTCTGCTGTTAATGATAATACAGAGTATTTTCCCAAGGTTTCTGTTGTGGTGAGTGATTTTGAAGGAGTCAGGCGCAGGAGGGTAAATCACAGAATAAAAGTGTTTATTCCGAAAACACAGAGTACGCAGCAATGCGTCAAACACTCCAGTGCGTAAAACAGGCGCACTGGGAAACAACAAGGCACACGGGTGAAATATCCCGGGGAAACAAAATACAAGGAGCTCCATCGAGCTAAACTAACCTCCACAATAAACAATCACACACAAAGACAAGGGGGCAGAGGGAAGACTTATACAGGTACTGATGAGGGGATATGAACCAGGTGTGTGTAATAAACAAGACAAAACAAATGGAATGATGAGATGAGGAGCGGCAGTGGCTAGAAGGCTGGTGACGACGAACGCCGAAGCCTGCCCGAACAAGTTTAGGAGGCAGCTTTGGAGGAAGTCGTGACAGCTGTTGACGCATATCCTACGGTAGTTATTGGAGTCAAATTTGTCTCCACTTTTGTGGATTGGGGTTATCAGTCCTTGGTTCTAAATATTGGGGAAGATGCCAGAGCTGAGGATGATGTTAAAGAGTTTAAGTATAGCCAATTGGAATTTGTGGTCTGCATATTTTATCATTTCATGTAGGATACCATCAACACCACAGGCCTTTTTGGGTTGAAGGGTTTGTATTTTGTCCTGTAGTTCATTCAATGTAATTGGAGAATCAAGTGGGTTCTGGTAGTCTTTAATAGTTGATTCTAAGATTAGCATTTTATCGTGTATATTTTTTTGCTGTTTGTTCTTTGTTATAGGGCCAAAAAGATTGGAGAAGTGGTTTACCCATACATTTATGTTGTCGTAATTGTGCTTAGGGGGGCATATGGGGGAGGGAATGCTGTCTCCTCCAGGTAGGTGTTTGTCCCCCTGTGTGCTGAGGGTGTCAGGTTCTTGTCCAGCTCTGGCATTTAGGTCGCCACTGACTAGTACATGTCCCTGGGTCTGGAAATGATTGATTTCCCCCTCCAGGATGGAGAAGCTGTCTTCATTAAAGTATGTGGATTTTAGTGGGGAGATATAGGTAGCACACAGGATGATACCATCAACACCACAGGCCTTTTTGGGTTGAAGGGTTTGTATTTTGTCCTGTAGTTTATTCAATGTAATTGGAGAATCCAGTGGGTTCTGATAGTCTTTAATAGCTGATTCTAAGATTTGTAATTGATCATGTATATATTTTTGCAGTTTTTTCTTTGAGAGCAAAAAAGATTGGATAAATGATTTATCCACACATCTCCGTTTTGAATAGATAACTCTTCGTGTTGTTTTTTGTTTAGTGTGTTCCAATTTTCCCAGAAGTGGTTAGATTCGATGGATTCTTCAATTACATTGAGCTGATTTCTGACGTGCTGTTCCTTCTTTTTCCGTAGTGTATTTCTGTGAAGGCATAGACTTTCTGGGTCTCTATGTTTTTGGGTGGATAGGTTTCTCAATTTCTTTCTTAGGTTTTTGCATTCTTCATCAAACCATTTGTCATTGTTGTTCATTTTCTTAGGTTGTGTGCTTGACATTTTTTGATTTGATAGGGAAGATGAAAGGTCAAATATACTGTTTAGGCTTTCTACTGCCAAGTTCACTATTACAGTGAAATGTTTTGTCCAGGAAGTTACCTGAAAGGGATTGAATTTGTTGTTGCCTATGTTTTTTGGTAGGTTTCTACACTACTTTCCTTCCATCTATAGCATTTCTTAATATTGTGCAGTTCCTTTGGCTTTGATGCCTCATGATTGAGTATTGATTGCCCTGTTCAGGTAGACTGTGATTTTGCTGTGATCTGATAGGTGTTAGAGGGCATAGGTCTGATCTGGGGAGGCCTAAATAGGGTGTGGCCAGGGTTTGTTTGGGGTGGTCTCAGCTGGTTGGGTTGTGGCTGGTGAAGCTGTGGTCTGGGTGTAAGTCCTGTTGGCGTGGGTTCTCTCGGTGCAGGTCCTTTGGGAGGGGGTCTTGCAGGTCTGGGAGGGTGTCTCGCTGGTCTGGGCGGGGTGTCCGTTGCACTGTTGCTCCTGTGTGAGGTGCCTGGGCTGCGGTTGAGGGTGACGTCCTTCAGGGTCCTGGCAAAGGTTGGGATTGCTGCCTTGTAGAGGTGGACCTGGTCATAAAGGCTGTTCAAGTCCTGGGTGGAGTGGTGGGCCAGGTAGACATTAGGTTTTGAGGCATAGTCCCGGGAAATGCTTGCGTTCACCCGCTGTATGGTGGCAAGGTGAATGTCTTTTCGTGGTAGCAGTGTGGAGATAACCGCTTGTGCGTTGGGGAAAGTGGAAGAAGCTTTTTCAATCACTCCCTTGAGTGCTGTGGCCACCCTTTCCTGCTGGGCCCTCAAGTCGTTTGTGCCTGTGTGAATTATAATGTGGCTGGGCGACCCTAGTCTTTCCTCTGATAACAGCTCCAGGGCATGCCTAGTGTTTGGGCACCAGAGTTGAGCCACTTTGTGTTTGGGAAAACGTTTATTCTCTAATGTATTTGCTATTTGAGTCAATGAGGAGCACAATTTCTAGCTTTTGTGTGTCCCTAGTGGATGTGTGGGGGTTGTCAGGAGAGCTGACAGGGAGGGGGGTGGGGTCTGTTGGGTTGGTGGGTCCTGTGTTGTCTCTCCCATTGTGGTGTTGAGGTTGTGGTCCGGGTCTGAGGTGGGCTGTTCTGCTGGCTTCTCTGGGGGAGTGTCCTGCTCTCTGTCACACCTCAGCTTTCTCACCTCCTCCTTCAGTGCTGTTAGCTGTGCCATGTGTTCCTCTTCCTCCTCCTTCACTGCTGTTAGCTGTGCCATGTGTTCCTCTCCCTCCTCCTTCACTGCTGTTAGCTGTGCCGTGTGTCTCTCCCTCCTCCTTCACTGCATTTAGCTGTGCCATGTGTTCCTCTCCCTCCTCCTTCATTGCATTTAGCTGTGCCATGTGTTTCTCTCCCTCCTCCTTCACTGCATGTAGCTGTGCCATGTGTTCCTCTCTCTCCTCCTTAAGTTATCTCACCTCAGTCCGGAGTGCAGCCAGCTCTCTGACAGCCGTCCATCTTCTTTTTGTACTTATTCAGTTCAGTGTTATTTTTAATATCCAAGTGGTACTGTACTGTGATGACATCTGCACAGGGATACTTTCTCTCTCTCCCTTTCCATCTCTCCACTGCAGGCTCCCAGAGGGCTTCACCCAGCTCCTCAACCTGACACAGCTCTTCTTAAACGATGCCTTTCTGGAATACCTCCCCGCCAACTTTGGGAGGTGAGTTCAGCCAATGGACTCCCTTGTCCTGGGGCTGTGGGGCCTAGGGCACTCAGCTGCAGAAGGAGAGGCCCTCCTCTGTGTATGGATATGGTTTGGAGCTTTTATTCAGTTACAAGTATGCCTGCACACAACGCCTGGTAAACGTCACTTGCCTGGGGCTTCCATTAATAAAGCAATGGGTTTAGAGACAGATTGATATGTACTGGGGGGGAGGGGCTGATCCAACTCAAGGTGTCATTAAAAAATGCACCCCCCTCCCTAAAGGTACAAATATTTTCACATGACCCTTCCCTTGTACTGTAAAAATTAATTTCATAGAATTAACTCAAAATAATATTTACGACCACAAATAACAATAACTTTAGCGACCATGTGTTTATCAACATGGATATCAACTTTGCCACTTCAGCATGCTTTTGTGGCACAGTCGATACCACGCAGGGCTACGGTCAGAAGGTTGAGGGTTCACTGACCACCACAGACTCTCTCTCCCTGCCTGTTTCATTACACTACGATCAGAGCCGGCTGCAGACAGTGATCAGCTGGGGGGAAATTAGATTTTCAACAGTTTGATACCACATTTATAATTATATAAAATATATGCAACACATTTTCCACCAACAGGTTTCTGTGCCAATGCACCACACAACCAATAAACAAAGCGTACTGACTTCGGGCACTTCAATATCATGGTTTGTGTTTTCAACACCACAATAAATAGACTATGTCAATTTCGACAAACAGAAAATAATTCCCTCCCTACCTTATAGGCTTACCCAGTATCAAAGGCTTGGCTTGACAATCTCTGAATGTCATTAAACTTTTTGGTGTTTTGTATCAGATGTCTCTTTCCATTCACGGCTGCACAGTTTGGATTGATTGATTGATTGATCAGGGATTTATTTCCATTGTGGTCCCTATTTTTTTTTTACATTAATACATATACAATTACATATATACAGACACATTACAGAGATAGAGATTTAAAAAAATGCTCAACCTCCAGATGAGTATGAGGGGGGAGTTTAAGTACAATTCTTACAAGCTTGTTTGGCTGGTAGCTTATTCTTTAGATGTTTGGGGCTGCTGGTGAATAATGATGTGCAGGCATAATCAAAGTAACACTGAACTAGCGCACTTGCCAGGGTCTTTAATGTGTCTATAGCTAGGTTTCCATCCAATTGGCGACAGATTTTAATGTGAATATTCTAAAATCTTCATAAAAACAATATGTCATTTCAGAGTTTCCTTTAGGAAAATTTGGCGCCAGACAACATGACAGGGAATATTTTAATTTACCGGACATTTAAGAAATGTAATGGACATCTATATGCATTCAGATACAACCTGGCGCAGCCAGCGCCATCAATAAACGAGGGACGTTGGCCAAATGAGTCACATTTATTTTCCTAAAACAATAATTGTCCACCTCACGGTTCAGCTGTCAGAGATGAGCACTAAATGTGTCAGGGCATTGCACGCAAAGGCCTATAGGTAGAAAAGGTGCACATTTACATTTACGTAATTTAGCAGAAGCTCTTATCCAGAGCGACTTACAGTTAGTGAGTGCATACATTTTCATACTGGCCCCCCGTGGGAAACGAACCCACAACCCTGGCATTGCAAGCACCATGCTCTACCAACTGAGCTACAGGGCACAATTGTCATACTTGAGTAAAAGTAAAGATACCTTTAAAAATGTAAAAGTGAAAGTCACCAAGGAAAATACCACTTGAGTAAAAGTCTAAAAGTATTTGCTTTTAATTATACTTAAGTATCAAAAGTAAAAGTAAAAGCATAAATAATTTCAAATTCCTTATATTAAGCTAACCAGACGGCACAATTTTCTATTTTATGTTTGTTTATGGATAGCCAGGGGCACACTACAACACGCAGACATGATTTACAAACGAAGCATTTGTGTTTAGTGAGTCCTCCAGATCAGAGCAGTAGGGATGACCAGGGATGATCTCTTGATAAGTGCGTGAATTTGACAATTTTCCTGTCTGGCTGAGTATTCAAAGTACTTTTGGGTGTCAGGCAAAATTAATGGAGTAAAAAGTACACTATTTTCTTTAGGAATGTAGTGAAGTAAAAGTAAAAGTTAAAAAAATATATACATAGTAAAGTACAGATACCCCAAAAAACTACTTAACTAGTACTTTAAAATATTTTTACTTAAGTACTTTACACCACTATATACACTACCAGTCAAAAGTTTGGACACACCTACTCATTCAAGGGTTTTTCTTTATTTTTACTATTTTCTACATTGTAGAATAATAGTGAAGACATCAAAACTATGAAATAACACATGGAATCATGTAGTAACCAAAAAAGTGTTAAAAAAATCAAAATATATTTTAGATTTTAGATTCTTCGAAGTAGCCACCCTTTGCCTTGATGACAGCTTTGCGTTCTCTCAACCAGCTTCATGAGGTGGACCTGGAATGCTTTTCCAACAGTCTTGAAGGTGTTCCCACATATGCTGAGCAGTTGTTCGCTGCTTTTCCTTCACTCTGCGGTCCAACTCATCCCAAACCATCTCAATTGGGATGAGGTGGGGTGATTGTGGAGGCCAGGTAATAATAATAATAATATGCCATTTAGCAGACGCTTTTATCCAAAGCGACTTACAGTCACGTGTGCATACATTTTTACGTATGGGTGGTCCCGGGGATCGAACCCACTACCCTGGCGTTACAAGCGCTGTGCTCTACCAATTGAGCTACAGAGGTCATCTGATGCAGCACTCCACCACTCTCCTTCTTGGTCAAATAGCCCTTACACAGCCTGGAGGTGTGTTTTGGGTCATTGTCCTGTTGAAAAACAAATGATAGTCCCAATAAGCGCAAACCAGATGGGATGGCGTGTCGCTGCAGAATGCTGTGGTAGCTATGCTGGTTATGTGTGCCTTGAATTGTAAATAAGCAAAGCACCCCCACACCATAACACCTCCTCTTCCATGCTTCACGGTGGGAACCACACATGCAGAGATCATCCATTCACCTACTCTGCTTCTCACAAAGACACGGTGGTTGGAACCAAAAATCTCAAATTTGGACTCATCAGACCGAAGGACAAATTTCCACCCTCTAATGTCCATTGCTCATGTTTCTTGCCCCCAGAAAGTATCTTCTTCTTATTGGTGTCCTTTAGTATTGGTTTCTTTGCAGCAATTCGACCTTGAAGGCCGGATTCACGCAGTCTCCTCTGAACAGTTGATGTTGAGATGTGTCTGTTACTTGAACTCTGTGAGGTGCAATCTGAGGTGCAGTTAATTGCTGATTTCTGAGGCTGTTAACTCTAATGAACTTATCCTCTGCAGCAGAGGTAACGCTGGGTCTTCCTTTCCTGTGGCGGTCCTCATGAGAGCCAGTTTCATCATAGCGTTTGATGGTTTTTGCGACTGCACTTGAAGACATTTTCAAAGTTCTTGACATTTTCCGGATTGACTGACCTTCATGTCTTAAAGTAATGATTGACTGTCGTTTCTCTTTGCTTGTTTGAGCTGTTCTTGCCATAATATGGACTTGGTCTTTTACCAAATAGGGCTATCTTCTGTATACCCCCCTACCACAAGACAACTGATTGGCTCAAATGCATTAAGAAGGAAATAAATTCCACAAATTAACTTTTAACAAAGCACACCTGTTAATTGAAATGCATTCCAGGTGACTTCCTCATGAAGCTGGTTGAGAGAATGCCAAAAGTGTGTAAAGCTGTCATCAAGGCAAAGGGTGGCCACTTTGAATAATCTCAAATATAAAATATATTTGCTTAACACTTAACACTTAACCACTTTTTTGGTTACTACATGATTCTATATATGTTATTTCATAGTTTTGATGTCTTCACTATTATTCTACAATGTAAAAAATTTGAAAAACCCTTGAATGAGCAGGTGTGTCCAAACTTTTGACTGGTAGTATATACGTATATATATATATATATATATATATATATATATATATATATATATATATATATATATATATATATACAGTTGAAGTTGGAAGTTTACATACACCTTAGCCAAATACATTTAAACTCAGTTTTTCACAATTCCTGACATTTAATCCTAGTAAAAATTCCCTGTCTTAGGTCAGTTAGGATCACCACTTTATTTTAAGAATGTGAAATTTCAGAATAATAGTAGAGAGAATGATTTATTTTAGCTTTTATTTCTTTCATCACATTCCCAGTGGGTCAGAAGTTTACATACACTCAATTAGTATTTGGTATTGCTATTCAATTGTTTAACTTGGGTCAAGCATTTCGGGTAGCCTTCCACAAGCTTCCCACAATAAGTTGGGTGAATTTTGGCCCATTCCTCCTGACAGAGCTGGTGTAACTGAGTCAGGTTTGTAGGCCTCCTTGCTAGCACACGCTTTTTCAGTTCTGCCCACAAATGTTCTATAGGATTGAGGTCAGAGCTTTGTGATGGCCACTCCAATACCATGACTTTGTGGTCCTTAAGCCATTTTGCCACAACTTTGGAAGTATGCTTGGGGTCATTGTCGATTTGGAAGACCCATTTGCGACCAAGCTTTAACTTCCTAACTATAGATGTTGCTTCAATATACCCACATAATTTTCCTTCCTCATGATGCCATCTATTTTCTGAAGTGCACCAGTCCCTCCTGCAGCAAATCACCCGCACAGCATGATGCTGCCACCCCCGTGCTTCACGGTTGGGATGGTGTTCTTCAGCTTGCAAGTCTGCCCCTTTTTCCTCCAAACATAACGATGGTCATTATGGCCCAACAGTTCTATTTTTGTTTCATCAGACCAGCGGACATTTCTCCAGAAAGTACAATCTTTGTCCCCATGTGCAGTTGCAAACCGTAGTCTGGCTTTTTTTATGGCGGTTTTGGAGCAGTGGCTTCTTTCTTGCTGAGCGGTCTTTCAGGTTTTTTCGATATAGGACTCGTTTTACTGTGGATAGAGATACTTTTGTACCTGTTTCCTCCAGCAGCTTCACAAGGTCCTTTGCTGTTGTTCTGGGATTGATTTGCACTTTCCGCACCAAAGTACGTTAATCTCTTGGAGACAGAACGCGTCTCCTTCCTGAGCGGTTTGATGACTGCGTGGTCCCATGGTGTATATACTTGCATGCTATTGTTTGTACAGATGAACGTGGTACCTTCAGGCGTTTGGAAATTGCTCCCAAGGATGAACCAGACTTGTGGAGGTCTACACATTCTTTTCTGAGGTCTTGGCTGATTTCTTTTGATTTTCCCATGATGTCAAGCAAAGAGGCACTGAGTTTGAAGGTAGGCCTTGAAAAACGAGTTCTAATGACTCCAACCTAAGTGTATGTAAACTTCCTACTTCAACTGTATATACTCACTGTCAACTGAGTTTATTTTCAGCAAACTTAACATGTGTAAGTATTTATATGAACATAACAAGATTCAACAACTGAGACATAAACTGAACAAGTTCCACAGACATTGTGTCGAGTACTGAGTATACGAAGAGGCAGGATGCAGATGCAGGAATTAACAAGGTCAAGGTTTACTAAACGATGAGAAAGAGAAATAACAAACATAGAGTAAACGACACGAAGCTAAACGATCACACACAACATCATCCAGAACAGTCCAGGGCTAAATAGGGGTGGTGATGAGATGATGAGGTGCAGGTGTGCTGGAGGTGATTAGGGTGCGTTGGGTTTCCATTCCGGTGTTGCCGAGGTGGTGTGCTCAGACCGGTGGCTCAGTAGACCGGCGAATCAGAGCGCCGGAGGGGAGCAACGGGAGGAGACGTGACAGTACCCAACCCCCCCCCCCCCCCCCCCCCCGGACGTGCGACTCCAGCCACTGGACGTCGCCGGCCAGGAGGATGACCCCGAGGAGCAGGCCGGTCAAGGCGGTGGTGACGGTGGAAGTCCCGAATTAGGTTGGGGTCCAGAACGTCCCCAGCCAGAACCCAGCTCCTCTCCTCAGGACCATACCCCTCCCAGTCCACCAGGTAATGGAGCTGTCCCCCATGGAACCTGGAGTCCAGCAGGTCCCTCACCGCATTCGCCGGACTACCGTCAATGTCCAGGGGCGGAGGAGGCGTACCCCGGGGGACGGCATCCGCCAGAGGACCAGGAACCACCGGCCTGAGGAGCGACACATGAAAAGTGGGTGAGACACGGTAGTGAGGGGGAAGGAGCAGCCGGTATGATACCTCATTTATCTGCCGAGAACTTAAATGGCCCCACAAACCGGTGGCTCAGTTTCTTGCAGGGCAGGCGGAGAGGGAGGTTTTTTGTGGACAGCCAGACACGAGCCCAAGGCTGGAATACAGGGGCCTCACTGCGGTGGCGGTCGGCTTGGTCCTTCTGCCAATGAAGGCCCTGTGGAAGCACTCGTCGACAGCAGGCGCATCGGTCTGGCTGGGTGTCCAAGGGGCCAGGGCCGGCTGGTACCCTAGGACGCACTAGAAGGGAGTGAGCCCCGTGGAAGAGTGAACGAGGGAGTTCTGGGCATATTCTGCCCAGGGAAGAAACCCTGCCCACTCACCCTGCCGGTCCTGACAGTGGCAACGAAGAAACTCCGTAGCTCCTGGTTCATGCGCTCCACCTGCCCATTAGACTGAGGCCTATACCCGGAAGTGAGGCTGGCCGTGGCCCCGATCTTCTCCAGTAAAGCCTTCCACATTCGGGAGGTGAATTGGGGGCCACGGTCCGAGACGATGTCCTCCGGAAGTCCATAATGCTGGAAGACCTGTTGGAACAGGACCTCAGCGACCTGATGAGCAGAAGGAAGACCAGTTAGTCGCAAAAAACTGCATGATTTGGAGAACTGATCTACGATCACCATGACTGTGGTGAAGCCGTAAGAACGTGGAAGGTCGGTGACAAAGTCTATGGACAGGTGTGACCAAGGTTGCTGAGGCACTGGGAGAGGAACTAGTTTTCCTGCCGGGGCGTTCCGAGGTGTCTTCGTTTGGGTACATACGGAACAGGAGTTGACATAGCTGGAGACATCAGAAGCCAAGGTGGGCCACCAGTATTTTGTGGCTAGAGAATGCAGGGTGCGCATAATACCAGAGTGCCCTGCCGTAAGGGTAGTGTGCGCCCAGATCAGCAGGCGGTCACGGACACTGGTGGGTACATACACGCGCCCCGGTGGGGCGTTGGCAGGCGCTGGGTCCTCCTGAGCCGCCAGGCGGATGTCTTCGTCCACATCCCAAACGACATGTGCAACGATGAGAGACGAAGGTAGGATAGGACCCCCCCAGATCCTTCCTTTCTCCGGTATGGTGCATCCTGGAGAGTCGTCAAGACGGATGGACGTGGTGATGAGGGTATCAAGTTCCATCTCGTCGTTCCGACATGCGAGTTCCGTCTTGAAGTCCTCCTGTAAGCCTCTCCTGAAGACTGTGCGCAGAGCACGCTCATTCCAGCCGGAAGACGCCGCCACCATGCGAAATCTGAGAGCGTACTCGGACACGGGCCCCTCTCGCTGTTGTAGATGGAGGAGACGCTCACCCCCGTCCTTTCCCTCCGTGGGATGATCAAACACCACCCTGAACCGAGCGAGGAAGGTGGGGTAGGGAAGCGCCACTGCCTCCTCTCCTTCCCAGACTGCCGTGGCCCAATCCAGCGCCTTTCCTTTAAGTAGCGAAATCACCAGCGCTATCCTGGCTTTGTCCGATGGATATATCCCAGGCTGACGCGCCAGATAAAGTGAAACCTGTAGCAGGAAGCCGCTACATTTAGTAGTTTTACCGTCATAGCGCTCCGGTAGGGCGAGGGTTCCCGCAGAAGTGGGTGATAGCACGGGAATAGGTGGATTGGGGGCACTCGCCGCTCCCTGAGGTGGAACCGGAGCGCTGGGCAGATTATGCAGAGTTTGGAGCACTTCCTGCATGGTGGCGTTCAACTGGACAATCTGCTGCTGGTGCTGGTCGAGGCACTGGGAAACTCCTGCTGCATCCATTATCGTTTGGTGTGTGATTCTGTGACGAGTACTGAGTATGCGAAGAGGCAGGACGCAGACGCAGGAATTAACAAGATCAAGGTTTATTAAACAATGACAAAGAGAAATAACAACAAACAGAGTAAATGACACGAAGCTAAACAATCACACACAACATCATACAGAACAGTCCAGGGCTAAATAGGAGTGGTGATGAGATGATGAGGTGCAGGTGCACTGGAGGTGATTAGGGTGTGTTGGGTTTCCATTCCGGTGTTGCCGAGGTGGTGGCTCAGTAGGGCGGCGAATCAGAGCGCCGGAGGGGAGCAACGGGAGGAGACGTGACAGACATGTAACTAACAGAAATTGAATAATGTGTCCCTGAACAAAGTGGGAGTCAAAATCAAAAGTAACAGTCAGTTTCTGGTGTGGCCACCAGCTGCATTAAGTACTGCAGTGCATCTCCTACTCATGGACTGCACCAGATTTGCCAGTTCTTGCTGTGAGATGTTACCCCACTCTTCCACTAAGGCACCTGTAAGTTCCCTGACATTTCTGGTGGGAATGGCCCTAGCCCTCACCCTCCGATCCATCAGGTCCCAGACGTGCTCAGTGGGATTGAGATCCGGGCTCTTCGCTGGCCATGGCAGAACACTGACATTCCTGTCTTGCAGGAAATCACGCACAGAACGAGCAGTATGGCTGGTGGCATTGTCATGCTGGAGGGTCATGTCAGGATGAGCCTGTAGGAAGGGTACCACATGAGGGAGGAGACTGTCTTCCCTGTAACGCACAGCTTTGAGATTGCCTGCAATGACAACAAGCTCAGTCCGATGATGCTGTGACACACCGCCCCAGACCATGACGGACCATCCACATCCAAATCGATCCCGCTCCAGAGTACAGGCCTCGGTGTAACGCTCATTCCTTCAACGATAAACGCGAATCCGACCATCACCCCTGGTGAGACAAAACCAACACTCGTCAGTGAAGAGCACTTTTTGCCAGTCCTGTCTCGTCCAGCGATGGTGGGTTTGTGCCCATAGGCAACGTTGTTGCTGGTGATGTCTGGTGAGGACCTGCCTTACTACAGGCCTACAAGCCCTCAGTCTAGCCTCTATCAGCTTATTGTGGACAGTCTGAGCACTGATGGAGGGATTGTGCGTTACTGGTGTAACTCGGGCAGTTGTTGTTGCCATCCTGTACCTGTCCCGCAGGTGTGATGTTCAGATGTACCAATCCTGTGCAGGTGTTGTTACATGTGGTCTGCCACTGCGAGGACGATCAGCTGTCCGTTCTGTCTCCCTGTAGCGCTGTCTTAGGCGTCTCACAGTACGGACATTGCAATTTATTGCCCTGGCCACATCTGCAGTCCTCATGCCTTCTTGCAGCATGCCTAAGGCACGTTCACATAGATGAGCAGGGACCCTGGGCATCTTTCTTTTGGTGTTTTTCAGAGTCAGTAGAAAGGCCTCTTTAGTGTCCTAAGTTTTCATAATTGTGACCTTAATTGCCTACCGTCTGTAAGTTGTTAGTGTCTTAACGACCGTTCCACAGGTGCATGTTCATTAATTGTTTATGGTTCATTGAACAAGCATGGGAAACAGTGTTTAAACCCTTTACAATGAAGATCTGTGAAGTTATTTGGATTTTTACGAATTATCTTTGAAAGACAGGGTCCTGAAAAAAATATGTTTCTTTTTTTGCTGAGTGTGTGTATATATATATATATATATATATATTAAGGAAGAGAAGCTTAGGCCTAACCACAGAGAGATAGATATGCCGGTGGCATGCTACGACACCGACATTTGTACTTGTATTTGTATTTATTATGGATCCCCATTAGCTGCTTCCAAGGCATCAACTACTCTTCCTGGGGTCCAGCAAAATTAAGGCATTTATACAATTTTAAAAACATTACAATACATTCACAGATTTCACAACACACTGTGTGCCCTCAGGCCCCTTCTCCACCACTACTACATATCTACAATACCAAATGCATGTGTACGTGTGTGTATAGTGCGTATGTTATCGTGTGTGTGTATGCATGTGTCTGTGCCTATGTTTGTGTTGTTTCACAGTCCCCGCTGTTCCATAAAGTGTATGTGTATCTGTTTTTGAAATCTAATTTTACTGCTTGCATCAGACATGCATTTCTTTATGTCAGATGGCTAATGCGTCTGCTATACAGATATAGACGTACAGAAGGAGGGTAATAAAGACAAGCATTATATTGTTAGATTATAGGAGTAACTCTGGTAGGTCTGAAACAGTCTTCCTCACCTCAAGTTCAACTGTCGGAGTCAGTTGGAGCGCCGGGGCGAACTGCCTTCATATCATAGGCCTGCAGTAGCTAAAGCTTAATAAAAGCTACACCATACCAAACCATAACAAACATTTCTAAACTTTATTATGGTAATATCAAAAGTAAGTCAAGCCATTGTTTATAGGGAAAATACGAGCAGAAGAGCTAATGTAAACCAGGGAAAAAACATACTACCCTCCCCTGTGCCCCTCCAAAAGACACACAACTCTCCCCAAAGCAAAGAAAATAGTTTTACAACCCTCCCCTATTTTGGACCATCCCGCCCCCCGAGTACATCTGTCTTAACAACATCTCCTATCTGGTTTGGTGATGAATGGAGAAAAGGGCATGATTTATCAAAACAGCAGTGGTATTACTCTTGGGCTCAGTGTAATGGAATTTATGGTTGGGGTGTCATGTTTTTTTTCTCCAATACTAACATCTATTAATACTGAGATGGAAAAATCTGTTTTCTGTCTTGTTATGGTTGCGTGTGTTTTTGACATCCTCTACCTTTCAGACTTTCCAAGTTACGGATCCTGGAACTGCGAGAGAACCACCTGAAAACAATGCCAAAGTGAGTGACTCAGCACACAGAGACCTCTCCTTACCTCACCTCACCTCACCAGGGCAGCTAGAGTTAGCTACAGAGACGTGTTTGATAATGGGATTGAAAGGAAAGGTCACAATAAAATACATCCCAAGCGCAAACTGAACTTAGCTCTTTGCCAACATCTTTGTCAACATACTTTTCACTGAACTTCATGGGTAACTTGCAGCCAATATCACTGATTCCTACAAATAGAGAGAACTATCATTTTTGACTTTCTTTGAGTGTTATCTATCCACATGTTAGTAGAGAGTCCTTTATTGCAATGTCTGTGTTTTTCCCAAGCGCCTAAAATAAATGATATCCCTCGTCCCATCGCACTCTACCCAGCCTACCCACCTCAGATCTGTCCCCTCTCTCCAATGGAGAAGCCACTGATGTAACCATGAAAAGTGTCTGTTAATGAAAGCCCTGACAGCTTTAGCAGCCAACATGCCCATACAGCCCCTATGAAACATCCAACCCTGCCCAAGATACTACTCCATACGGAAGGCTTAGATTTGTATCATTACCCCTGCACCACACAAACCCTAAACCTCAACTAAATCTTGTTATGAATAATGTGGAAATTGAGCAAGTTGAGGTGACTAAACTGCTTGGAGCAACCCTGGATTGTAAACTGTCATGGTCGAAACATATTGATACAACAGTAGCTAAGATGGGGAGAAGTCTATCAACAAGGCAGGTCCTACAGACCCTAGTTCTATATCGTGGAGCTCCGCCCCATAGGGGAGCTCTGCTCCTAGTGGTTTACCCTCTGCCCTAAGGCAGCAACAGCCTGAGACAAAATTATGCACACACCTGCAGCCAATAGGAGTACAGGTGTCCCTATAAGAGGGGATGCCTCCCCTCAATCAGCCTCCCTTTTTCTTCAGCGACTGGATGACTAGACTGAAGAGCCAAGAAGAGACGAAGCACAAGACTCAGGACGAAAAATGCCGTTGATATTCCAGTCATCAACGTCGTCTAAATGAGCACACCGGGAGATTTTCCACCCCCAAAAGCTCTTTTCAGAGCTCAGTGCAGATGCACTTCCATGGAGGCCGGTGAACACCACGACCTGTGTTTCGTGTGTTTGGGATCCCAGCATGCCAAGGAAGGCGTCTGCAGTCCCCCGAATTGCGCCTCCTGCGCCCTCCTTTCTTTAAAGGAGAGGAAGCAGCGTTGGGCGTTTTTCAGGGAGGACATCCCCCTTGAGGACGTGCTGTCGATACTAGCCTCTGCTTCAGAGGCGTCGTCCGACGGCGCAGACTCGGGGGAAGATAGGGACTTTGAGGAGGAGTCTGGCATTCCTATGGAACAGTCGGACCCCATCCCTCATACTTTCAAGCCCCCCTTTCCTTTGGAGAGCGAGAGGACTTGTAGTCCCTATAGCGAAGGGGATACGAGCTCTGAGAGATCAGAAGCTCTCTCTTTCGCTGCAGCCTCTCTGAGATCGGATTTTCCGGGTCTCATTGAGAGAGCTGCTCAACGGCTGGTGATAAGGCTGCCCCCTCTTCCCTCCGCACCGGAGGTTGATATGATGGAGGGCGGTCCTTATTCTAGGCCAAGGAAGGCGGCAGAGCCAGTGGCTCCTGCCATGCCTTCTTTGGCTAGGTACGTTGTGGGCTCGTGGGAGGCACCTTTAGCGGCGCGTTCGCCAGTAAAAGCGTATCTCCCATTCACGAGAGTGGAAGGAAGGTTTCAGGGTCAGGGAATCCCCAGGTTAGAGAGCGCCATGGCGGCGTATCTCGTACCGGGTTCGAGCCCTTGGCCCTCTTCCAAGAAGGCCACGTTGCCATCCCAGAAGGACCGACTCACAGCGTCGCTGTTAGAGAAGTCCTTTGGGTTGGGAGCCCAAGCTGTAGCAGCAGCTAACAACATTGCCCTCTTGGCGGCCTCTCTGTCCCGTTTAACCACGGGCAAGACAGAGCTGGCACCGGAGGAGGTGGAGGAGGCGTCCAGAATTTCTGGCGCCATACTCCACCTGACACAGGCGTCCGCAGTCTGCGCGGGGAGGTCCATGGCCACTTCGGTGGTCGGGGAACGACACCTCTGGTTGTCCTTGACATCCATGAAAGAGGCAGACAGGACATCTCTCTTGAACGCCCCCCTCTCTGACGACGGCCTCTTTGGGGTCGCAGTCAAAGAGGCGACGGAGCGTTTTTCCAAGCTGGAGGAGGATAAGAAGCAGCTGGCCAAGCACCTGCCGTTGGCAGGACGACTCGGCCCCCCTCCATCCCAAAGGCCATCTACCTCCGCCCCTCTAAGTAGACCGGGGTCTACGGCGAGGCGGCGTAATCGGCGTCATCCGGCGGCCACGAGCAGCAAGGGAACGGGCCCCGCCCTTCCAGCAGCTACGGTAGCCCCACTACAGCCGGCGAGGGAGGTGACGAGGACGCCGACCTGGCCCTCCAAGGGCCCCATGAGCTGTCAGGTGGAGAGTATTCTCTCTTTTCTACAGCTCATGTTTGATAAGCAAAAATCGCCTGCCACTATTAGGGTGTTTGCAGCAGCGATTTCAGCTTGTCATGAGGGGTTTGGCAGAGACAATGTCTTTAGCCACCCTCTAGTGAAACGCTTCCTATTAGGAACGCGGCGACTTAGGCCAACACCTAGAGTCACGCTTCCTCAGTGGGATTTGGCTTTGGTACTCGAAGCGCTATGTAAGTCGCCGTTCGAGCCATTGAATCAAATACCCCTCAAGATGCTGTCTATTAAGACAGCACTGTTGCTCGCTTTGACTACAGCTAAGCGGGTCAGTGATTTGTGTGCTCTTTCGACGAGACCTGACTGCCTGGCCATCAATGGTGACCTGAGCAGAGCAGTGTTACGTCCTAACCCGGCATTTGTGCCGAAGGTTATTAAGAGTTCATATAGGTCACAGACCGTGGAGCTGTGGGCTTTTCCTCCTCCTCCTCATAGAGAGAGGAGTGAGGAAAAGCTCCATCGCCTGTGCCCGGTACGTGCTTTGGCGTGTTACGTCGAGCGCACAGCGGCGATAAGGTCATCGCCTCAGTTGTTTGTGTGTCACGGTGCGGCTGCACTAGGTAGAACACTTTCAAAACAGCGGTTGTCTCACTGGCTTTGTGAAGGCATTGAGACAGCTTATGAGGCAGCGGGGCGGCAATTGCCTCAGGGTATCAGGGCTCACTCCACTCGTGGAGTAGCGGCTTCTACTGCCCTTTTCAGAGGAACAGGGGTAGAGGATATCTGTAGAGCAGCATCCTGGTCGACGCCATCTCCATTTAGCCGTTCCTATCTCTTAGATATGTCTTCTAACTCTCTGGCTCGATCTGTACTCAGCGTGGCTGAAGGGAGATCTTGAGCAAGAAAGAGAGGAGAAGCAGGACTGTGGACACAGGTTTCCATCAGGTCCGCTTTGGTTAGGAAGACGTGTTTTTTGATAGATGTGTTTTCTAACTCTTTGGCTCGGTCTGTACTCAGCATAGCTGAAGGGAGATCTTGAGCTAGGAAGAGAGGAAAAAGCAGGACTATGGACAAGGTTTCCATCAGGTCCGCTTTGGATAAGAAAACATATTTTGTGGCATGAATCCTGACTGACAGGTTCAGTACAGTAGAGGCATGCGTTGATTGACAGAATGTGAGGTCATCTATCTGCTTGTTCAGTTTAGTATGACCCATGTTTTGTTCCTGCCCACTAATCTCTGGGATTCCATTGAGTGAGTGAGGCGGTCTACCGCGTTCACAATGTAGAGTGACACTTGGTGTCATTCCATTAGTGGTCGGTAGTGTTTTCACAGGATATTGAGGCACATCTATCTGCTAGTACAGATTAGTATGGCTTCTATTCTGGTGATCTGCCCACTAGTCATTGGCATTGCCATTGGACTAGGTGGGGCGGGTCTTTAACCGATGACGCGGTATATTGTGACGCCCGTAGGGGTTTTTAGTTGCAGTACTGCGGGACTTGGTTGCAGCCATTGCTAGGCCTGACCTTCTCGTTTCGATGGGAAGTGTTAGGCTCGGCAGGGAGTACATTTTGGAGCGCTACGCTCCGCCTTAAACCACTAGGAGCAGAGCTCCCCTATGGGGCGAAGCTCCACGATATAGAACGATTAGTTACCGGAGTGTAACTCCAGTTCTATGAGTGGAGCGGAGCCCCATAGGACTTAAGGCCCTGCCGACAATCTCTAGTCTCGCTGAAGAAAAATATCTCGGGAGGCTGATTGAGGGGAGGCATCCCCTCTTATAGGGACACCTGTACTCCTATTGGCTGCAGGTGTGTGCATAATTTTGTCTCAGGCTGTTGCTGCCTTAGGGCAGAGGGTAAACCACTAGGAGCAGAGCTCCCCTATGGGGCTCCGCTCCACTCATAGAACTGGAGTTACACTCCGGTAACTAATCGTTTTGTCGCACCTGGACTGTGTGGTCAGGTGCCACAAAGAGGGTCTTAGGAAAATTGCAATTCGCTCAGAACAGGGCAGCACGGCTGGCCCTTGGATGTACACAGAGAACTAACATTAATAATATGCATGTCAATCTCCTGGCTCAAAGTGGAGGAGAGATTGACTTCATCACTACTTGTAATTGTGAGAGGTACTGACATGTTGAATGCACCGAGCTGTCTGTTTGAACCACTGGTACACAGCTCGGACACCCATGCATACCCCACAAGACATGCCACCAGAGCTCCCTTCCCAGAACAGACTATGGGAGGTGCACAGTACTACATAGAGCCATGAGTACATGGAACTTTATTCCACATCAAGCAACACATGCAAGCAGTAAAATTTGATTTAAAAACTGATATAAATACACCTTATGGAACAGCGGGGACTGAGAAGAGACACAAGCACAGACACATGCATACACACACACGATAACATACACACTATACACACATGTACACATGGATTTTGTGTTGTAGATATGTGGTAGTAGAGTAGTGGCCTGAGGGCACACACTTAATATGTTGAGAAATCTGTTGTGAATGTATTGTAATGTTTTTAAAATTGTATAGCTGCTTTAATTTTGCTGGACCCCAGGAAAGTAGCTGATGCCTTGGCAGCATCTAATGGGATCCATAATAAGTACAAATACAAATATACAACTCTGGGGGCCAAATAGCCTGAGGAACATTCCAGGCTGGAATTCTAATGGGCAGATTAGAGTGAGAGCATGGTAAATAGCAGCTTCTAAAGCAAGCAAATGCCATCAGTCTCTCTCTGTGCGACGGAGAGCATGTGTCAGAGGGACACTGTGCTGTGCTGTGGCCAGTCCCTGTTGTCAGGCCTTGTTATTTGATGTCTAAATGAAATGTGAAGAAGACCCCATGTTGGAACGTGTGTGTACAGGTGTGTAGCCAGTGGAGCGCATCCAATGATGTTGCGATTTATCATAGTGGAGAGTGCTGAGCTGCGAGCCCCAGACACACACACACACACACACAAACACACGCACACTGCTCACATTAGTTGGTGCATGCTGGCTCCCTCAGGTGTCCTGATTGAAAACTATTTTTATCCCACCATGACCAATAACCCTATGCCCCACACTAGAAACAAAGTTGAATGAAGTAAATCATCCTCTTCAACCTCGAATGTGGCATAGAAAGGGATGTTTGTTCATTTGTGTAAACCAACTCAAATGTGTTTCCCCTTGGAGATAAGTGTAATGTCCTCATTCAGTTAATGAGTTTATCATGTTACCATGAAGTCATTGGAGGGGAAGTGTATCCTAGAGGAAGGGTATAGATAATAAATAGGCTTTGATATGTTATGAAGGATGGGGAGACATTCTGCCATGAGGGATCTGATCTGTTTGTTCTCACATCATTATTGGAATTGACTAATTGCTATGTGGCCCAGCTGCTCTATATCATGACATAAAACAGCAGTATCTGCTTCAGTGATTTGACTAATGGATGCTCTCCATTCACCACTCAAGACAAAGCTCCTCTGCAATACCAAGCCAATACAAACATTAATGATGTGCAATACATCTTAGATGGAATCATTCTGACATTGCTCTCCCCGACTGACATTGTGTACACTACATTGCAACAAGTTTAATTTGAGGTGTTGCCTGGTGCAATGGAGAAAGCCATTTCCTGTTATATTAATCATTAACTAACTAACTGCGTTGTTTTGATTTGAGCTATTTATATTTGCAGTGAATATTATGTGAATGTGTGGGGATGTCTGGCTAGCATGCCGTCCCCTCTTGGATGGCAGAGTTACAGGAAGCCTGGTTGGGAGGGAGTGTTGCTGATGATTGGCCTTTCTAAATGGTGACTTTGTTTCTATGCCAGAATCTGAGGCTCTTCCCTCTTGTTTGCTGCAGGTCAATACACAGACTGTCACAGCTGGAGCGATTAGACTTGGGAAGCAATGAATTCACTGAACTGGTAAGAAAAGAGGCCCTTTGAAGACGCCAGTCACATGGACAGCAGTTGTCACCACACAGGCAGCCATGGCCCAGCAGACCTGGGGGACAAGCCAGAGCAGGACCCCCCTCAATCTGCTCTGCACCCTCATTAGGTCTCCAGCACTGCTCCCCCGCCCGCCGTGTGTGTGTGCGTGTCTGGGCAGGCAGGCATTTGTGTGTGTGAGTGCATGCCTGTGGCGTGGTGGTGGGTGTGCAGGCAGGCGCGTGTGTGTGTACACTTGATGCATTATTTACTAGGGTAGCTCAAATGTGCACGACTTGGCACGTCAGGACGCCCACCACCGAGCACATTTTAATTGGCTGTTGGAGCTGGAGTAAACAATGGCAGGGAATTTATCAAACGATCCAGCCCTATACCCCTGCACTGTGCTTGATGCTGACCATGTCACATTAATTGAGTGGTTGTCTAAATCAATCGCCTGGTCTGTAAGCGGTAAACGACTACAGTGTCTGGGGAAAACATTGAGACGGAAACCAAAGAGTAAGCCATTATTGTGTTTAGCTAATGATTGGACTAGTTAACCTTTCTTTTAACCCTCCATTTTCATCCTATTGGCTATGTTCTCTGGACCGTGTTCTGTGTATTTATCTCACTGATTAGTGGTCCAGAGGGGTATACTACAAAGCAGGATCAGTGATTTAGCCAGTTAACTTTGATAAACAACCAGAAATAACTATTGATTTTCTGGTTCATTATGAAAGCTAAACGTGTATATACAGTATGTGTTTTTGGTTGTTGAGTCAAATAGACCATGCCCATTTCAACCTTATCTTTCAAAAAAATTAAAAAGTTATTTCCGAATAGCTAGGCAAGTTAGCTGGCTAACTCATTGATCCTGCATTGTAGTATACACCTCAAGTCTAGAGCAGAGTAATAGAACAGAGGAGGGAGATGAAAACAGTCATACTATTCCTAGGTTCTCAGAATGGGAAATGGCTGATACACTAGAAAGGTACTGTGAGGGTAAGGTTTGATGCTGCATGGTCATTGACCAACAATCCGTGGGATATCTAAAAGTAGGCGATATGAAGTGTGAGGATGCAGAATGCTCAGGGAGGGAGGGAGGCTTTTTAAGGGTGTAACGTAACATCTCCAAGTCATCCTTGGTTAACAAGATCACACACTGTTCTGGGACTAGGGCTGAGGCTGGGGACTGGGGAGACCTGGGGAGAGCTGCTGGCTGAAGCCATGCATGACATGCTCTGTGCCACAGGTCCACTAGGACGTATTTCTGCTTTGGAATTGGCTGTAGGTCTATACTTTGTGTCAATGTCTGATGCAGGTTTCACTATTTCCAGGACTTTGTCCTTGGGTAGTGAGAAAAGGGCATATTTGCACGGCCCCTTCCAAGGGAGCAGATGGTTTGGCATTGTGATAAGCGTGCTTTGCTGTTCGAAGCCTCCAAGTTACTGCAGAGTGAGCGAGCGCCCATCGACTCTTCCTCGTGCTATAGTCTGAACTCCCAATCTCTGTGTCCTACATAAGTACAAGCCTTTCTCCCTCCACTTATGACCTATCTCATCCTCCCAGTGGTTCCCAACCTTTTTCAGTTACTGTCCAACCAACTGAATTTTGCTCTGCCTGGAGTACGCCTGAAGTACCCCCTCAAGTGTATTTTACCAGTAGGTCTCATGAGTCTTCTCAAGTACCCCCTGTGGATAGGCTAAGTACCCACTGGGGTCCTAGTACCCCTGGTTGGGAACCACTGCTCTACCCCATCCCCATTCAAGGACTACTGTTGCTTTTTGCTGATGGTGTGAGCGACATTACCAATGGTCATCTCAATTCCCCTAAAATAGAACCCTCTAGTGTAGCTTTATTGCCTGGTGAATTTGAAGCCCAGGGAAAATAGAGTGCATTTTCTCGCATTCCTTAAGCTGTTGTTGTTTCCTTGTCTACCCTATACTTTGTGCCAACATGCCTAATGCATTTTCTTCAGCTGGTGGTTTTTGTGGTGAATCTTAGATTCTATCAGTGTTTTTCAGCCCTGAGAATTCATGGACTTTATCCACCCTGGTTTACTGGTATTGTTTTGTGGAGGGAGACAGCTTTTCCTCTTAACTGACCTGAGCACTGGAATGTAATTCAGTCAAAAGAGCCTTTAAGAGGCTGTCTGAACCAGAGGCTCTATGAAAGCTCTCTCCAACTGATTTAAGCTCATGCCTTATTTTAGTGGCAATCAGTCTTCAGCTGAGAAACTGTATATTAATACTCAGTTTTACTAAACTGCAAACATTTACATGTATAAGACCAGGATTCAGAAGACGTTATGCTTTTTTGACATAAGAAAACATTCAGCACAAGCAGCTCATTGATACTCTAGGCTAAACATGCAATGCAGAAGATGCAAATGTAAAAACGTCTACCACTGACAGAACTACTGGAAAGTGCAACATCAGAGGTGTTGTGATGAAACCAAACGATGACCTCAGCACATGTGGGTCCAGCTGAGCCAAGAACAGATGCTGAGGTGTGTGTCACAGTGGCAGAGAGTGATTCAGGGAGTACTGTAAGTGAGGAAAGTTTCCTAATTAGTCTCTGCCTGGGAAAGGAAGAAAGGGTTGAGGGGCAGAGGATGCTGGTGCTCAGTGGGCCAGCGTAGAGAGCAGAGCAGTGGATGACATCAGCAGAGAGGAAAGGACATCGCAGAGCTTCGAAGACGGACAAGAAGACATGCCTCTGTACAGGAAGCTCCGCGGTACCAAGCACCAGCCAAGTGTTTAATCTCCATCCGGAGAGAACAGGAGATATGGACAAGGTGCCAACACAGTCCACCGTGCCAACCAAACCCCTCTCTTTGTTTCTCATTCAAACTTACAAGCAAAACAGTGTGGTGCTACTGTACTGACTCCAGCTCTACTGTACTGTAGATTGTGAGTTGTGGAGTATTGACTCATACTACACTCAACACTTCATGAGTTTAATGGGGATTTTGAGATTTTGTGATGTTTTGGGAGGGTAGAGGGCAGGTAGGGGACACATAAACTACAGAGAGAGTTTTTAGCATTGCTTCCATTACCCAATGCCACTCGACCTTGTTTATACCCTTGGTGGGAAGGAAACGTAATTCGTTTTTGTTTGAAGTTTGCTAACAATATCTGGTTCAGTAGTTAATAGAATATGCATTGCATCAGTTTGATTTAGATTGCTATGTTGTAAAGGCTCTGTTGATACTGTAGGAATTTCAAAAATAAGTTAGGAAGTGGTTGTGTACCTCCTGTTTTTGTTGTTGTTGGGTTTTGCCTGATTCCATGCTGAGATTCTATCAACTTCTATCATGTAACTGAAGCAAGCACATCCAATTTTGTTAGGAGCATGCCCTTTCCAAACTTAATAAAACTTCACAACTTTTTAGTAAACACACAAGATACTGTAGCTACCTTCACAACTGTGAGTATAAATAATACTCTAGAATACCATTTGGAGTCCTTATCGACTGCCACACCAGTAAAACCACTGGCATAACACACCCCCACAGGTTTTGGGGGCCCACAGCCGCCCAAATATCATATGAACACGTCAGAAGCCATTACATTATTTGTTATTACAGAACATTTGCTTTTAAGCTGATAATCTTTCTGTCAGCCTCATGGCAATATGTATAGAATAGCAGGAAATTAGCTCTAACACAGCAACATTTGCTCTCAGCGTCATGGCAAAATGTGTAAAATAGCAAGAGATTAGTTATAAAACTGCAAAAATAATTCCGTGCCCCATGGCAAAAATAAAAAAACATCCACAAAAAAAAAGGTCCGGCCTTGCTCGAACCTTGCGGGGGGCCCCGCTAAACTGTGCTACGCCACTGAGTAAAGCCACACCATGCTGTGAAAATAAATGCATGAGAGAGATTGGAATTGATTAGGGCAGCATGAAGGACTGTGAGGTCTGTCACTTAGTCTCCCAGGCTGGCCTAATGGAGTCCTTTCACATAGTCAGGTAGAGCCTTTAGTCCTGATAGTCACACACAGTCTGGCTAGGCCTCTCCACACGTCTGTATCGAACACAATCACTCACAGGACTCCATACGTTCATTACCCCACTCTGTGGCCTGTGCAGAGATTCAAACACACCGTTTCCATTATAGAATACGGAACGTGAGATGATTCTAGAATACATCTGGAGGAGCGACTGAGGATCGTAACTTTGCACCACTCATTGTGCAAATGCCATCATTGACATGCCTACTTTGTTTAGTAATTACGCCCATTGGAATTGTGGCATGAGATTATTAGCTTCTTATATTGATTGGTGTTAAAACCGCACTTCCTTTACTTAAAACGACATGCCACTTGTCAGCCTGCCCTAACTCCAATGAGATAAAGTGGCCAGGGCTTTCTTATCTCTCTGCACTAGTTCCTGGGCTATTATGTACTGTCCAGCCCTCTTGCGCTGGTTGTTCTAGACACCTACAGGATGTTGTGTATGTTTGGTGTTTCAGCCTGAAGTCCTGGAGCAGATCCATAACCTAAAGGAGCTGTGGATGGACAACAACTCACTGCAGACAATACCTGGGGTAGGCCTACAGCCCTTCACTACCACCTCCAGTCATTATCTGTCTGTGTCATTTGTCATTGGGCCTGATGAAATCTGTGTGTGGGCAGTGATGCACTAGTTAGGTCAGTGCATGGGGGTTAGTGATGCACCACCATAGGGCAACCTTTGAAAAAAGTTCCCTTAAACCCCTGTGTTCTCTCTCTCTCTCTCTCTCTCTCTCTCTCTCTCTCTCTCTCTCTCTCTCTCTCTCTCTCTCTCTCTCTAACATCCATCGCTCCATGTCTCTCCCTCCCCTGCTGCTGAAGTGTATAGGGAAGCTGAGGCATCTGCGCTACCTGGACCTGGCTAAAAACAGGATTGAGAGCCTGGACACTGACATCTCTGGCTGTGAGTCCCTGGAGGACCTCCTGCTCTCCTCCAACATGCTGCAGCATCTGCCTGACACCATAGGTGAGGCCATATAACCTCTCTGCTCTCTCCCCTCTGCAACAATAGTGTCTCCTGATTGGATTGTCTCAGCTCTCTCACCTCTGCAACAATAGTGTCTCCTGATTGGATTGTCTCAGCTCTCTCACCTCTGCAACAATAGTGTCTCCTGATTGGATTGTCTCAGCTCTCTCACCTCTGCAACAATATTGTCTCCTGATTGGATTGTCTCAGCTCTCTCACCTCTGCAACAATAGTGTCTCCTGATTGGATTGTCTCAGCTCTCTCACCTCTGCAACAATAGTGTCTCCTGATTGGATTGTCTCAGCTCTATCACCTCTGCAACAATAGTGTCTCCTGATTGGATTGTCTCAGCTCTCTCACCTCTGCAACAATAGTATATCCTGGTTAGATTGTCTATGCTCTCTCCCTTCTGCAACAATAGTATCTCCTGATTAGACTGCCGCAGCTCTCTCCACTTTGCAACAATAGTATATCCTGGTTAGATTGTCTCTGCTCTCTCTCCTCTGCAACAAATGGTATCTCCTGGTTAGAAAGAATAGAGAAAGGATCAAGAAAGGATGATTAGGAAGGAAGGGGGAGAGAGGATGATTAATTCTGTAATGACTACATTCATCATGGTGGCTCCTCTCGGAGGTTGTTATCTGAGAGTGCATTTCCCTGAGTAGTTTTGTCATTAACAATCAAATGGCTTGCGTCATTAAAATGTCATTTGTATTTGGAGAGAAAAATTTATTTGTTTGAATCCTGGGATTTCATTTGCACAAACTATCAAGTTATTTTGTACTTAGTAAGTTTATAAATCATTTCCTGGCTGTAAATGAATGAAACGGTAAAAGGATTATGTTGACAATAGGTTTGAGTAATTCCTTTTAACTGTGTTCTTCGCTTTTAGTTTTTCATAATTTGTTTGTTCCTTTTTTTTAAATAATCAAATGAGTGTTTGTTTCTATTGCAGGAATGTTGAAAAAGCTCACAACGTTGAAAGTCGATGACAACCAGCTCACCTCACTGCCTAACACCATTGGAAGGTGAGTACCTTATGATACCGATTATGAGACCGATTGCACTATTTTGTTTACATACACTTCTTAGATTGCAATCCCTGAACTTCCCTCAAGTCGAATAAAATTATTTGAAATGATGTCGCCAAAAGCTAAACTACATTCCAAGTCTTGTTTATTAGTTAATATCTACCATGAAACTGGATGGCAGTCAGTTTTAGGGCATCTATTGCATAACCAAATTAAAAGGCATCAGAGACAGTGATTTTAATGGTAAAACCAGTTGACACGTTGAATCTTAATCTGAGCTCGTCTTCTCTGCCTCTGGTTTGTTGCTGAGCTGAGCTGTAGTCAACACGGCCTGTGGATAGAAGGGTTCTGAAACTCTGAGTCTGGCACCTTCTCCTTGCTGCTCCTTCTCACCTCACATCGACTAACGCTGATTGGTTCCATCACTGTTCACACCAAGTAGAGTGATGCAGTACATTGTGTCTCAGTTGGCGGCACTGAGAGGAGATATATATATACAGTGGGGAAAAAAAATATTTAGTCAGCCACCAATTGTGCAAGTTCTCCCACTTAAAAAGATGAGAGAGGCCTGTAATTTTCATCATAGGTACACGTCAACTATGACAGACAAAATGAGGAAAAGAAATCCAGAAAATCACATTGTAGGATTTGTAATGAATTTATTTGCAAATTATGGTGGAAAATAAGTATTTGGTCAATAACAAAAGTTTCTCAATACTTTGTTATATACCCTTTGTTGGCAATGACACAGGTCAAACGTTTTCTGTAAGTCTTCACAAGGTTTTCACATACTGTTGCTGGTATTTTGGCCCATTCCTCCATGCAGATCTCCTCTAGAGCAGTGATGTTTTGGGGCTGTCGCTGGGCAACACGGACTTTCAACTCCCTCCAAAGATTTTCTATGGGGTTGAGATCTGGAGACTCCAGGACCTTGAAATGCTTCTTACGAAGCCACTCCTTCGTTGCCCGGGCGGTGTGTTTGGGATCATTGTCATGCTGAAAGACCCAGCCACGTTTCATCTTCAATGCCCTTGCTGATGGAAGGAGGTTTTCACTCAAAATCTCACGATACATGGCCCCATTCATTCTTTCCTTTACACGGATCAGTCGTCCTGGTCCCTTTGCAGAAAAACAGCCCCAAAGTATGATGTTTTCACTCCCATGCTTCACAGTAGGTATGGTGTTCTTTGGATGCAACTCAGCATTCTTTGTCCTCCAAACACGACGAGTTGAGTTTTTACCAAAAAGTTATATTTTGGTTTCATCTGACCATATGACATTCTCCCAATCCTCTTCTGGATGCACTCTAGCAAACTTCAGACGGGCCTGGACATGTACTGGCTTAAGCAGGGGGACACGTCTAGCACTGCAGGATTTGAGTCCCTGGCGGCGTAGTGTGTTACTGATGGTAGGCTTTGTTACTTTGGTCCCAGCTCTCTGCAGGTCATTCACTAGGTCCCCCCGTGTGGTTCTGGGATTTTTGCTCACTGTTCTTGTGATCATTTTGACCCCACGGGGTGAGATCTTGCGTGGAGCCCCAGATCGAGGGAGATTATCAGTGGTCTTGTATGTCTTCCATTTCCTAATAATTGCTCCCACAGTTGATTTCTTCAAACCAAGCTGCTTACCTATTGCAGATTCAGTCTTCCCAGCCTGGTGCAGGTCTACAATTTTGTTTCTGGTGTCCTTTGACAGCTCTTTGGTCTTGGCCATAGTGGAGTTTGGAGTGTGACTGTTTGAGGTTGTGGACAGGTGTCTTTTATACTGATAACAAGTTCAAACAGGTGCCATTAATATAGGTAACGAGTGGAGGACAGAGGAGCCTCTTAAAGAAGAAGTTACAGGTCTGTGAGAGCCAGAAATCTTGCTTGTTTGTAGGTGACCAAATACTTATTTTCCACCATAATTTGCAAATAAATTCATTAAAGCTCCTACAATGTGATTTTCTGGATTTTCTTTTCTCAATTTGTCTGTCATAGTTGACGTGTACCTATGATGAAAATTACAGGCCTCTCTCATCTTTTTAAGTGGGAGAACTTGCACAATTGGTGGCTGACTAAATACTTTTTTCCCCCACTGTATATATATATCTCCGGCTTGCCATTGTTCCAAAATGTGCACTGACATTTTGGGTGTGTGCTATTTATTTGTTGTGGAATATGGCTGCCTGAGAGGACTTGACTCTGTGCCAGTATTGCAGTTTCAACAGCCGGCCAAATGTATTTGTTTTGTTTGATATATATATATTATAGCAAAAGTTTAATCTGGAAACTATAATGAGTCAGAGGGACTTCTGGGGGTCAACTCTGAACATGCCCTGTCATTGAGACTGTGATCTAATAGGTCAGGGGTCACCACCTTACAGCTCATCATGTCATATTCATTATTATCCCCAAGCCTGTGATACTGTTTCCAGTGCACCTTTTTTTCTTGGTTTGTCATTGGTCGGTTTTGTGTGTTGTGGTTATTTCACATGCATCTAAAATGGGCCATTTAGTGGACGCGCCAAATTAGGGTAAGTAGACTGTGAATCACTGTCTCCTGTACACGTTCCTCCTCACCACAGCATGTTTATTCAGGCAAGTGCTCACCTTAACATTCCCTGTCTGTATGTTCCAGCTGGGGAAGGGGACCCAGTAAAAGTCCTGCATATGGGAGGCCAGCTGGGCCAGCCTGCTCGGACAAATGTTGAGCTAATGACACTGCTGTGTGTACAATAAATACAAATGAACTCTGTCCAGTGAGGGGAGGCAACTCTTCTCCTCGTCCTCTCCTGGTCATATACACTGACATTGTAAACGCTCTGTTGGAGCTTGAATTTAGAACATTTTAAAACTGGACAGTTGTTGTTGATTTTGCTCACTAATCCATTGTCCTTTCAAATCCAACAAAGAGGCAAGGGCATTTGACTCAATAAACACTGTGGGTTTAGAGTTTAAGATATATGATAAGATATAGAGTTAAGTTTGTCATGAAGTTCAATTGGAGAACAATATAAAAAAAAAAAAAAATCAAAGCATACTGTTGATTATATTCTGATTGAAAAGAGATACTGCACCACCAGATACTGCTAGTGAAAGGGAGTCAGCAACATCAATGATTAATTTCCCCTCGTGGGATTAATACAGTTTATTCAATTCATGGTTTGTTAATTTTGGTTTGCCTTCTAAAGGAATATCTCATTCTATCAAGTCATGGTTTTTGAATATTGTCATGATCCTCATTAATCCATTTGATTGATCATTTTCACCTCTCTGTAGCCTGTACATGTCTTAGATGCATCTAGTCTTAAAGGGAACCAAATTATTATTTATTTCCATGGACACCAAGGAGGGATCAAATATCTGAGCCTCCATCTGTCAACCACAAATAATGCAACCTGTGGCTGAAATGAATCTACCTGTGGCTTTTCCTCAAAATGTTTGAGTGAAATAATATTTATATCATTATGATATATGTAAATGTAAATGTTCCACTTCAAGAATTCACAGCAAATTTTTAGCAGACTAATTAAGTAGGTCTGTGCTTTGCAGGTTCTTAACAAAATGATATGTACATATTAACATGGTACATCAAAGACATGTGAAGTAGAATATCTGTGCAGAATTGTGGTTGTTTTGACTGTATTGTTGTAGATAGTGTTTTGGTTATAGTGCCTCTACAAATGTTGATCTTACACCAATAACTAACCAAGTGAAAGTAGCTGTGACACGAAGGATTCTTAAGGGGCTCTTTCTCCTCTCTCTTCCTCTACCCAGTTTATCGCTTTTAGAGGAGTTTGACTGCAGCTGTAATGAATTGGAGTCCCTTCCCCCGACCATTGGCTACCTGCACAACCTCCGCACGTTTTCTGCTGATGAGAACTTCCTTGTTGAACTACCCAGGGAGGTACGTCTGTCTGTCCCACACCAATAACCACATACTGATCCGATACACAAATACACATACAGTGGGGTTGGGAATGATTGGATCCCTTGATAAAGATGAGCAAAAAAGGTCAGATGACATGAACTCTTTTGCCACGCACACCAATGGTGGGTTTGGCCTTCGAAAGACAATGCATATGCAGAAAATACCTCATCCCTACTGTAAAATATGGTGGTGGATCTTTGATATTATGGGGCTATTTTGTTACCACTGGTCAACGGCATCATGAACTTTACCAAGTACCAAGACATTTTTGCCAAAAACCTGGTTGCCTCTTGGCCGCAAGTGAATCTTCCATCAAGGCAATAACCCCAAGCACACATCAAAATCCACAAAGAAATTGTTAATTGTCCACAAAATCAACATTTTGCAATGACAATCTCAGTCTCCGGACTTGAACCCCATTGAAAACCTGTAGTTTCAATTGAAGAGGGCAGTCAATAAGCGCAGACGAAGGATATCAAGGATCTGAAATTATTCTGTATGGAGGAATGGTCTAAGATCCCTCCCAATGTATTTTCCAATCTCATAAAACATTATAGAAAAAGGCTCAGTCGTTATCCTCGCAAGGGGAGGGTGCTGGGGAATTTTATTTGTATTACTTGTTAAACAAAATCTCTTTCTCTGAGCAATTGTATATAGTGTAAAATAATGTATATATATAGATTTTTTTTTTTGCATACAATATAAACTACATGACCAAAAGTATGTGGACACCTGCTCGTCGAACATCTCATTCCAAAATCATGGGCATTAATATGGAGTTGGTCACCCCTTTGCTGCTATAACAGCCTCCACTCTTCTGGGAAGGCTTTCCACTAGATGTTGGAACATCTGCAGGGACTTGCTTCCATTCAGCCACAAGAGCATTAGTGAAGTTGGGCACTGATGTTGGGCGATTAGGCCTGGCTCACAGTCGGCGTTCCAATTCATCCCAAAGGTGTTCGATGGGGTTGAGTTCAGGGCTCTGTGCAGGCCAGTCAAGTTCCTTCCACACCGATTTCGACAAACCATTTCTGTATGGACCTCGCTTTGTGTACGGGGGCATTGTCATGCTGAAACAGGAAAGGTCCTTCCTCAAACTGTTGCCACAAAGTTGGATGCACAGAATCGTCTAGAATGTCATTGTATGCTGTAGCGTTAAGATTTCCCTTCACTGGAACTAAGGGGCCTAGCCCGAACCATGAAAAACAGCCCCAGACCATAATTCCTCCTCCATCAAACGTTACAGTTGGCACTATGCATTGGGGCAGGTAGCGTTCTCCTGGCATCCGCCAAACCAGGATTTGTCCGTCTGACTGCCAGATGGTGAAGCATGATTCATCACTCCAGAGAACACTTTTCCACTGCTCCAATGGCGGCGAGCTTTACACCACTCCGGCCGACTCTTGGCATTGCGCATGGTGATTTTAGGCTTGTGTGCGGCTGCTCGCCCATGGAAACCCATTTCATGAAGGTCCCGATGAACAGTTCTTGTGGTGACGTTGCTTCCAGATGCAGTTTGGAACTCGGTAGTGAGTGTTGCAACCGAGGACAGACGATTTTTATGTGCTACGCGCTTCAGCACCGGCCGGTCCCATTCTGTGAGCTTATGTGGCATACCACTTCGCGGCTGAGCCGTTGTTGCTCCCAGACATTGCCACTTCACAATAAAAGCACTTACAGTTGACTGGGACAGCTCTAGCAGGGCAGAAATTTGACGAACTGACTTGTTGGAAAGGTGGCATCCTATGACGGTGCCACGTTGAAAGTCACTGAGCCAATGTTTGTCTATGGAGATTGCATGGCAGTGTACTCGATTTTATACACCTGTCAGCAACGAGTGTGGCTGAAATAGCCGAAGCCTCTAATTTGAAGGTGTGTCCACATGCTTTTGGATACATACTGTATCTCACTATTTGTATTATTTATTTTATACTCTTTTTTTGCTCATCTTTATCAAGGGATCCAATAATTCCAGACCCCACTGTACACTCTCACACACACACAATGCATTTGGTTATGTAATTGATATGGTTTGGTGCATGGAAGATGGAAAGTGATCACTGAAATGTATGCTTGCCTCCCTTTTGTTGCAGATTGGGAACTGTAAGAATGTGACAGTCATGTCGTTGCGCTCCAATAAGCTGGAGTTTCTACCTGACGAGATTGGGCAGATGACCAAGCTACATGTTCTCAATTTAAGCGACAATAGGTTACTACTGATTGCTCTGCTATGCATACATAGCACACACCACACACACACACACACAAACACACACACACACACACACAGACCACACACACACGCACACAGTGAATCCATATGTTCTTCATACTCTCATTGATAAGGAAGCAGCTTAATAGGCTTGTGTTATGTGTCTATTTATTTACATAGAGCGTAGGTGGAATGGGACATTATTCTGAGGAGTTTATATAAACTAGTGGTTATTATTTTGCTACTGGCACATTAAGATAGCTGCACAGCATTAGAAAGCACTTCCCCTGCCCCGGGCTAATTAAGTTCTTTATGAGATGTTTGGTTGCTCTGCCAGTGATTAACTGGATCCAAGGTAATTAAACCATACTATTACTGAACACACGGCACCCATTAGGCAGACCTGCGTCCACACGCAGCACCACACACCACAGAGCTAAGCACTCAACCACATAGGCTGCCTCAGAACGAGGATGCAGTCACCCCAACCCTACTTCGTTATACCTACGGTAGCCCACAACACTGTCTCCCACTGACAGATTTCTGTTGTCAAAGCGAAGTTCACTGAGCATGTTGCCACGGTAACTGGATTTTTTCCCTTTGTGTGTTGGTTAACTGTCCTGTGTGGTGGGTGTCAGTCAATCAGAGGCAGGCAGGCTGTGATTGTTCCTTGGCAGAGGAATAGTCTTGGCTTTTCACAGGGGACTATATGATGATCTGTGTCCTTGAACACAATATGCCTTTCACACTCTCTGTGGAGAATGATGTGAAGTTGAGCTCAAGCCACTTGTCTGAATTGTTTCCACATAATCACTTCTCATTTTTAAATCGCAAATGAAATAACCTTTGAATTTTGATAAAAATAAACATGTACTCAATGAGATGATATGCATTCTTACTCCCATTCCGTCTTCTTCCCCCTTACACAGATTAAAGAACCTTCCATTCACTTTTACAAAACTAAAAGATCTTGCTGCTCTTTGGCTATCAGACAATCAGGTAAATATGATCTTATGTGTTGTTTTGTTGGGAAGAAATTACTTTACATTTACTAATAAATTAGAATGATGTATAACCTGTGTATCAGTGGTACTTGAAGAGTTAATGATGTGTGAATGTGTGCTGTGTGCAGTCCAAGGCCCTGATCCCCCTCCAGACAGAGGCCCATCCAGAGACCAAGCAGAGGGTCCTCACCAACTACATGTTCCCTCAGCAACCACGACATGATGAGGGTGAGGTAGAAATGACATGTAACACATGCTGACATGTGGGAAAATCCTCACAGCCAACTATTCCCTCAAAGTGGATGTAGTACTACTATGCATGTGTGATTTAGTGATGGCTAAGGTGTTATGGATATGTATCTACAATTGATTAATGGTGCTTGATATACACTGTTATCCATTATAGTAATGTATACATTTACATTTTAGTCATTTAGCAGACGCTCTTATCCAGAGCGACTTACAGTTAGTGAGTGCATACATTTTCATACTATAGTAGTACGTGTGCAGAGCACATGTCACTAAACTACCTTTTGAGGTAGAGGTCTTCACGGGTCCAAAAAGTTGTGGATGAATGGACCCGAGGACAGTCAGACCCATTCCGAAAAAACCTGTGGAAAAACAGACCCAAACAGACCCGTGCTGGTTCGGATCCGAGAGACTCGCTCAGATCCAAAGAGAGAGAGAAAGAAACCTCTAACAAATGACAAAAAACTGTTCGATGTGTAGCATGTTAAAAACTTTATAGTCCTTTTTTTCCTAAAACAATAATTGTCCACTTCACGGTTCAGCTGTTGGAGATTTAAGCGCTAAATGCATCAGGGCATTGCATGCATTTAGGCCTATAGGTCTAGGCGTACACTCTATGATATTAATCTTTTAAAAAATTATAGAAAGGAGGAGAAGCTTAGGTCTAGCCCTAGAGCAACTGAGAGAAAGATAGAGATATGGCAATCACAGAGGTCAGACGTTTCTTGTAGTTGGCCACCAGGTTTGCACACATCTCAGGATGGATTTTGTCCCACTCCTCTTTGCAGATCTTCTCCATGTCATTAAGGTTTCGAGGCTGACGTTTGGCAACTCGAACCTTCAGCTCCCTCCACAGATTTTCTATGGGATTAAGGTCTGGAGACTGGCTAGGCCACTCCAGGACCTTAATGTGCTTCTTCTTGAGCCACTCCTTTGTTGCCTTGGCCGTGTGTTTTGGGTCATTGTCATGCTGGAATATCCATCCACGACCCATTATCAATGCCCTGGCTGAGGGAAGGAGGTTCTCACCCAAGATTTGACGGTACATGGCCCCGTCCATCGTCCCTTTGATGTGGTGAAGTTGTCCTGTCCCCTTAGCAGAAAAACACCCCCAAAGCATAATGTTTCCACCTCCATGTTTGACGGTGGGGATGGTGTTTTTGGGGTCATAGGCAGCATTTCTCCTCCTCTGTCAAAGTGCGACGTGAATGTGGTAGGTGAAGTCAAACGCAGGACACCGAGCTACTGGAAACGATACTTTACTAACAAAGTAACCATAAATACAAAACAACCTCCAAACAGGGAGGGGAAATACCCGCACACTAGCAACTGCCGAAAATGACAAGAACAATCACACACAACACACAATGAACGACAGAGGGTTAAATAGGGAATAAAATACAACATAATAGGAAACTGGTTTACACAATCAAGACAAAACAAGTCAAACACAGAAACATAGATCGGTGGCAGCTAGTACCCCGGGGACGACGAACGCCGAAGCCTGCCCGAGCAAGGAGGAGGAGCAGCCTCGGCTAATTCCGTGACAGTACCCCCCCCCCCCTTGACGCGCGGCTCCAGCCGTGCGCCGACCCCGGCCTCGTGGACGGCCAGGAGGACGCGGAGCAGGGCGAGTCGGATGACTCCGGTGGAAGTCCCTCAACATGGAGGGATCTAGGATGTCCCTCCTGGGGACCCAGCACCGTTCCTCCGGACTGTACCCCTCCCACTCCACGAGATACTGCAGGCCCCCCGTCCGACGCCTCGAATCCAAGATGGAACGGACTGAGTACACCGGAGCCCCCTCGATGTCCAACGGGGGCGGAGGAGCCTCTCGTACCTCACTCTCCTGGAGTGGACCAGCCACTACCGGCCTGAGGAGAGACACATGGAACGAGGGGTGAATGCAGTAATTAATGGGCAGTTGTAACCTATAGCATACCTCATTCAGTCTCCTCAGGACTTTAAATGGCCCCACAAACCGCCGACCCAGCTTCCGGCAGGGCAGGCGAAGGGGCAGGTTTCGGGTCGAGAGCCAGACCCGATCTCCCGGTGCATACACCGGAGCCTCACTGCAGCCTTTTGCCGCCTGATAGCCCGCTGCAGATGGACATGCGCAGCATTCCAAGTTTCTTCCGAGCGCCGAAACCACTCGTCCACCGCAGGGGCTTTGGTCTGGCTCTGATGCCAAGGTGCCAGAACCAGCTGATAACCTAGCACACACTGGAAAGGTGTAAGGTTAGTGGACGAATGGCGGAGTGAGTTTTGGGCTATCTCTGCCCAGGGAATATATCCCGACCACTCCTCTTGCCGGTCCTGGCAATACGACCTCAGAAACCTACCCACATCCTGGTTCACTCTCTCCACCTGCCCATTACTCTCGGGGTGAAAACCTGAGGTAAGGCTAATCGAGACCCCCAGACGTTCCATAAGCAGCTAGTACTCCGGGGACGACGAACGCCGAAGCCTGCCCGAGCAAGGAGGAGGAGCAGCCTCGGCTGATTCCGTGACATCCTCCAAACATGGCGAGTTGAGTTGATGCCAAAGAGCTCGATTTTGGTCTCATCTGACCACAACACTTTCACCCAGTTCTCCTCTGAATCATTCAGATGTTCATTGGCAAACTTCAGACGGGCATGTATATATGCTTTCTTGAGCAGGGGGACCTTGCGGGCGCTGCAGGATTTCAGTCCTTCACGGCGTAGTGTGTTACCAATTGTTTTCTTGGTGACTATGGTCCCAGCTGCCTTGAGATCATTGACAAGATCCTCCCGTGTAGTTCTGGGCTGATTCCTCACCGTTCTCATGATCATTGCAACTCCACGAGGTGAGATCTTGCATGGAGCCCCAGGCCGAGGGAGATTGACAGTTATTTTGTGTTTATTCCATTTGCGAATAATCGCACCAACTGTTGTCACCTTCTCACCAAGCTGTCTTGTAGCCCATTCCAGCCTTGTATACGTCTACAATCTTGACCCTGACATCCTTGGAGAGCTCTTTGGTCTTGGCCATGGTGGAGAGTTTGGAATCTGATTGATTGATTGCTTCTGTTGACAGGTGTCTTTTATACAGGTAACAAGCTGAGATTAGGAGCACTCCCTTTAAGAGTGTGCACTTAATCTCAGCTCGTTACCTGTATAAAAGACACCTGTGAGCCATAAATCTTTCTGATTGAGAGGGGGTCAAATACGTATTTCCCTCATTAAAATGCAAATCAATTTATAACATTTTTGACATGTGTTTTTCTGGATTTTTTTGTTATTATTCTGTCTCTCACTGTTCAAATAAACCTACCATTAAAATTGTAGACTGATCATTTCTTTGTCAGTGGGCAAACGTACAAAATCAGCAGGGGATCAAATACTTTTTTCCCTCACTGTAAGCCAAATAATAGGCATACCACACCAAACCAGGGTAATATCCAAAGTAAGTAAAGTCATTGTTTATAGGGAAAATACGAACAGGTTATTATATTGCGGCATTAAATTAAGTTTGCATCTCGCCCTCTTTGGTTTTTCCTTTTCATGCTTTAAGTGTGAGTAGCCCTAGACCGTTAATTCTATTATATTGTGGCAAACACAACATTACAGTTGGAACTTAATTTGGCCAAAGAAAATGGCTCAACAATATGAAACAAAACACTTGTTGCATATTTAAAGAACTGGTTTAAACCTTCACAAAAGTTTTGAACAGGCTTATATTGCAGCAATTACCAACAAAGGCGAGTGCCTACCATAGGCCTACCCAACAAATGACAGCAATAGCCTAACGCTATTTATTTTACAACAGGCCTACTTTTAACCAATCCGTGGGTGGTTCTCTGTAGCTCAATTGGTAGAGCATGGCACTTGTAACGCCAGGGTAGTGGGTTCGGTCCCCGGGACCACCCATACGTAAAAATGTATGCGCACATGACTGTAAGTCGCTTTGGATAAAAGCGTCTGCTAAATGGCATATTATTATATTATTATTAACTAAATACGGAGCACAAAATTTAAAAGACAGTTCAAACTTAATTTAGCCAATGAAAATGTCTCAACAAAATGAAACAAAACCACTTTTTGCATATTTAAATAACTTGTTTCGATTCTTAAATAGGCCTCCAATAATATAATTATATACAATCATAATAATGATACAACTAATTTATAAAAAATATGAAAATAAGTTAGAAAATTCCATCCAACTGAATAGCACACAGTCCATTTGGCCGTGCCAACGTTCTACTCATCTTTGTCCACTACAATATGGAAACTTGTCCCTGAGGACATTCCGCTTGTCGGCTTCTTTTCACTATACTCTTTCTCCTCTAACTTTCGTTTTACTTAAATGAAAAATCAACAGTAACCTAGGCCAAGACTCCTTTCACTCTCTCTCTCTCTCTCCTCAGCAGCAGGCGCACGTGAGGTGAGCAGCCGGAAGCATTTTCAGCTGGACATAAACTATACAAGTTGCAATTGGCTGACACAGATTACAAGCTTGTGCAGTTCTCATCACCTCACACACATTAAATTAACAGAGGACTGGTCCAATTTGGTCCAGTCAGTAAATCCATTTTAATTGCACATACCTGAAACCCGTGGCAATTATATCAGACCCGACCCAGATCCAAAACAAAAGTCAGAGTTTAGGAGCCGTAGCCGCTTGGGTCCCGGGTCGGATCTCGGAATTTCAGGTCTGTTGGACCCGTGAAGACCTCTACTTTGAGGGTCAGATAGACTCATGGTGTACATTTACTCAGGGATCCATTCTGTGGTTCCACTTGAGGGAGTTGTCAGATGGTTAGGTTATGTGCCAGTGCACTCTATGCAGGTGGTGAAGTGAGCATGTCAGAATCGCATCAGTGTGAGACCAGTGCACAATAAGTCAGTGACACCTCCCTGTCTCTCTGCCCGTCCTCTGTAGACTACCAGTCAGACAGTGATAGCTTTAACCCCACCTTATGGGAGGAGCAGCGCCAGCAGAGGATGACTGTAGCCTTCGAGTTCGAGGAGAAGAAGGAGGAGGAGGACAACTCTGGAAAAGTCAAGGTTTCACAGGACTTTCTGTTGAGCTCCATTTCTCACTGTTTTTATTTTGTTATTCCCGCTCATTTTGCCCCTCCTCTCTGTCCAGGTTGAGATTAATCTGAAGCGCTACCCTACACCATACCCAGAGGATCTGAAGAGCATGGTGAAGTCAGTGCAGAACATGGTGGGCAAGAACCAGCATCCCCTCAGCACTGGTACTAACTCCTCTGGTACCAGCATGGAGTCACGAAAACAAGAACAGTATGAGCCCCCCTGGCCCATGCCCCCCAAAGAGGTAACAGACCAGGTCACACTACAGACCCAGAGACCCACACATACCACCACACTCTCTCTCTTTCTCTCTCTCTCACACGCTCATATACAAAAACAAATGCAAAGATTATACATAATCCTTTTTGGCTGAATGGGATAGAAATGTGTCAATCAGTCACTCAGAGTGTTCTGTTCCAGGTGATGGAGAGAGAGATGAAAGAGAGAGAAAGAGAGTTCAACAAGACTCAGATGGCAGAGCAGGGCATAATCCACAACTCTGCCATTGACATCCCAAAGCGCAAGGACAAGGAGGATCTGACTGAGAGCTCAGAGGTACAGGAGCAATCTCTTTATCTCTTTGTGGACATGTTATTAAGAAGTTTGTAGTGCTTATTACGCTCTTGTAACACCAGGAAAACAAAACAAAACAACAGCTTGTATTGGGCACTATGAGGGAGGGAGTAATGACATGAATGTTTACACTGCAGCCTCAAGGTCCTCTCAGGCCATTATGTCAGATTTAGTTGTCCTCAGTTGCCTCTAATGTTTCAACGTGTGAGTTCAGGTAGAGGTGAGACCATTTGTATTGAGCGTGTGGAAACTGAATTTCATTGACAGAACTGAGGTCATTTCGAAAGATATAGATTAATTTAGTCTCAGCCCACTGGGCGCAGACGTCAGTTGTCATCAAATGTGAATTCAACTCGAAATCAACCAAAAATGTGACCGACCAGCTTGATTCGGTCTTATGAAGCAACATTTGAAATTGTGTTTTTTACATTGGATAAAAGTAGAGAAAATTGTATATCAGAGCCTCCCAAGTGGCGCAGCGGTCTAAGGCACTGCATCACAATGTTGCAGTGTCACTACAGCCTGGGGTTTGTGTCGTTACTGGCCGTGACCGGGAGTCCCATAGGGCGGCGCACAATTGGCCCAGCGTCGGTTAGGGGAGGGTTTGGCCGGGGGGGCTTTACTTGGTTCATCGCGCTCTAGCGACTCCTTGTGGCATGCCGGGCGCCTGCAGGCTAACTTCGGTCATCAGTTGGACGATGTTTCCTCTGACAAATTGGTGCGGCTGGCTTCCGGGTTAAGCGAGCGGGTGTTAAGAAGCGTGGCTTGGCGGGTCATGTTTCAGAGGACGCATGACTCGACCTTCGCCTCTCCCGAGCCTGTTGGGGAGTTGCAGCGATAAGACAAGATCGTAATCAAGAAATTGGGAGAAAAAGGGGGTAATTTTTTAAATAAAAAATGGTATATCGTACACTACAGTTGAGGAACAATGGGAAAGTAATTCTGCTTTGAAAGTTGAGAAACTTGTAACCCCACTTTTGAGAAAATGGCCCTTGAAAGTTTTGGTACACCTACTGGAGAGCTCTTCTTTGTCTACACCCATTCAGCATTGTTCACACCCTCTTAAGCCTTAGCCCCACCCATCTCCATAAGGATTCACATGTGAGGCCATGCTCTAAACAGTGAGTACGGTAGCATACAACCAAAGATTTCAAGACTAAAGGCTGGTTTATACTACGTCTATCGACATGTCTGTATACAGTTGTCGCGGTGACATCATAAACATTCTATTGTCGTCCGACATCAAACTTGTCGTTGTCATTATGAAAAATTATAAACACATGACATCAGCAGCCTGGTGGTCCAAAATAGCATAATTGGTGTATTTTAACACCAATAAACCCATCCGTTTAAAAATGAATTTAGGATATGTCAATCTAGAAAACCAGGCAACTAAAAGCAACTTTCTAAACAATGTTTCGGTTAGTTTCTAGCTTGTTAATGAAAGCAGTGCATTCTACCGGAGAATTTTAGAACTTGGACACATTCTCGTTGGCCTAACGTTATATCCTAATTTGACTTTGGTGCAGGTCATGTTGTTCTTCACATCATGGAGTACACCACATCAGTCACTGGCTTAATCAATAAGTGCATCGATGATGTCGTCCCCACAGTGACCGTACGTACATACCCCAACCAGAAGCCATGGATTACAGGAAACATCCGCACTGAGCTAAAGGGTGGAGCTGCCGCTTTCAAGGAGCGGGACTCTAACCCGGACGCTTATAAGAAATACCGCTATGCCCTCCGACGAACCATCAAACAGGCAAAGAGTCAATACAGGACTAAGATTGAATCGTACTACACCGGCTCTGACGCTCGTCGGATGTGGCAGGGCTCGAAAACTATTACAGACTACAAAGGGAAGCACAGCTGCGAGCTGCCCAGTGACACAAGACTTCCAGACGAACTAAACCACTTCTATGCTCGCTCCGAGGCAAGCAACAATGAAGCATGCATGAGAGCACCAGCTGTTCCAGATGACTATGCGATCACGCTCTCCGTAGCCGATGTGAGTAAGACTTTTAAGCAGGTCAACATTCACAAGGCCGCAAGGCCAGACGGATTACCAGGACGTATACTCCGAGCATGTGTCTTCACTGACATTTTCAACATGTCCCTGACTGAGTCTGTAATACCAACATGTTTCAAGCAGACCACCATAGTCCCCGTGCCCAAGGACTCTAAGATAACCTGCCTAAATGACTACCGACCCGTAGCACTGACGTCTGTAGCCATGAAGTGCTTTGAAAGGCTGGTCATGGCTCACATCAACACCATTATCCCAGAAACCCTAGACCCACTCAATTTGCATACCGCCCCAACAGAGCCACAGATGATGCAATCTCTATTGCACTCCACACTGCCCTTTCCCACCTGGACAAGAGGAACACCTACGTGAGAATGCTATTCACTGACTACAGCTCAGCATTCAACACCATAGTGCCCTCAAAGCTCATCACTAAGCTAAGGATCATGGGACTAAACACCTCCCTCTGCAACTGGATCCTGGACTTCCTGACGGGCCGCCCCCAGGTGGTAAGGGTAGGTAACAACACATCTGCCACACTGATCCTCAACACGGGGGCCCCTCAGGGGTGCGTGCTCAGTCCCCTCCTGTACTCCCTGTTCACCCATGACTGCAACACCATCATTAAGTTTGCCGACGACACAACAGTGGTAGTAGGCCTGATCACAGACAACGATGAGACAGCCTATAGGGAGGAGGTCAGAGACCTGGCCGTGTGGTGCCAGGATAACAACCTCTCTCTCAACGTGACCAAGACAAAGGAGATGATTGTGGACTACAGGAAAAAAAAGAGGACTGAGCACGCCCCCATTCTCATCGACAGGGCTGTAGTGGAACAGGTTGAGAGCTTCAAGTTCCTTGGTGTCCACATTACCAACGAACTATCATGGTTCAAACACACCAAGACAGTCGTGAAGAGGGCACGACAAAGCCTATTCCCCCTCAGGAGACTGAGAAGATTTGGCATGGGTCCTCAGATCCTCAAAAGATTCTACAGCTGCACCATCGAGAGCATCCTGACTGGTTGCATCACCGCCTGGTATGGCAACTGCTTGGCCTCCGACCGCAAGGCACTACAGAGGGTAGTGCGTATGGCCCAGTACATCACTGGGGCCAAGCTTCCTGCCATCCAGGACCTCTATACCAGGCGGTGTCAAAGGAAGGCCCTCAAAATTGTCAAATACTCCAGCCACCCTAGTCATAGACTGTTCTCTTTGCTACCGCACGGCAAGCGGTACCGGAGTGCCAAGTCTAGGTCCAAAAGACTTCTCAACAGCTTCTACCCCCAAGCCATAAGACTCCTGAACAGCTAATCATGGCTACCTGGACTATTTGCACTGCCCCCCCACCCCATCTTTTTACGCTGCTGCTACTCTGTTAATTATTTATGCATAGTCACTTTAACTCTACCCACATGTACATATTACTTAAACTACCTCAACGTGCCGGTGCCCCCGCACATTGACTCTGCACCAGTACCCCCTTGTATATATATCATCACTACTGTTATTTTATTTGACTTCTGCTCTTTTTTTCTCAACACTTTTTTGTTGTTTTATTCTACTTTTTTATTAAAAATAAATGCACTGTTGGTTAAGGGCTGTAAGTAAGAATTTCACTGTCATGTCTGCACCTGTTGTATTCGGCGCATGTGGCCAATAAAATTTGATTTGATTTGATTTAATCAACTAGCTAGGTTCAATGTTAGCTAGCTAGCTAACATTAGGCTATTACTAGCAATGCAAATGGTGCTGAGATACGAATAATATTACTACACAGATCATGCACGTAACGTTAGCTAGCGAGCCAGCCATAGAGCCAGCTAACGTTAGCTAGCTAGCTTTAACTTGCAATGAAAACAACTTTCTGACAAAATTAGAAACGTACAATATCTGAAAATGTAGCTATATAGACTATCTTACCTGTATACATGGATATGTAAGGGTTGGTGTGAGGTGTGACCCAGGTGCGGTGCAGGATAGACAGTAGGCAGTAGGCAAAGATGGTGAAACAAGGATCTTTACTGGGGGTCCAAAAGCCAGGATACAAAACAACGGTCTATACACGAAAACAAATGAGGAGCACATAGGTCTCCAAAAAACAAACAATACGAAATACTAACTCTGACTGGAAAAACACAATGACACAGGGAGAACACTTCTTGAGGACATGTAACTCCTTCACGTGATCCGACACTGATACGTACTGCTTGACATCAAGGAACTAGCAGAGAAAACTGAGCAAGGGAACACAAGGAAGTGAGGGCATAAATACACAGTTGAATCAGATAGCCACAGGTGACACCAATAGGCAGATAATTAGTCCCGACTGTGAGTGAGGAGGTGCCAATGGTTGTCGGAGGATGACACCTAGTGGGTCGCTCCGGAACTGCGACCCACTCCTGTAACATGGATGAACGCTTCTCCCTCACTGTCACGGATGCCATGGTTGCCCTAAGTTTTAATATGTAATCCAGAGACAGGTGTTTTATATAACAGCCTTCTGTGTTCTCTTTTCGACTCCCTCCGCATTTGCAATCAAACGCCTGAATTTTCTCTATCTCCTTAGCTATCATACTCTGCTTCCACCGGGCATTCCACTGATTTCAAAACTCGGTCCTCCAGAAAGTGGAGAGCATTAGCAACACTTTTACAGTTCTTCATGACATCTTTCAAAAAAGCCACTTTAGAAAAAGGATTAACTACATATACTAAGAAGCTCATGTTATAGATAGAAGTGTGCTACATGGTAGACTAATCCAAACTCATCTCTCAGCATGTCCAGCCCATCCATTATCTCAGCCCATCATGGCTAGCGGGAAGGTTCCTGTCTTTTTCCGTGGCTAAACCAACTAGGCTCGTTATTTAACATTTTGATAAAAAATTTTTTTTTTTACGTTCAATACCTCTCCTGTGAAGGCCTAGTTTCCTGAAATGAGTCACAAATGTCACTCTGTCATTGGCTTTAGGTACAAATGTCAGTGAAAAAAAGAATAAATTCCCATACGTTGATTTACTTTTTGATTCAACATCATCACATTGCATTTTTTGGTTGAAATGACGTGGAAACAACGTTGATTCAACCAGTTTTTGCCCAGTGGGAGGTTTCAGTGTTTTTGACTCACGGCCAGGTGTGACAGAGTTTGAGAGGACGATGTATTAAATCCAGGGCCATGGAACTGTGGCTCAGCAGCTTTTTAGAGGTGATGTGAATAAAACCTGCAGAGATCATAGGATCCTTTCATCTTGAAGCCTCAAAGCCCCCATGATGGCCTCAACTGGGTCTTTGTTAAATCGTTAGCTCTCTCTCTGAATACGCAGAGGAGTCAGTGTCAGAGGAGTCCTTCTCAGAGGAGTCAGTGTCTGCTGAGGTGCTGTTTTCAGTGTTTTTTTTTTATACATTGTGCAAAAAGGTGCATTATCTTGGCAAGCATAATATCATATTGTGGCTAAAATGGAAGTTAACTCGGTCATAACTCAAATGTTAAGTATTAGTGCATTTGCAAGTCCCCAGGGGGTGACCTGGTGCTGAAGTTTTGGCTGTGATAAGTCTTGAAAAATACTGCACAACGAACAGCAGAGGCTGTTGAACAAACAGAGCAAAGATCAGTGTTAAATGTCAATTGTATTCAGAGGATAGATCTGAATAGGTGATCTCTAAACGCCTGTTCCCAGAGTTCCCAAAGTGGCCAGCATCTGGAGATGAATAAAACAGGTCATACAATATGTAGTGTATCTTGTATCTTCTTACTGGCATTTCTTTTTAAGCTCAGGCTATCGTTATTGATGGTGTTAAGTCCGAATTTCTTGAATTACATAAAGGTGTTCCGCAGAGGTCGATACTATGACCTGTTCTTTTCACTATTTATATAAATGCTATTGGTCAATCTGTTTTTGTTTTTTTATTTTAATCTATATGCGGATGATACTATTATGTATGCAATTGCCCCGACTGCTGACCTGGCTGTGACAAGGCTACAGTCAGATTTTGCACTTGTGCAGGAAGCCCTTACTTATTTAAAACTCATACTTAATACGGGCAAATCTAAATACATGTTGTTTTCAAGTTTTCGTAAGATTGTCTCAGATGGATTACATCTTTACTCATCGGATGGTTCTATAATCGAACGAGTCCTTGCATACAAATACCTTGGTATTTGGATTAACAATGATATATCGTTTAAAAAACAAACGACTGAGCTTGTTAAGAAGCTTTTTTTTACAGAAACAGATCTGGTCTCTCTCTAGTCAGCAGGAAGCAGATTGTGCAGTCAACCTTTCTACCTGTTGGTGATTATGGTGATACTATTTATCAAAGTGCAGCTGCCTCTACTCTTAAACCCCTGGATGCCGTTTTTCATAGCGGCCTTTGTTTTATCACAGGAGACAGTTATATTAGTCATCACTGTATTCTTTAATAAAAGGTTTTGAAGTCACGTAGATCACATCATTACACTCTTTTTGTTTACAAAGCCCTGCTCCACAAACTTCCGACTTACCTAACATCACTGTTAAGATTTTAAATGACAAGTTATGAAACCTGGTTTGGTTAACTCTGGAAACTCCTTTGGTGTCTAGAAAGTTAGGTCAGTCAGCCTTTTTAATTTCCTTGCACCTTATGTGTGGAATGATCTACAGTACACTATTGGTGCCTCTATGGCATTTCAGACCTTTTTACTGAATAATGTGTCTGTTTTTTATGATTGTGTTTTGCTTTTTGTCTATTAGTGTGTATAATAACGTGTATTTTATTGTGCATATGGGGTCATCTTGAAAAGAGACCTTGGTCTCAGCATTGACTCCATGTCAAAATAAAGGTGAAATAAAATTCAAATAAATATATGAGCCCAGGGTTTGGGACAATTACATCACGGGTGTAAATGCACTTATGCTGGTTGTTAGTCCTTTTAACATAGCATAGATTTAAGTTAAGATGATATGTAGATTTTTGTAAATGTATTTTTTACCTGTAAGATGAAATAACATCTAGAATCCCTTTTCCAGTGGAAGTAGGTTCCAAGGTGTCAGCTAGAAACGGCTTATTTTCATTATAGCTGGAAGGTCCTCCTATGCTTGGCAAACTCTGCTATATCTCTACCTCTCTGTGAAGTGCTTTGACAGAGCAGCAATGTCCTGTGCACTTGTGTCCATTACTGCTTTGGATTGCCTCATGCTGTCTCCCCCCGCAAAGCTCCAGGAAAAGAGACCCTTGGGTGCCATGGTGATGCAACAAGAACTGGGGCACTGGGTGGGGGATGGAGGGGTGGGGGTGCTGATGCCATAACCCATGCTTCTTTACCTCACACATACTTTTTTTTGTAGAACCGTGAGAACTTCCTCTCCATTTTTTATTTGTTTGTATGTGTGTGTGTTTGTTTGTTTGTTTGCTTAGATTTCTTTACATCGCGTCGTTCCCAAGCTGCCACAGCCAGAGAATACGTCATCGGCCGTTACAGCTTCTTCCTGTTTCTGCCTCATAGTAAGTGGCTGTGAGATCAGACATTAGACAGTCTGCTCAACCACGGCTCCGCTGGCGTGACTTCACATTGCCTCTTTGCACCCTGACAAAGTCTGGAAGGATGAAAGAAAGCTAACGGCCACACTCTCTATTGCAAAGATGAATGAACAATGAAACTGTTGATATGTAATGTATATAATGTACAGTACTACAGCTGGCCTTGAATTGTTTCATGCAAAGTCTGTGCATCATGACAGGTAAGACTCAGCTTATACAGTATACTGTAGTATAGCTTATATAGATGTTTGTTTTGTGTGCAAATGGGCAGTAGACTGCCAGTGCCAAGGCTAACTCCAGCACTTATTGGCATCACACACTACAGTCTCTTCACAGCTGTTTGTTTGGAGTTAATCAAGAATTCCTCTGAGACGTGGCCAAAGCATCAAGCCTGCCTTATCAATTACTCACAGGAACAGAGAAGGTGCTGGTCAAATATGGAAACATAGCCTTGGGAGTGATTTAAGGTGGCATTTTTACCCAAAGCAGAAAACGGTGCAGCTGTCACAATATACTGAATCACTTTGAATACATGGAACGGAGGTATACATATCAAATTGAGCTTTGAATGCAACAGTTACACGACAGCATCGTTGCGTGTCATGGACAGTGCCTTGCAAAAGTATTCATCCCCCTTGGCGTTTTTCCTATTTTGTTGCATTACAACCTGTAATTTAAATTGATTTTTATTTGGATTTCATGTAATGGACATATACAAAATAGTCCAAATTGGTGAAGTGAAATGAAAAAAATAACTAACGGAAAAGTGGTGCGTGCATATGTATTCACCCCATTTGCTATGAAGCCCACAAATAATATCTGGTGCAACCAATTACCTGCAGAAGTCACATAATTAGTTAAATAAAGTCCACCTGTGTGCAATCTAAGTGTCACATGATCTGTCATATGATCTCAGTATACAGTTGAAGTCGGAAGTTTACATACACTTAGGTTGGAGTCATTAAAACTTGTTTTTTAACCACTCCACAAATTACTTGTTAACGAACTATAGTTTTGACAAGTCGGTTAGGACATCTACTTTGTGCATGACACAAGTAATTTTTCAACAATTGTTTACTGACAGATTATTTAACTTATAATTCACTGTATCACAATTCCAGTGGGTCAGAAGTTTACATACACTAACTTGACTGTGCCTTTAAACAGCTTGGAAAATTCCAGAAAATTATGTCATGGCTTTAGAAGCTTCTGATAGGCTAATTGACATAATTTGAGTCAATTGGAGTTGTACCTGTGGATGTATTTCAAGGCCTACCTTCAAACTCAGTGCCCCTTTGCTTGACATCATGGGAAAATCAAAGGAAATCAGCCAAGACCTCAGAAAGAAAATTGTAGACCTCCACAAGTCTGGTTCATCCTTGGGAGCAATTTACAAACGCCTGAAGGTACCACGTTCATCTGTACAAACAACAGTACGCAAGTATAAACACCATGGGACCACGCAGCCATCATGCTGCTCAGGAAGGAGATGCGTTCTGGATCCTAGAGATGAACGTACTTTGGTGCGAAAAGTGCAAATCAATATCAGAACAACAGCAAAGGACCTTGTGAAGATGCTGGAGGATACAGGTACAAAAGTATCTATATCCACAGTAAAACAAGTCCTATATCGACATAACCTGAAAGGCCGCTCAGCAAGGAAGAAGCCACTGCTCCAAAACCGCCATAAAAAAGCCAGACTACGGTTTGCAACTGCACATGGGGTCAAAAATCGTACTTTTTTGAGAAATGTTCTCTGGTCTGATGAAACAAAAATAGAACTGTTGGGCCATAATGACCATCGTTATGTTTAGGGGAAAAAGGGGGTTACTTGCAAGCCAAAGAACACCATCCCAACCGTGAAGGACGGGGGTGGTAGCATCATGTTGTGGGGGTGCTTTGCTGCAGGAGGGCCTGGTGCACTTCACAAAATAGATGGCATCATGAGGAAGGAAATTTATGTGGATATATTGAAGCAACATCTCAAGACATCAGTCAGGAAGTTAAAGCTTGGTCGCAAATGGGTCTTCCAAATGGACAATGACCCCAAGCATACTTCCAAAGTTGTGGCAAAATGGCTTAAGGACAACAAAGTCAAGGAATTGGAGTGGCCATCACAAAGCCCTGACCTCACCCTATAGAACATTTGTGGGCAGAACTGAAAAAGCGTGTGCGAGCAAGGAGGCCTACAAACCTGACTCAGTTACACCAGCTCTGTCAGGATGAATGGGCCAACATTCACCCAACTTATTGTGGGAAGCTTGTGGAAGGCTACCCGAAACGTTTGACTCAAGTTAAACAATTTAAAGGCAATGCTACCAAATACTAATTGAGTGTATGTAAACTTCTGACCCACTGGGAATGTGATGAAATAAATAAAATCTGAAATAAATCATTCTCTCTACTATTATTCTGACATTTCACATTCTTAAAATAAAGTGGTGATCCTAACTGACCTAAGACAGGGAATTTTTACTAGGATTAAATGTCAGGAATTGTGAAAAACTGAGTTTAAATGTATTTGACTAAGGTGTATGTAAACTTCCGACTTCAACTGTATATACACCTGTTCTGAAAGGCCCCAGAGTCTGCAACACCACTAAGCAAGGGGCACCACCAAGCAAGTGGCACCATGAAGACCAAGGAGCTCTCCAAACAGGTCAGGGACAAAGTTGTGGAGAAGTACAGATCAGGGTTTGGTTATAAAAAAATATCCAAAACTTTTAACATCCAACGGAGCACCATTAAATCCATTATTAAAAAATGGAAAGAATATGGCACCACAACAAACCTGCCAAGAGAGGGCCGCCCACCAAAACTCACGGACCAGGCAAGGAGGGCATTAATCAGAGAGTCAACAAAGAGACCAAAGATAACCCTGAAGGAGCTGCAAAGTTCCACAGCGGAGATTGGAGTATCTGTCCATAGGACCACTTTAAGCCGTACACTCCACAGAGCTGGGCTTTACAGAAGAGTGGCCACAAAAAAGCGATTGCTTAAAGAAAAAAATAAGCAAACACGTTTGGTGTTCGCCAAAAGGCATGTGGGAGACTCCCAGAACATATGGAAGAAGATACTCTGGTCAGATGAGACTAAAATTGAGCTTTTTGGCCATCAAGTAAAACGCTATGTCTGGCGCAAACCCAACACCTCTCATCACCCCGAGAACACCATCCCCACAGTGAAGCATGGTGGTGGCAGCATCATGCTGTGGGGATGTTTTTCATCGGCTGGGACTGGGAAACTGGTCAGAATTGAAGGAATGATGGATGGCGCTAAATACAGGGAAGTTTTTGAGGGAAACCTGTTTCAGTCTTCCAGAGATTTGAGACTGGGACGGAGGTTCACCTTCCAGCAGGACAATGACCCTAAGCATACTGCTAAAGCAACACTCGAGTGGTTTAAGGGGAAACATTTAAATGTCTTGGAATGGCCTAGTCAAAGCCCAGACCTCAATCCAATTGAGAATCTGTGGTATGGCTTAAAGATTGCTGTACACCAGCGGAACCCATCTAACTTGAAGGAGCTGGAGCAGTTTTGCCTTGAAGAATGGGCATAAATCCCAGTGGCTAGATATGCCAAGCTTATAGAGACATACCCCAAGAGACCTGCAGCTCTAATTGCTGCAAAAGGTGGCTCTACAAAGTATTGACTCTGGGGGGGTGAATAGTTGTGCACGCTCATGTTTTCTGTTTTTTTGTCTTATTTCTTGTTTGTTTCACAAAAAAAAATATTTTGCATCTTCAAAGGGTAGGCATGTTGTGTAAATCAAATGATACGAACCCCCCCCCAAAAATCCATTTTAATTCCAGGTTGTAAGGCAACAAAATAGGAAAAATGCCAAGGGGGGTGAATACTTTCGCAAGCCACTGTAACTTCTGCACTGAACATGCTAAACCCTCATAGTAGCCCCATCATGGATATGATTGTATTTCTCATGAAATTATAGGTTTTAAAACATATACCGCATGAGTATTGGAAATTGTTGCAGCCTCTTTTCAGACTAGCACCACTTATTTGCATTGTAAAAATGGAAACTGGCTAGGAAAACATGAGGGAGGACAGAGGAGACAGGAAATGGAGTGAGATACAGATATGTCAGTGAGACTGCTGTGTGTTCTTGGGATGTGGTTCCTGGGGATCGCCAGGCAACCTGGGCTGGTAATAGCAGGAAGTCACAGATAGGACATGCTCCAGTGGACCCCACATCACTGAGAAATAGAGAAAATATATCAGTTACTGTAGACACTATGAGTGCAGTATATATAAGCAGTACAATAATGAACAGTTATGTATTATATTTGTGTCCTTTAGTTAGCTCCTGCCTCAGGAACCTCACCAAGATTGTGGAGTTAAGTTGGTGAAGCTGTTAAATAAGTTTTGTATGTATATGTGTTTTGTGTTTCTGTCTTTTGTTCAGAAATAACGATGGTGTAATAACACATTATTTTTTCTCAGGATTCTATGGGCGGCTCTCCGAATGACATCCGTATCTCTGATATGAGGCCCACCCTGGTGGAACCGCCCATGTACAAACCAAAAGTTGTATTACTAGGAAAAGACAAGAAAGGTAGGCCCTAAACTTTTGTCGCTGGTATTCTAATTCAGTACAAACACGACCAATACAATTTAAGGATATGCAATCACTGTTCTCTGATCCCCTATCAGAACACTATAAATGTGCCTATTAGTGATGTTAGAGCAGTTATGGTCAACTTTGACAGTTGATGAAGAGCTGTTACAGTATGCTTCAATTATAATAACTACACTATACAGTATATACAGTACCAGTCAAAAGTTTGGACACACCTACTCATTCAAGGGTTTCTCTTTATTTTTTACTATTGTTTACATTGTAGAATAATAGTGAAGACATCAAAACTATGAAATAACACTTATGGAATAATGTAGTAATCAAAAAAGTGTTAATAAAATCAAAATATATTTTATATTTGAGATTCTTCAAATAGCCACGCTTTGCCTTGATGACATCTTTGCAAACTCTTGGCATTCTCTCCACCAGCTTCACCTGGAATGCTTTTCCAACAGTCTTGAAGGAGTTCCCACATATGCTGAGCACTTGTTTGCTGCTTTTCCTTCACTCTGCCGTCCGACTCATCCCAAACCATCTCAATTGTGTTGAGGTCGGGGGATTGTGGGGGCCAGGTCATCTGATGCAGCACTCCATCACTCTCCTTCTTGGTCAAATAGCCCTTACACAGCCTGGAGGTGTGTTTGGTCATTGTCCTGTTGAAAAACAAATGATAGTCCCACTAAGCCCAAACCAGATGGGATGGCGTATCGCTGCAGAATGCTGTGGTAGACATGCTGGTTAAGTGTGACTTGAATTCTAAATAAATCACAGACAGTGTCACCAGCAAAGCACCCCCTTACAATAACACCTCCTCCTCCATGCTTTATGGTGGGAACTACACATGCGGAGATCGTCCATTCACCCACACCGCGTCTCAAAAAGACACGGCGGTTGGAACTAAAAATCTTAAATTTGGACTCCAGACCAAAGGACACATTTCCACCGGTCTAATGTCCATTGCTCGTGTTTCTTGGCCCAAGCAGGTCTCTTCTTCTTATTGGTGTCCTGTAGTAGTGATTTATTTGCAGCAATTTGACCATGAAGGCCTGATTCACACAGTCCCCTCTGAACAGTTGATGTTGAGATGTGTCTGTTACTTGAACTCTGTGAAGCATTTATTTGGGCTGCAATTTCTGAGGCTGGTAACTCTAATAAACTTATCCTCTGCAGCAGAGGTAACTCTGGGTCTTCCATTCCTGTGGCGGTCCTCATGAGAGCCAGTTTCATCATAGCGCTCGATGGTTTTTGCGGCTGCACTTGAGGAAACTTTCAAAGTTCTTGAAATGTTCCGTATTGACTGACCTTCATGTCCTAAAGTAATGATGGACTGTCGTTTCTCTTTGCTTATTTGAGCTGTTCTTGTCATAATATGGACTTGGTCTTTTACCAAATAGCGCTATCTTCTGTATACCCCCCCTACCTTGTCACAACACAACTGATTGGCTCAAATGGATTAAGAAGGAAATACATTCCACAAATTAACTTTGCATTCCAGGTGACTACCTCATGAAGCTGGTTGAGAGAATGCCAAGAGTGTGCAAAGCTGTCATGAAGGCCAAGGGTGGCTATTTGAATAATTTGTTTAACACTTTTTTGTTTACTACATGATTCCATATGTGTTATTTCATAGTTTTGATGTCTTCACTATTATTCTACAATGTAAAAAAAAAAGTAAAATAAAGAAAAACCCTTGAATGAGTAGATGAGTCCAAACTTTTGACTAGTAGTGTATGTCTTAAAGCCAGTATGTATATCCTGAGGCCATACTTTCAAACTGTATTTTCTATCTCACACTGATAAACCAGAGTAAGCTGATTGACTAGTTGTTACAGGCTATTTGTGCTGATATCTCAATCAGTGGGAGGCTGACCCTCTATCAGTAAAAATACCTACTCTCTGCTCTAATCCTGTTCTGACATGAAAAAGCCTCAAGCTTTCTAAGCTCTCCAGTGAAAAATCCTATGTTTGCTATTGTTATTTCTAAATGCATGTGTGTTTCCTCCTGTGAGATTACAAAACATAGTCCTGCAATGCACAATTATTATATAATATCCTTGGGGAGTGTTGTATCCTAATGAGGTATGGTATAAAGCATATTAATTGCAATTTATTACATAATGTCTCGCTTTTGGATTGAGGAGAAAAGGCATCCAATTCTCTCCAGTAGCTTTTGCCCCCCAGCTTTAACCCACATTTTAAGTGGAAACATGAGCAGTGACCTTTTGAAAATGAGATGTTCCCTTAAGCCCCTATTCAGATTAATTTCACAGGTAGCTATCATCAGAGACATACCAATGCTTTTCTCTCCCACTCCCCTGTCAGAATCTATAGATGAGTCAGACCCAGATAAGATGCATTGCCTGAACAACAGTGGCTCGTCAGCCACCTACTCAGACTACTCTCCGTCCCAGGGTTCTTCTGGCTCCTCCAACCCCCCGGGGAATGTGGCCACCCTGCAGGCTGCTGGGAAGGATGGAGGAGTGCCTCAACAACACTGGACCAACAGGTGGGTAGTGGCTCACTGACTCTCAATATACAGTCCCACACTGAACCAGAGACTAGACACTCGCCTGATAACAAACTTACGGTGACCTAGGATCGGAATCGGTCCGCCATCAGCAAAATCAGAGGCTCAGTGGTCTCACAGCCACCTGTGGTCTGATAAGTGCTTGCTAGCTGGGTCATTTCCAGTACTGTTCTGTACTGTGTCAATATGTCGTCCAGCAGGCATCGATTCCACCTGTTGGTTTCCTGAGACAGAGGGGTGTTGTGTAGGGCACCTGGGTGAACAGGAGGTGGAACTCCAGCTGTCAAGCAGCTGTGTGAGGGAAGAGAGTGGTGCACCAAGTCTCTTTTACATCTCTCATTAACATACATCTCCATAAGACTGACAGAGCGTAGCACATCTCTCTCGCTGTCTCTTTCCTCTCTTTCGCTTTCCCTGTCTGTCTGTCTGTCTGTCTGTCTGTCTGTCTGTCTGTCTGTCTGTCTGTCTGTCTGTCTGTCTGTCTGTCTGTCTGTCTGTCTGTCTGTCTGTCTGTCTGTCTGTCTGTCTGTCTGTCTGTCTGTCTGTCTGTCTGTCTGTCTGTCAGCCCAGCCAAGGTCAGAGGGACAGTTCCTTTCCACTCTCTTCTTCATTGAAATGCAGCTGAAACACTACCATTGGGGCTCTTGAAACTGTTTTAGTCAGTCCGTGCCAGAACTTCCGAGAGCATTGTTATTTTTTCCAACTGAATCCTGGCTGAAATTCTACAGATGGAGGTCTCACTGAAAAATACTTCTATTTTTTTTATCTGTGGATACAATTATAGTTGACTTCTACTGATACTTTCAGACCTCTATGGAAAACAGTCCAGCTCAAATCTGTGCATATTTCCCTTTTATGATATATTGGTAAAAAAGCAATTGGATTCCCTTTGAAATGCCAGCAGTATAGCTTCAGGCAAACATGACTTTAAAATACACAGTACCTTTCTATTTTAATGCAGCCTTTGATTTGACCTATCAAAACTCCAAGTCAAGTTGGAGGTCCATTATGAATGTTACCCTCTATTCTATGTAGTAAATATACCTTGATGAAATGATATGTTATGATACCTGTGCCCACTCTCTTTCTGCAGGCTGGCCCAGCAGTTCCCCAAGCCCATTGAGACCAAGCCCTTACTGAGAGACCCCAGAGAGACCCCTCCCTCCAGCACACTGCAGCAGCGCAGCGAGCGACGCCCCCTCAGCGACACCTTTGACCAGTGGAACGACACCTCCCACTACGACAATACAGGCTTCGTGTCTGAAGAGGCTCCTCTGGAGACCCCCAGTGGTAGCAGCAGTGGTAACCCCATGCTGGGCTCAAAGTCCTGCAGCGCCTCCACCTCCCACGGGGGCCGCCGGCCCCTCATGAGGCAGGAGCGCATCGTGGGCATCCCCCTGGAGTTGCAGGATGCCCCTCACCAACACCAACACCCCTCCCACCAATTCCATAATGTCCGCAACACGCCCGAAGCTGAAATGCCTCAGCCTCCCACCCCCAACCCGTGGCAGAACTGGACGAGGACGCCCAGCCCCTTCGAGGACCGCACAGCTTTCCCCTCCAAACTGAGCTCCCCATGCAACAGCCCCAATCCTGACCGCAAGGACTTTGAGCAGGAGCTGCCGGGCACGTTCCCCTCCACAGGGACGTGGGGTTACTTAGACTCCAGAAACTCAGGGCAGGGGCAGGGGCGCAGCAGCCAGCAGGCCAACATGTCCAACATGTACCAACATGTCGAATCCAAGCCCACTAGACCAAGCTCTGGGGCCATGGTGATGAGCAAGAGCTCTGAGCGCCTCTTTCCCATGATGAAGGAGGTGAAGGCTAAGTTCAAGAAGTCCCAGAGTATTGATGAGATAGACATGGGCTCCTACAAGGTGTACAGCATTCCCGTGGACACCTACAGCTCCAGCATAGAGAACCAGGGGAGTGTTGACCGTGCAGACATGCCAGCCCCCATGGAGCAGAGCATGTCCCGGAGCAAGTCTGCCCCCATGCTGGACGATGATGATGCCTACGGAACTAATTGCCAGCAGCAGAAGCCTGCCATCCCCAAGAAGGTCTACCACTTCGACCAGAGCTTCAACCCTCAGGGGGCTATGGATATGAGGAATCAGCAGCAGGAGAGGAGGGCCCCTCCGCCCTTCCCGAACACCCCTGAGTATGTCAACCATCCGGGGAAGACCCTGCCCAAGGAGCTGGTGAGCCCCAGGGGTTACCGGGGTTACCCTCCCATGGACCAGATGTTCTCCTACTCTCAGCCCTCAGTCAACGAGGAGAACCAGCCACCCCAGCAGCAGCAACCCTTCCCCATTCCCAGTCAGCGCTCCCGGCCTGGGTTCCTGAGGCGGGCCGACTCCCTGGTCAGCTCCACAGAGCTGGCCCTGTTCCGCAGGGTTCAGGAGGCCCAGGAGATGCAGCAGAAGTCGGACCACTATGGCCGGCAGCACTTCAAAGGCATGCTGGAGCACCAGAACAGTCTGGCCAGCATGGCCCAGCAGGACCAACAGTACAACAAGAGGAATGGCAGGTACGAGGAAGACTACTCCTCCTACCAGGAGCCCAAGAAGCCCATCATGGGCTACCCCACTAAGAGCCTGACACAGCGGCGGCCTCTGTCGGCCAGGAGTTACAGCACGGAGACGTTCGGGGCGTCCCAGGCCAGGCCTGTGTCTGCCAGACCCACCATGGCTGCCCTGTTGGAGAAGATGCCCCCAGATTATAATCTGAGCACTTGCACTGAGAATATAAAGAGCCCTGATGAGATGAAAATGCGCACCATGCAGCTGCAGCATAAGCCTGACGATATGTCCTCTAACATGCCAGTAGACTGGAGGCAACAGCTGCTTAGACATATAGAGGCCAAACGAATAGACCGGGTAAGTCCGACAACTTCTTATTCACCTTGGGAATAAACCGTTTATTACACGATTGCACACCATCTACATGTGAGCTTCTGTTGTCTTGACCCACACGCCACATGACTGCATGACCGTCAGTATTGACTGCTTAGTTATGTTCTCCAGTTATGGCACCAGTCTCACTTGGAGTTTCACTGTATGTATAAGTTGCACAAACCATGTTTGGTACGTTTTCCTCTCAACGTTCTCTTTCTCCTCTCTTTTATTTTCTTTCTACTATTACTATTAGTATGATATCATACTTTAACAAGACAAGTATATCTGTCTGTACTACTACAATTTGGGTCAGTTTTCCTAAAGCAGGGTCCCCCAACTGGCGGCCCGCGGGGGATTCTGAGGGAAACCTCAGAACAGCGCCGGAAGAAGATGGCTGCCGTTTTACAGCCCTCTAACCAATTGTACTATTATGTGTGTTTTTCCGCGTTATTTGTAATTTATTTTGTACATAATGTTTATGCCATCGTCTCTTATAACCAAAGAGAGCTTCTGGATATCAGGACAGCGATTACTCACCTCGCGTTGGACGAACACTTTTTTTTCAACAAGGCGTTCGCGAAGGATATTCTACAGACTCCAGACAAGGCCCAGATCCCCGTCATTCGCGTGAGGAAGAGACGGAGATACCGTGGACGTAGGTCGGGGTGCCTTGTAAAGATCCGACGGCGAACGAGTAAACTGCCTCTCCCATCAATCCTATTAGCCAACGTTCAAGCTTTGGATAATAAAATGGACGATTTAAGATTACGGTTATCCTACCAACGGGACATTAAAAACTGTAATATCTTATGTTTCACGGAGTCGTGGCTGAATGACAACAATGACAACATTCAGCTAGCAGGCTATACGCTACATCGGCAGGACAGAACGGCAGACTCGGGTAAGACGAGGGGTGGCGGTCTCTGTATTTTTGTAAACAACAGCTGGTGCACAAAATCAAATACTAAGGAAGTCTCAAGGTTTTGCTCGCCTGAGGTAGAGTATCTTATGATAAGCTGTAGACCACACTATTTACCAAGAGAGTTTTCATCTATACTTTTCATAGCTGTCTATTTACCACCACAAACCAATGCTGGCATTAAGATTGCACTGAATGAGTTGTACAAGGCCATTAATCAACAGGAAAACGCTCATCCAGATGCAGCGCTCCTAGTAGCAGGGGACTTTAATGCAGGGAAACTTAAATCCGTTCTACCTCATTTCTACCAGCATGTTAAATGTGCAACCAGAGGGGAAAAAACTCTAGACCACCTTTACTCCACACACAGAGACGCATACAAAGCTCTCCCTCGCCCTCCATTTGGCAAATCTGACCATAACTCTATCCTCCTGATTCCTGCTTATAAGCAAAAACTGAAGCAGGAAGCACCAGTGACTCGGCTAATAAAAAAGTGGTCAGATGACGCAGATGCTAAGCTACAGGACTGTTTTGCTAGCACAGACTGGAACATGTTCAGGGATTCTTCAGACAGCATTGAGGAGTACACCACATCAGTCACTGGCTTCATCAATAAGTGCATCGATGATGTCGTCCCCACAGTGACCGTACGTACATACCCCAACCAGAAGCCATGGATTACAGGAAACATCCGCACTGAGCTAAAGGGTAGAGCTGCCGCTTTCAAGGAACGGGACTCTAACCCGGACGCTTATAAGAAATCCCGCTATGACCTCCGACGAACCATCAAACAGGCAAAGAGTCAATACAGGTCTAAGATTGAATCATACTACACTGGCTCTGACGCTCGTCGGATGTGGCAGGGCTTGAAAACTATTACAGACTACAAAGGGAAGCACAGCCGCGAGCTGCCCAGTGACACAAGCCTACCAGACGAGCTAAACCACTTCTATGCTCGCTTCGAGGCAAGCAACACTGAAGCATGCATGAGAGCACCAGCTGTTCCGGACGACTATGTGATCACGCTCTCCGTAGCCGATGTGAGTAAGACTTTTAAGCAGGTCAACATTCACAAGGCCGCAGGGCCAGACGGATTACCAGGACGTGTACTCCGAGCATGTGCTGACCAACTGGCAAGTGTCTTCACTGACATTTTCAACATGTCCCTGACTGAGTCTGTAATACCAACATGTTTCAAGCAGACCACCATAGTCCCCGTGCCCAAGAACTCTAAGATAACCTGCCTAAATGACTACCGACCCGTGGCACTGACGTCTGTAGCCATGAAGTGCTTTGAAAGACTGGTCATGGCTCACATCAACAGCATAATCCCAGAAACCCTAGACCCACTCCAATTTGCATACCGCCCCAACAGATCCACAGATGATGCAATCTCTATCGCACTCCACACTGCCCTTTCCCACCTGGACAAGAGGAACACCTACGTGAGAATGCTATTCATTGACTACAGCTCAGCATTCAACACCATAGTGCCCTCAAAGCTCATCACTAAGCTAAGGATCCTGGGACTAAACACCTCCCTCTGCAACTGGATCCTGGACTTCCTGACGGGCCGCCCCCAGGTGGTAAGGGTAGGTAACAACACATCTGCCACACTGATCCTCAACACGGGGGCCCCTCAGGGGTGCGTGCTCAGTCCCCTCCTGTACTCTCTATTCACCCATGACTGCATGGCCAGGCACGACTCCAACACCATCATTAAGTTTGCCGACGACACAACAGTGGTAGGCCTGATCACCGACAACGATGAGACAGCCTATAGGGAGGAGGTCAGAGATCTGGCCGTGTGGTGCCAGGACAACAACCTCTCCCTCAACGTGACCAAGACAAAGGAGATGATTGTGGACTACAGGAAAAAAAAGAGGACTGAGCACGCCCCCATTCTCATCGACAGGGCTGTAGTGGAACAGGTTGAGAGCTTCAAGTTCCTTGGTGTCCACATCACCAACGAACTATCATGGTCCAAACACACCAAGACAGTCGTGAAGAGGGCACGACAAAGCCTATTCCCCCTCAGGAGACTAAAAAGATTTGGCATGGGTCCTCAGATCCTCAAAAAATTCTACAGCTGCACCATCGAGAGCATCCTGACTGGTTGCATCACCGCCTGGTATGGCAACTGCTTGGCCTCTGACCGCAAGGCACTACAGAGGGTAGTGCGTACGGCCCAGTACATCACTGGGGCAAAGCTCCCTGCCATCCAGGACCTCTATACCAGGCGGTGTCAGAGGAAGGCCCTCAAAATTGTCAAAGACTCCAGTCACCCTAGTCATAGACTGTTCTCTCTGCTACCGCACGGCAAGCGGTACCGGAGTGCCAAGTCTAGGTCCAAAAGACTTCTCAACAGCTTCTACCCCCAAGCCATAAGACTCCTGAACAGCTAATCATGGCTACCCGGACTATTTGCACTGCCCCCCCACCCCATCCTTTTTACGCTGCTGCTACTCTGTTAAGTATTTATGCATAGTCACTTTAACTCTACCCACATGTACATATTACCTCAACTAGCCGGTGCCCCCGCACATTGACTATGCAACGGTACCCCCCTGTATATATAGCCTCCCTACTGTCACTTTATTCTATTGTATATATAGCCTCCCTACTGTCACTTTATTTTTTACTTCTGCTCTTTTTTTCTCAACACTTTTTTGTTGTTGTTTTATTCTTACTTTTTTGTTTAAAATAAATGCACTGTTGGTTAAGGGCTGTAAGTAAGCATTTCACTGTAATGTCTGCACCTGTTGTATTCGGCGCATGTGACCAATAAAATTTGATTTGATTTGATTTGATTTTGATTTGATTTGATTTGATTTGATTTTATTTTATTTGCCCCCACATGTTTTCTGAGCAAAAACCGAACAAAGCAAAAAACATTGTTAAAATTGTTTTAATGTTGGACATAAAATACTGTAAAAACACCAGCAAATCAGCTCCAAGTGATTTTAATTTAGGAAATCTTTTCCAAAATATTCCCACACATAATAGAGAGATATACACTGAGTATACCAAACATTAGGAACACCTTCCTAAAAATTAGTTGCATCCCCCCGCCCCCCCTTTTGCCCTCAGAACAGTCTCAATTCGTCTGGGCATGGACTCTACAAGGTGTCGAAAGCGTTCCACAGGGATACTGGCCCATGTTGACTCCAATGCTTCCCACAGTTGTGTCAAGTTGGCTGAATGTCCTTTGGGTGGTGGACCATTCTTGATACACACAGGAAACTGTTGAGCGTAAAAAACCCAGCAGCGTTGCAGTTCTTGACACAAACCGGTGCGCTTGGCACCTACTACCATACCTTGTTCAAAGGCACTTAAATATTTTGTCTTGCCCATTCACCATACACAATCCATGTCTCAATTGTCTCAAGGCATAAAAATCCCTCTTTTACTTGTCTCCTGCCCTTCATCTACACTGATTGAAGTGGATTTAACAAGTGACATCAATAAGGGATCATGGCTTTCACCTGGATTCACCTGGTCAGTCTATGTCATGGAAAGAGCAGGTGTTCTTCATGTTTGTACACTCAGTGTATGTGACCGTATACACATGTAAGCAAGGTTTGAAATTAATATGTTTTAGTCAAATATTTTATCTGTTTGGGCTTCTTGCGGTCAATTCGCAGTCTGCTAATTATTTGTACTTATGTTCTGGCGCCCTGACCATCTACTCAAGAAAAAAATCTAGTTGATGATTTCTGCCCTAAAGGGTCTATCAGAGTCCAAAACGTGTACGTGTACGCACAGCAGTGTTCTAGAATATCGGAACGATGGCTTTCATACTTTCAAATCCTCATTCAAATGGAGGATGCGTTTGTGGAGCAGCGTTGGTTGGGAATTCTGGGCAGGTGCGCGTTTGGGCTGTGTATCCCCCGCGGACGGTGGTCTCAGAGCCAAGTAGCTGTGTCGCGATCGGACGCCGAACTATCTGCATCTGTGGACTCTGAATTACGCTTAACACTGATTAAACCTAGTTCTGAATTAGAAAACACTCCAGGACTAGGCTTAATCTGGGTCCGGGAAACCGGCCCTTGATAATATAGGCAAGTACTTCAGTGCTATACATCTCTTAAAGAAAAGTACATACTGTTGCTTTTATGATATACGTAGTCATACTGTATCCATGAGTGTGTTTTAATGTGTTTGTGCTGGTAGCCTACTGTAGTAACTCTGTACTGTTGTTGTTCTGTTTGTCAAGCTCACTTTATCTGTTGCAGCTACGCAATGTGTCTTGGTGCAATCCCGTTAACCCAGTGGCTCACCCATTTACTCATGTCACGTGATTGTTTCCCTCCAATCAGAGCGCTGTCCTTAAGCACAACACAGTAAACTTCGGCATGCTGTGCTCTGGAGGCTATGCTGCACCGCATGCAAGCAGAAGCATGACAATAAACTTTTACAATAACATGAATAAGCATGAAAACCAAACAACACAGTGGCTACCTCTACCCAATGTGAGTATGAACCAGAAAACACAGAAACAGTCTCAGTGCAGTTGAACCCTTTCACATTCATTTCATACAGTGTACTGCATTTCTATTATTTTGTAAGGATAAAAGCTTAAAAACAACATTTATCATAAGCAGAACAATATTACCCATAGCTGCATTTTCCTTACAATGGAGAATGTTTATTTTTATTTGTATCACTTGCCTTAAATATTGAAATGCTATGCCTGTATATCTTTGTTTTATTATAGTCCACTTTATATTCCAATTATTTTACATTCTAATCTTGAGGGATGAAACTTGAGCCCAGAAATAATACCAGCATTAAGAAAACGAGTCTAGACCCGAGACTCATGTATCACGGTATCAGTATAAAATGCATACAGTGAAGCCGAGTATTATACAATTTCTTAGCCAAATGACACCAGCGGTGTCGGTGTGAAACAAGCCTTAAGATGACTGACATGGCAATCCCTCACATTTCAACTTCAAGCCAAGCGCTGTCTTTTATCTGTTGTCTGAAATATTAAAGTGTCTGCAGTGTGTTGCATGTGTGCAATCAATGTGTCAGCTCCGGTGTCTGCTCTGTGCTATTATTACTGTGTAAAGCTATTAATGTACCCTGTGTCACTCAGTAGCCTCAATGCAATGGGGCCTAGTTTATAGGCACTATGCATTTAAGGACACAGACAAGCACATTGTAATGAAAAGCAGAGATTGTATCAGAGTTTCTCGCTTGCTTATCTTTCTTGTATAGGTATTTTAGTGCCTATAAGCCAACCTATCATTTTTAGCCTGTCCCAATCTCTCTTAACCTGTCAGTCACAGTCTATTCTTATCAAATAAGTATTGTAAGTGGACGAAATGACAGGAGGTAAACAACCCAACTGATATATTCATACTTATAGGACTTTAAGCTTACCATTATAAAGAAGCTAAGGTCATGATATTGATCCAAGGATACCCGCTGGTTTACTATCTGCAATACTCCGCCGATAGTATTATTATTATCAGTGACTATAACCTTATAATCAATAGAGCAAATTAATTTACCTTTATCTCTGCTAAAACTGTAGTCACGTTAGCAGCAAATACAGGTTACCACCATAGCGGTGATGATACTCTAAATTGTGTTCCTTTACCCTGTTCTCTCTCCAGACCCCCTCTCAACAGAGCAATATATTAGACAACGGCCAGGAGGTGGTCTCTCCCACTACTCAGTGGGCCCCCTACTCACTGGGCAGGAGAGACGTGCCCCCAGAAAACATCATGAAAAAGGTTGGTGCTTTACACAGGCAAAGGACTGGGTGGGAGGCCTGTTTGGAGTGTTGTAATGCCATTGTTAGTTTTAGCCTGAACTATACTGATGACATAGTGCTCATTATCACCCAGCTTGCTGAATGAAACACTGGGCTTGTAGCTCATTCATATATTGAACAAAAATATAAACGCAACATGCAACAATTTCAAAGATTTGACTGAGTTACAGTTCATATAAGGAAATCAGTCAATTGAAATAAATTCATTAGGCCCTAATCTATGGGTTTCACATGACTGGGCAGGGGTGCAGCCATGGGTGGGACTGGGAGGGCATAGGTCCATGTACTTGGCAGCCAAACCCACCCACTGGGGAGCCAGGCCCAGACAATCAGAATGAGTTTTTCCCCACAAAAGGGCTTTATTACAGACAGAAATACTCCTCTTTCGCAACAGCTCTGGTGGACATTCCTGCAGTCAGCATGCCAATTGCATGTTCCCTCAAAACTTGAGACATCTGTGGCATTGTGTTATGTGACAAAACGGCACATTTTAAAGTGGCTTTTTATTGTCACCAGCACAAGGTGCACCTGTGTAATGATCATGCTGTTTAATCAGTTTCTTGATATGCCACACCTGTCAGGTGGATGGATTATCTTGGAAAAGGAAAAATACTCACTAACAGGGATATAAACAAATCTGTGCATAACATCTTTGTCACGGTTTACTAAGCCAGAACCCAGAAGCAGACCAGGACAAGGTGAGTTGAAACGAAGGTGAGTATTTATTTAACAGATTCAAAAAACGATGCAGAATAATCCAGGGGACAGAGCGGGCGGCGGAGATGAGTTGGTGGAGGTGCAGTGGCAGATCCAATAATGGCTCAGCAGCCGCCGACAACCAGGCAGGGGTTGGGTGAAGGTTCCGGGAGATTGACTGCAGATAGAAACAAAACGGAGGTAAGTACACGGCAAGCCAACAAGGTGCAAAACAACAAAACTAACGCTAGAAACTCCAAGGCTGATACACTGACAAACATACTGTTCATGGCTAACGATCCGGCAGGGAATGGATGTCAGGTCAGAGCTTATGAAGGGTGATGATCAGGACCAGGTGTGCAGACCGCTGATGAGATGCAGGTGCGGTTAATCGGGAGATCTCCCGCCTAGCAACGTCGCCCGGCAACCAGGCCGGGAGCGTTCAAGAACCCTCAGGAAACTGGAGATTCCGAGCAGAAAAATGGCAACACAGGCAGGAACCGACTCAGGATGCAGGGTTCATGACAATCTTAGAGAAATAAGCTTTTTGTGCGTATGGATTTCAAAAAAAATTTCACCTTATGAAACATGGGACCAACACTTTACATGTTGCATTTTTGTTTTTCTTCAGTGTATATTTATGACATATCAGTACATTTAATGTCAAATCGCAATCCACCCCCACACATCCATTGTTTTTGAAACAACGGTGACATTACAAGCACATACAGTGCCTTCAGAAAGTATTCAAACCCCTTGACTTTTATCACATTTTGTTGTTACAGCCTGAATGTAAGATTTTGTGTCACTGATCTACACACAATAGCCCATAAAATCAAAGTGGAATTAGGTTTTTTGAAATGTTTACAAATTAATTAAAAATTAAAAGCTGAAATGTCAATAAGTATTCAAACTTTTGTTATGGAAAGCCTAAATAAGTTCAGGAGTAAAAATGTGCTTAACAAGTCACATAATAAACTGCAGGACTCACTCCGTGTGTAATAATAGTGTTTAAATGAGTACCCCATTTCTGTACCCCACACATACAATTGTCTGTATGGTCCAGTGCTTGACTTGGGCAGGAGCTCACCGGAGCTGAATATTAGCTCAAAAGTATTGTGGCGCTCCTGCACCTAGATATAAACTGTTCCAGCAACCAGCATGAGTAACGGCACCTATTTCAGTCCAAGTCAAGCACTGGTAGGGTCCCTCAGTCGAGCAGTGAATTTCAACCACAAAGACCAGGGAGGTTTTCCAATGGTTCGCAAAGAAGGGCACCTATTTGCAGTTGGGTAAAAATAAAACAAGCTGACAGTGAATATCCCTTTGAGCATAGTGAAGTTATTAATTACACTTTGGATGGTGTATCAATACACCCAGTCACTACAAAGATACATGCACCCTTCCCAACTCAGTTGCTGGAGAGGAAGGAAACAGCTCAGGAATTTCACTATGAGGCCAGTGGTGATTAAAACAGTTACAATGTTTAATGGCTGTGATAGGAGATAGCTGAGGATGGATCAACAACATTGTAGTTACTCCACAATACTAACACAAATGACATAGTGAAAAGGAAGCCTGTACAGAATAAACAATATTCCAAAATATGCATCCTGTTTGCAATAAGGCACTAAGATAATACTGCAAAAACAAATGTGGCAAAGAAATGAACTTTTTGTCCTGAATGCAAAGCGTTATGTTTGGGGCAAATACAACACAACACGTCACTGAGTACCACTCTTCATATTTTCAAGTGTGGTGGTTGCTGCATTATGTTATAGGTATGCTTGTCATCAGCAAGGACTAGGGAGTTTTTTAGGATACAATTAAACGGAATAGAGCTAAGCACAGACAAAATCCTAGAGGAAAACTTGGTTCAGTCTGCTTTCCAACAGACACTGGTAGTCTAATTCACCTTTCAGTAGGACAATTACCTAAAACACAAGGCCAAATATACACTGGAGTTGTTTACCAAGACGACATTGAATGTTCTTGAGTGGCCTAGTTACAGTTTTGACTTTCATCGGCTTGAGAATCTATGGTAAGACTTGAAAATGGCTGTCTAGCAATGATCAACAACAAACTTGACAGAGCAGGAAAGAATAAAACATTTAATAATGGGCAAATATTGTACAATCCAGGTGTGCAAAGCTCTTAGAGACTTACCTAGAAAGATAATTTTTCTTCTACTTTGACGTTAGAGTATTTTGTGTCGATCATTGACAAAAAATTACAATTAAATCAATTTTAATCACACTTTGTAACACAACAAAATGTGGAAAAAGTCAAGGTGTGTGTATACTTTCAGAAGGCACTGTATAACCACATAACATTTACATTTTTACATTTACGTCATTTAGCAGAGGCTCTTATCCAGAGTGACTTACAAATTGGTGCATTCACCCTATAACCATTTTTTTTTTTAAGAGGGGGGGGGTTTCAAATGTCTCCGGAAGGTGGTGAGTGACTCCGCTGTCCTGGCGTCGTGAGGGAGCTTGTTCCACCATTGGGGTGCCAGAGCAGCGAACAGTTTTGACTGGGCTGAGCGGGAACTATGCTTCCGCAGAGGAAGGGGAGCCAGCAGGCCAGAGGTGGATGAACGCAATGCCCTCGTTTGGGTGTAGGGACTGATCAGAGCCTGAAGGTACGGAGGTGCCGTTCCCCTCACAGCTCCATAGGCAAGCACCATGGTCTTGTAACAGATGCGAGCTTCAACTGGAAGCCAGTGGAGTGTGCGGAGGAGCGGGGTGACGTGAGAGAACTTGGGAAGGTTGAACACCAGACGGGCTGCTGCATTCTGGATGAGTTGTAGGGGTTTAATGGCACAGGCAGGGAGCCCAGCCAACAGCGAGTTGCAGTAATCCAGACGGGAGATGACAAGTGCCTGGATTAGGACCTGTGCCGCTTCCTGTGTAAGGCAGGGTCGTACTCTCCGAATGTTGTAGAGCATGAACCTGCAGGATCGGGTCACCGCCTTGATGTTAGCGGAGAACGACAGGGTATTTTCCAGGGTCACGCCAAGGCTCTTCGCACTCTGGGAGGAGGACACAACGGAGTTGTCAACCGTGATGGCGAGATCATGGAACGGGCAGTCCTTCCCCGGGAGGAAGAGCAGCTCCGTCTTGCCAAGGTTCAGCTTGAGGTGGTGATCCGTCATCCATACTGATATGTCTGCCAGACATGCAGAGATGCGATTCGCCACCTGGTTATCAGAAGGGGGAAAGGAGAAGATTAGTTGTGTATCATCAGCGTAGCAATGATAGGAGAGGCCATGTGAGGATATGACAGAGCCAAGTGACTTGGTGTATAGCGAGAATAGGAGAGGGCCTAGAACTGAGCCCTGGGGGACACCAGTGGTGAGAGCACGTGGTGCGGAGACAGCTTCTCGCCACGCCACTTGGTAGGAGCGACCGGTCAGGTAGGACGCAATCCAAGAGTGAGCCGCGCCGGAGATGCCCAGCTCGGAGAGGGTGGAGAGGAGGATCTGATGGTTCACAGTATCAAAGGCAGCAGACAGGTCTAGAAGGACAAGAGCAGAAGAGAGAGAGTTAGCTTTAGCTGTGCGGAGAGCCTCCGTGACACAGAGAAGAGCAGTCTCAGTTGAATGACCAGTCCTGAAACCTGACTGGTTAGGATCAAGAAGGTCATTCTGAGAGAGATAGCAAGAGAGTTGGCTAAAGACGGCACGCTCAATAGTTTTGGAAAGAAAAGAAAGAAGGGATACTGGTCTGTAGTTGTTGACATCAGAGGGATCGAGTGTTGGTTTTTTGAGAAGGGGTGCAACTCTCGCTCTCTTGAAGACGGAAGGGACATAGCCAGCGGTCAAGGATGAGTTGATCAGCGAGGTGAGGTAGGGGAGAAGGTCACCGGAGATGGTCTGGAGAAGAGAGGAGGGGATGGGGTCAAGCGGGCAGGTTGTTGGGCGGCCTGCAGTCACAAGTCGCAAGATTTTATCTGGAGAGAGAGGGGAGAAAGAAGTCAAAGCATAGGGTAGGGCAGTGTGAGCAGGACCAGCAGTGTCATTAGACTTAACAAACGTGGATCGGATGTCGTCAACCTTCTTTTCAAAGTGGTTGACGAAGTCATCCACAGAGAGGGAGGAGGGGGGGGGGGGGGGGGGGGGGGGGGGGGGATTCAGCAGGGAGGAGAATGTGGCAAAGAGCTTCCTAGGGTTAGAGGCAGATGCTTGGAATTTAGAGTGGTAGAAAGAGGCCTTAGCAGCAGAAACAGATGAAGAAAATGTAGAGAGGAGGGAGTGAAAAGATGCCAGGTCGGCAGGGAGTCTAGTTTTCTTCCATTTCCGCTCAGCTGCCCGGAGCTCTGTACTGTGAGCTCGCAATGAGTCATCAAGCCACGGAGCTGGAGGGGAGGACTGAGCCGGCCGGGAGGATAGGGGACACAGAGAGTCAAAGGATGCAGAAAGGGAGGAGAGGAGGGTTGAGGAGGCAGAATCAGGAGATTGGAGGGAGAAGGATTGAGCAGAGGGAAGAGATGATAGGATGGAAGAGGAGAGAGTAGTGGGAGAGAGAGAGCGAAGGTTGCGGCGGCGCATTACCATCTGTGTAGGGGCAGAGTGAGTAGTGTAGGAGGAGAGCGAGAGAGAAAAGGATACAAAGTAGTGGTCGGAGACATGGAGGGGAGTTGCAGTGAGATTAGTAGAAGAGCAGCATCTAGTAAAGATGAGGTCAAGCGTATTGCCTGCCTTGTGAGTAGGGGGGGACGGTGAGAGGGTGAGGTCAAAAGAGGAGAGGAGTGGAAAGAAGGAGGCAGAGAGAAATGAGTCAAATGTAGACGTAGGGAGGTTGAAATCCCCCAAAACTGTGAGGGGTGAGCCATCCTCAGGAAAGGAACTTATCAAGGCGTCAAGCTCATTGATGAACTCTCCAAGGGAACCTGGAGGGCGATAGATGACAAGGATATTAAGCTTAAATGGGCTAGTGACTGTGACAGCATGGAATTCAAATGAGGAGATAGACAGATGGGTTAGGGGGAAAATTGAGAATGTCCACTTGGGAGAGATGAGGATTCCTGTGCCACCACCCCTCTGACCAGATGCTCTCGGGGTATGCGAGAACACATGGTCAGACGAGGAGAGAGCAGTAGGAGTAGCAGTGTTTTCAGTGGTAATCCATGTTTCCGTCAGCGCCAGGAAGTCGAGGGACTGGAGGGTAGCATAGGCTGGGATGAAGTCAGCCTTGTTGGCAGCAGAACGGCAGTTCCAGAGGCTGCCTGAGACCTGGAACTCCAGGTGTGTGGTGCGTGCAGGGACCACCAGGTTAGAGAGGCAGCAGCCACGCGGTGTGAGGTGTTTGTGTAGCCTGTGCGGAGAGGAGAGAACAGGGATAGGCAGAGGCATAGTTGACAGGCTGTAGCAGATGGCTACAATAATGCAGAGGAGATCGGAATGAAATGAACTAAACATCTGGGAAAGGAGAGAGCAGGGCCTCCCTCACCAAAACTCCCAAATATAACTCTCCCAACTTCCACTTTAGAAATTAGAATTGTTGTAAACGACAGCGGTTCAATGTTTCAAGGAATAGACTCAACTTACTTAATTCAGCTAGCTAACTATGACGCCATAGCTAACTAGCATGCTAGCATCCAATAACACACAGTTTAGCACCAATACTTGGTTACAACAAACTACCAATAGTGTGTTAACACACTAAACAGATAATTCGTGTCCGTGTCTAGTTCCTTTCATAACGCAGCAATAATTAAACGTTGGCTAGCTAGCACAAAGATATTGTATTTAGCTGCTACAGTACAGCTTGCTGGTAGTGTTGGCTAGCTAGCAATGGCTGCTGTGTTGACTTTGTTTGAAAAACGGCGTCGCTGCGAACGAATGTAGCTGGCTAAAAGGATATTATATTTAGTTGCTACCGTTGCTAATAGCTACTCGCCAGCTAGTCCAGGAGGTGAGTTAGCTAGCTAGCTAGCTTCGTGCTACACCCGGCACCGCCGAATACAATACTAACCTACAATAATTACATACAATAACTACCCACAACAACCCACGATGCCTACCTACAATACCTAACTACAATCTAAATACATAGTTTAAGCCTTACTCGACAAAGCCCAAGCTATGTATAAAGCCAAACTTACCCGACGCCAGCTGTCTGGGTGGCAGACAAGAAGACATTGGTCTTCTGCAATCAGTAGCTGTAATTAAGTATAGTAGCTACTAACTACCTAACGTTATGCATCATGATTCCCGGTCTTGTCCCTTTTGGTTCCTCCACATTTTTATTTTTATTTTTAAATGGGCTTGTTTATTTAGTTTTATACAACAGGTGGGTCTAATCCTGAATGCTGATTGGTTAAAACCGCATTCCAGCCGGTGTCTATTCCACAAGTTACCACTGGCTACAGTAAATCTATGACGTTAAAATGCCTATTTACTCTGTTCCAGCTGACTGCGCAATCCACTGTCTCATCAGCCCAGCCAAGCAATTAATAAACTTCATCTCCACTATAAAAAACATCTAGACATTATCTCACATTTCTTTTAGTTTTTACAGCGGAGATTTGTATAAACCTTGCTGTCTGTTTCTCCGACATTTGAAACATGGTTTCAATATTCAAATTTGATCTTCAGCTGCCCCATAGTAAGGAACGTGTCGGTAGTCGGGATGAGACAGACAGGCAGGCAGCATTTCTCAGCCAGTCGAAATCATGAATCAGCTGGTATCGTTTTTATGGATATATACAAATAAATGTATTTACAAAAAAAGTTTAAACGAAATGAAGTGCAGCTAGTTTGCAGTCTTTCCAGCTTCATTTTGAAGTGATCGTGTTAGCTGTGTTGTTGGCTAGCTCCTCTGAACAACTGTGTCCTGACGAGTGAGCACATATTCTATGCCAGGCGAAATCGCGCCTCATTAGCTCTTTGTTATGGATGTATCCAAATAAATTAGAAAACAGTTTAAACGAATGCAAATGCGGCTGCTTTGCTGTTATTCTGGCTGCAGTTTTTGACGTGACTGTATGTTAGCCGTAGTTGGCTAGCTAGCAAGCAAGGGATAAGAATGTTGCCAGCCAGTATGGCAATGGAACATTTAGAACGAACGACTGGGTCGTGTCCATAGATACAGAACAAAAAGACTGAACAACTGGGTCGCGTCTCTAGCAATCGAACCAATAGAACGAACGACAAGCCGGTTTAGGTAGCAACCCTAGATTTGTGTCGGGACTATATCTTGTGGAAGGATGAAATAGTATGAATAAATTAATCCAAATAACGTTTTTTATGAAAATATGTCAATCATTATTTGAATATGTTGGTAACCTGTTGTATAAAAGTGATAATGCCCTCGAAGCCGGTGTTTGAAGGATATATTGGCACAGTTTGCCGGCCCTCGACTTCGTCTCGGGCTTAACCACACCCGTGCCAATTTATCCTCCAAACACCGGCTTCGAAGGCATTATCACTTAAGCGATTGCTACAGTATGGCAATTTTTTAAAATGTCAGGAGTCATTTCTAAGCGCCATGATTCATTCCAGCAGCGCGCCATTCTTGCTTGGTCTCCATGGCAACCTCTGTTTGTCAGTGTCTTAGTCACATCATTGTGGTCACATTCTAACCATCAGTGCAAGAATAATGAAAAAGTTAGACCAGGGACTTAAATCTGCTTGGAAATCTATGGCCTTCATGTACATATCTCCCTCAAATACTTCGTACCTCTTCACATTGATCTGGTACTGACACTCCCTGTTTACTGTATAGCTCCATTCTTGTGTATTTTATTTTATTCCTCTTGTGGAATTTCTAAGCGCCATGATTCATTCCAGCAGCGCTCCATTCTTGCTTGGTCTCCATGGCAACCTCTGTTTGTCAGTGTCTTAGTCACATCATTGTGGTCACATTCTAACCATCAGTGCAATAATAATGAAAAAAGTAGACCAGGGACTTCCTATGAATTATTAATGCACAGAGAAAACTGTGGGTTGTGTATCCTGTTTTATTACTTAAACTGAACAAAAATATAAAAGCAACATGTAAAGTGTTGGTCCCATGTTTCATGAGCTGAAATAAAAGATCCCAGAAATGTTCCATACGCACAAAAAGCTTATTTCTCAAATGTTGTGCCCAAATTTGTTTACATCCCTGTTAGTGAGCATTTCTCCTTAGCCAAGATAATCCATCCACCTGACAGGTGTGGCATATCAAGAAACTGATTAAACAGCATGATCATTACACAGGTGCCCCTTGTGCTGGGGACAATAAAAGGCCCTCTAAAATGTGCAGTTTTGTCACACAACACAATGCCACAGATATTCAAGTTTTCAGGGAGCGTGCAATTGGCATGCTGACTGCAGGAATGTTCACCAGAGCTGTTGCCAGATAATTGAATGTTCATTTCTTTACCATAAGCCGCCTCCAACGTCCTTTTAGAGAATTTGGCAGTACGTCCAACCGGCCTCACAACAGCAGACCACGTGTATGGCGTTGTGTGGGTGAACAGTTTGCTGATGTCAACGTTGTGAACAGAGTGCCCCATGGTGGCGATGGGGTTATGGTATGGGAAGGCGTAAGCTACGGACAACGAACACAATTGCAGTTTATTGATGGCAATTTGAATGCACAGAAATACAGTGAGGCCCATTTTTTTAAAGTTATCTGTGACCAACAGATGCATATCTGTAATCCCAGTCATGTGAAATCCATAGATTAGGGCCTAATGAATTTATTTCAATTGACTGATTTCCTCAAATGAACTGTAACTCAGTAAAATCTTTGAAATTGTTGCATGTTGCGTTTATATTTTTGTTCAGTATATATAATGTAGACGACACTGAAGTGGCCTTGTTAGAGTTTTGACTTAAATCGGTTTGAAAATGTATGGCCTTCATGTACATATCTACCTCAAATACCTGTACCTTTGCACATTGATCTGGTACTGGTACTCCCTGTATATAGCTCCATTCTTGTGTTACTTTGTATTATTACTTTTAAACTGCATTGTTGGGAAGGGCTTGTAAGCAAGCATTGCATGGAAAAGTCTACACCAGTTGTATTCAGGGCATGTGACAAATAACATTTGATTTGATGACAGGATTTGCAGGGAAGTTTCTATATGGTCATTCAGGCTTGAAGAAGCATGCAGCACCTCATCTGTCTTATATCCGCCATTTTGTAAGACGTGACGTTTGCATCTTTGCAGCTTCCTGACTCTTTGCCTAACGGGTTGAATTACCCACAGGCAGGCGGCCACCACCCCCACCCCCACCAATCACAGACCATGATCGTGACGTCCGCATCGGCCACACCCCCACACCGCTCGGTGCGGGACCAGCAGTACGAGGGCGCCATCAACAAGATCTCCATCCAGCAGTACCAGTCTCCTCTGCCCATGGCCACCACCACCCGGCCCCAGAGCGCACGCTGCCTCATACAGACCAAAGGCCAGAAGAGCATGGACGACTTCCAGGAGCAGGTTGGCCATTACACTATCTGTCTCTCTCTCTCTCTCTATCTGTCTCTTTGATTGTCTCTGTGTTTCTCTCTCTCTCTCTCTCTCTCTCTCTCTCTCTCTCTCTCTCTCTCTCTCTCTCTCTCTCTCTCTCTCTCTCTCTCTCTTTCTCTGTGTTTGTCTCTGTGTGTTGGTCTCGCTCACCCCCGCCCTTTCAATCATCCTTTCATTCTTTCTCCCTTTCAATCTGTCACCAACAGATCTCTGAGAGGCCTATATTATGGCTAGCGGCATATAGAGAGGAGAGATGTTGCACCATGTAATTACACAGTTATACAATACCAAATGTCTATTTTTGGCATGATGTTGTTTTTGTGTCATTTGGTAGTTCTGTCTGCGGATAGAGAAGAATCCAGGTTTAGGGTTCAGCATCTCAGGGGGAATCAGTGGCCAAGGGAACCCCTTCAAGCCTTCTGACATGGTAAGATTAAAGCAGCTAAATGTTCTCTGTGTGCATGTGATACTGTGCAGTCTGTGCCAAGGAACATGTTCCATTTTTCTCTTATTCCTTAAGGTGTTTGAATAACCACTGCACAGCACTGTATGTTTCACTTCCGAGTTTCCATGGTAACAGGTGCTACTGCAACACTGTATGGGGTGCTGCAGTTGACTTGGTTAACTTTGAACCTTTTTATTATACGCCAATAATGAGCAAGAATGAAGAAAAGACAACACTTATGTAGCAATGATTTGTAATGTAGTCATAAGGTTGGCAAATGTCCAATAGTTCAATAGTGTCTTGTTGCCATGTAACAGCAAAGAAAAGACCCGGTGAGAAAAATGTCCATAGCTTTGCATTTACAATTTTTCAAAATCAGTTACAATGTTGCCGCTGGCAATTTTTCCCCTTATTATCGTTTTAAAAGATCAAAGCCTTACATTGACATTAGATTTGTATGGGGAAGGTCTTGTAAGCCATAGGAATAGAATTCAGATTCAATGTTGTAAACATTGTTATAGCCATTGAATGTGTTGTATATTTTGTATGCATATCATCTCCCATCTTAACACCCCACTGAAAGGTGGTGCATGCTGATTGCTGAGGATATCTTCTATGGGCCTGCTTTCCTGTGATGCCTCAAGGACTACCTGCTGTAATAATACTTGAGTCATTAGATGATAGTAATGTTATTCGGGTTCAAGTGAGGTTTAACTGTTTAACTGTGTTGAATGAGGCTCTTCATATAGTATTATGAGCATTTTCATATGGTTTAAACGCATGCAAAGATTGGTATACTTATAATCTCTGCCTTGACTAGCCATTTTTTGGAAACATGCAATGTAAAAAACATCCCCCAGTGTCCATATTTTTGTAAATAGCTGGAAAAATATATTTTTTATATTAACTGTATTAGTACTGTTAATATGTTTAAATTAAAGGTAGACATAAATGCCATGTAAGTACATCTAGTTCTTGAATTTAACCAACAGCACACATAGACAAGCTTTTAAAAAATATATCTTGTGAAAAATCCTTACGGTAGTTGTCTGCTTTTTACAGACTAGCTAAATCTACAAAGTTAATGTTGGCAATGGCATATCAATCAAAATCAAGCACAGAATTTGAGTTCGAGAAAAACACAAACAAAAGCACCAAACACCCAGTTTCAAAGGCAAAGATTCTAAACCATCTTCACCATGTGGTTCCTAATCTCATATCACTTTTGACTTATAGGGTATCTTTGTTACTAGGGTACAGCCTGATGGACCGGCCTCCAACCTGCTACAGCCTGGGGACAAAATACTGAAGGTAACCATGTTCTTCATCACCGCATCGATCATCATTGTCCTCTGAGTCTGTGAGAGCGCATCCTCCCTCCGCCACATTGCCAGTAGAGGCTTTGCATGTGGTATTTTGTGCTGGACGTACGTGTGTCTACCAAGTGAGCATGGTCCTCTGTTTTGACCTCTGTCAAACCTCCAACATGCTTTACTTGTTCCCATGTCAGACAAAACTAATAGTGCTTATTGTGTCCTAATAAAGGCCCATAGAAACAGATTAAAACACCTAAGTGGATAACATACAAGTAACTTTACTGATATGATAGGATTCCTAATGTGATGTTTTATATGCATGAAAACTAAGTAGCAACCAGCAATTTAATGTGCTGGATGAATTGGTTTGTTTCTGAAATACTAGTGAAGGTCAAAGTACAACCTGGGCCCGTATCTACAAAGCGTCTCAGAGTAGAAAATTGGTCGTGCTGGGAATAGAGACATTTTTACTCCTATTCTTATGAGTAAAAATAAAAGCTATGCATGAAGCCTCTTTCATAAGAGTCCCACCTGAGGGGCAGCGAGTCAGTGGTTACTAGCTGGCTTTGCTAATAGCTACTTTATTGAGGAAAAATGTACTTACTATGACTGTGATATGTGGTTGTCCCACCTAGCTATTTTAAGATTAATGCACTAACTGTATGTTGCTCTGGATAAGAGCTTCTGCTAAATGACTAAAATGCTAAATGTTCCTGTGCCACATGTAATTGCTTTGGAGTTGTTAAAATAATGTCTTGATATTTCTATATGATCAATCCATAAATAATCTAGACCTAGACCATGCAACAGTACCTCTTGCGCATTTGACAATGATTTCACATGAGGGCTATTTCACATGATATGCATAAATACTTACAGTATAACCACTAGGCTAATAAATAAACACATATTTTTCTTTCAATTATTTAATTAACCTACATAATGTTATTTCAAGTTATCCCTTTGGAGCACAATATCACATTGGTAAAGAAAAGATGCCTAAATTGACCATGCCTATCGTTGGGCAATTGAAGGCAACAAGGGCCAATGTTAGCTTTGATTGTGTTTGATGAAAATGATAGAACCTTAAAACATTTTATGCAACATTATCGGCAACTGACTTGTTGCCTACTGTGCCAAAGTGATATAACGGTAATATTATATAAATGCCACTTTTAACAAACATCAGAATTGGTTAAAAAAAGGTTATGCATGCCAACATGTTAGGCAGGAATTAAGAATAGGCAAAGTAATTGTGTCAGGTGAAAATATATCAATTGTTTTACCATTTCAACATTTCATGTAGCCTACAGTCACATTCAATGTTGTTATCTGAAGTCTGATATAGTTCACAGCTGGCAATGCTTCATCGCGATTGGTTATTCCCAATCATTTGCAACAATATCAATGAGCGTCATCACTATATTTCCTTAGCGGCACCTCAAACTCTCGTGATTACCAGCTGAGTGAAACTTTGATGAATTGATTAAATTACACCTGGCTCAGAGTTTGTCTGAGCAGTGTCTTAACATCATCCTAAAACCTACTCTGAGCTGGGTTTTTGTTGTTGTCTTAAACCAGGTTTTAACAGGATTCCTAGCATATTTTCTGAGATGCTTTGTGGATATGGCCCTTGATTTAAACTTTTTTGATAATCTTGAAAGCCCTGCAGCCATTTCTTCTCAACTATTTTCTCTATCTTTTCAACTTTGCATTGTGCAGCAGAGATTGCATCGGGTCTTCTTTTCTCCTTCAGTATCATCAGATCCCCCAAGTCTCTTTTTCTAAATACTTCAGGAGTAAACCTTTTAGGAAGAGCATAAGAGCTCTTCCACCCCATGCGATAAGAAACAAATTACACACTATGATGTAGTGTTGTATTTAGCTTAGGTAGAGGGCTGTTATTTTAAAGGGAACTCACCATCACACATACAGTACATATGGATGACGTTGTCAAAGTAAGTGTTTCCCATAGTGCAGAGAGGGAACTGTACCCCTGTAGATTGTCCGATTCCTGGTCCATGTGAAGCTACTGTCCAGGCTAGTCAAACACCTGACAGTGAAGCCTACATGAACAAGCCAGGCTCTCTGTGCCAATACAATTTAATGGGATTGGAACAGTCCCTACAGTAATTGGCATGTCTCTTGTATCTGTGTGGCTTTAAATGTGTGCTAGTAGAAGCCCTCGCCCCTCGCCCACCTGTAGCCTGCAGAAGCAGGAACCTCTCTACTCTCTCCACAGATGCAAGTGTTAGCTGAAGGACAGACCTCTAAAGATCCACTTCTCTCCTCCTTCTCTTCTTTACAGCATGACCTCCTCCTCCTGTGTGCATCTCTCTGCTTTGTCTCTCCTCTTTTCCTTGACAGTGTTGTTTGTTTATCTCCTCTGAGCTAGGGCTATTCCCAGTCCTCTCCGTGCCACCCTGCCCCGCCCCACCCTGCCCCTTCTCACCCACGTCACTCTGTTCACCCTCTGCTTAATTTTTGCATTGCAGGCCAATGGACATAGTTTTTTACACATGGAACATGAAACTGCTGTGTCTCTTCTGAAGAATTTCCAGAAAACTGTGGACTTGGTAATCTTAAGGGAGAGCACAATTTAAATATTTTTTATAACATTAGTGCTTCTCACCCAAACGGGTTGTGGAAATGTGTAAAACCGGTTTTTATCTAGGAACAGTGACATTTGCCGATTGCTGGACCAATGGCAAATACTAGTGCCAAATGTACTATAGGATACATATCTTATAACCTATCTATTAATTTTATGTAAACAGGAATTGTATCTCTTGAGTTGATGTGAACGAAAGTAATTTTTGTCATTCAGACTGAGGCTGTAGGTTGGAGCAATTTTCTTAGTTTTTATTTGGACATTTTTTGCGTATTTATATTGCCTTTTATTTTGTACCTTTTTCATTGTAGCTTCTCATTTTACTCTCGAGCATGAAAACACACTAGCTCTTTAGGAATTACATTCACCATAAACACTGCCTCAACTTTGTATATGCCTTGGGTAAATATTTTCATTTACAATAAAGACATGAACAGTAGCGAGAGGAATGGTACAGAAAATACATTTTTTCAATGTTCTTGAATTGTTGAAATTAATTGTGTAAAAAAAATCCTACCTTAATACATGGCCAATTTATCAACAGTATAAAAAATAAAAAAATCATTATAGGTTTTCCCACTGGTTTATTTCATGAATGTATTAACACTATATTGATCGTTATTCCCAACCAGTCACTACATTCTATAAGGTAGATTTTTGGTAGTTGCTCAATAATGTATATGTTTGCACAAATGAGCTACATTTTAAAAGTAGAGCAATATTCTATCCCACATCTGAAAGTATTTTTGATTACAAGACTACCCTAGAGGGCCATCTGCTGGCTACATTATGTGTTTACACGTATGTACTGTAATTGCTCCAAGGAGTATGTAATGTCACATACCTCCACATTCATCTCCTAAAGAATTTACATACAGAAAAGTTGTAACATTGTTTCTCTTCTGTTTATGTATTTTATTTAATTTTTTTCGCACTGATTTGAAGTGGTGTGAGTCATTTTACTGAGCTTTTCAGCACCACTCTGTAGAACACAAAATTACTTTTGATGTCTTCATTTTAAGCACAGTTTATTATGAGAATGTGCTATTGGAAAAGTATTCATGTGAGAATTATGTATAATTTTTTTAACAATGCTACTGACCAGAATAGCCATTTCACTTTGTTCCATTTCTGGATGGATGTTCATTTTAAGTTCTGATGTTACAGCATGCTTTCATGTTTATAATGATCTTTGGATCTATTTTTGGGATACATTCTCTGTGTTCAAATTTTAGGGTCTCTCTCATAAATACATTTCTCTCATTGCAAACCGGTGAGGTTTGCAAAGAGACACATTTTTACATTGTGACATTTGATGCCATTTTATTACAATCAAAAACATACACCTTATAAGCCCTAACAATGTTTCATAACTATTTTTGTCAAATGTAGCATCAATTGTGACATTCTTGAGCAAAACCAAGCACCTATAACCCTATGGAGGGACCCTGGTTGAATTTGTGCCAAGCTTAGCTGGTATGTGGTACTTCAATATCCAGTCAATTATGAGTTAAAATGTTCAAGATATTGTGAGATAATATAATTATTTTTAATAAATGTTTTCAGGTTATTATTCATAATTTATTGATATACCTTAGCTTTGCTCAAATTGCGCGATTTTATAAGGACAATGAAAAAGTATGGATGAAGTACTTATGACTTGGAGAATAAAAGCTGTACTATCAAATGTATAAAACATATTTCTACAGTAATTGTGAATTTGTGTTATACAAATATATTATATATGAATATAAAAATGGTCATTTTTGTATATGTTTAAAATACAATTAAATATTTAAAAAAGCGAATATATGGTACTATTCAGTCTAATTGCAGTGTTGATGTAAATAATTGTGACTGAAAACACATTGAGATAATTTATTCCTATAGATTGTGAATGTACTCCAAGATTTTGCAGTATGAAGACTAACTGGACTTGAATGCTGCTTCATTTTTTGTGCTAAAAGTAATTTTAACTATTGAAAGAGAATTATTCTGTTTAGTTGGACAAATTTAGTGACACTTTATTATACTATTTATTTGCACATGCAAGTTTAATCCTTCCATTTATTTTTATGTATTAACACAAAGACGTAATTGTTGAAGTGTATATATATATATAAATATATATATATATATATATATATATATATATATATATATATATATATATATATATATATACACTACCAGTCAAAGGTTTGGACACACCTACTCATTCGAGGGTTTTTCTTAATTTTGTTCTATTTTTTACATTGTAGAATAATAGTGAAGACATCAAAACTATGAAATAACAAATATGGAATCATGTAGTAACCAAAAAAGTGTTCAACAAATCAAAATATATTATATATTTGAGATTCTTCAAATAGCCACCCTTTGCCTTGATGACAGCTTTGCACACTCTTGGCATTCTCTCAACCAGCTTCATGAGGTAGTCACCTGGAATGCATTTCAATTAAGAGGTGTGCCTTCTTAAAAGTTAACTTGTGGAATTTCTTTCCTTTTAATGCGTTTGAGCCAATCAGTTGTGTTGTGACAAGGTAGGGGAGGTATACAGAAGATAGCCCTATTTGGTAAAAGACAAATCCATATTATATTAACCTTTATTTAACTAGGCAAGTCAGTTAAGAACAAATTCTTATTTACAATGGTGGCCTACCCTGGCCGAACCCGGACGAAGCTGAGCCAATTGTGCGCCGCCCTATGGGAGAACAGCTCAAATAAGCAAAGAGAAATGACAGTCCATCATTACTTTAAGACATGAAGGTCAGTCAATCTGGAACATTTCAAGAACTTTGAAAGTTTCTTCAAGTGCAGTCGCAAACACCATCAAGCGCTATGATGAAACTGGCTCTCATGAGGACCGCCACAGGAATAGAAGACCCAGAGTTACCTCTTCTGCAGACGATAAGTTCATTAGAGTTACCAGCCTCAGAAATTGCAACCCAACAAATTATTCACAGAGTTCAAGTAACAGACACATCTCAACATCAACTGTTTAGAGGAGACTGTGTGAATCAGGCCTTCATGATCGATTACTGCAAAGAAACCACTACTAAAGGACACCAATAAGAAGAAGAGACTTGCTTAGGCCAAGAAACATGAGCAATGGACATTAGACCAGTGGAAATGTGTCCTTTGGTTTGGAATCCAAATTTGAGATTTTTGGTTCCAACCGCTGTGTCTTTGTGAGACGCGGTGTGGGTGAACGGATGATCTCCGCATGTGTAGTTCCCACTGTAAAGCATGGAGGAGGAGGTGTTATGGTGTGGGGGTGCTTTGCTGGTGACACCGTCTGTGATTTATTTAGAATTCAAGGCACACTTAACCAGCATGGCTACCACAGCATTCTGCAGCGATACGCCATCCCATCTGGTTTGGGCTTAGTGGGACTATCATTTGTTTTTCAACAGGACAATGACCCAACACACCTCCAGGCTGTGTAAGGGCTATTTGACCAAGAAGGAGAGTGATGGAGTGCTGCATCAGATGACCTGGCTTCCACAATCCCCTGACCTCAACCCAATTGAGATGGTTTGGGATGAGTCGGACCGCAGAGTGAAGGAAAAGCAGGCAACAAGTGCTCAGCATATGTGGGAACTCCTTCAAGTGTTGGAAAAGCATTCCAGGTGAAGCTGGTGGAGAGAATGCCAAGAGTGTGCAAAGCTGTCATCAAGGCAAAGGCTGGCTATTTGAAGAATCTCAAATATAAAATATATTTTGATTTGTTTAACACTTTTTTGGTTACTACATGATTCCATATGTGTTATTTCATAGTTTTGATGTCTTCACTACTATTCTACAATATAGAACATCGTAAAAATAAAGAAATACCCTTGAATGAGTAGGTGTATCCAAACTTTTGACTGGTACTGTATATATATATATATATATGTGTGTATATATATATGTGTATATACAATGGGGAGAACAAGTATTTGATACACTGCCGATTTTGCAGGTTTTCCTACTTACAAATCATGTAGAGGTCTGTAATTTTTATCATAGGTACACTTCAACTGCGAGAGACGGAATCTAAAACAAAAATCCAGAAAATCACATTGTATTATTTTTAAGTAATTAATTTGCATTTTATTGCATGACATAGGTATTTGATCACCTACCAACCAGTAAGAATTCCAGCTCTCACAGACCTGTTAGTTTTTCTTTAAGAAGTCCTCCTGTTCTCCACTCATTACCTGTATTAACTGCACCTGTTTGAACTCGTTACCTGTATAAAAGACACCTGTCCACACACTCAATGAAACAGACTCCAACCCCTCCACATTGGCCAAGACCAGAAAGCTGTGTAAGGACATCAGGGATAAAATTGTAGACCTGCACAAGGCTGGGATGGGCTACAGGACAATAGGCAAGCAGCTTGGTGAGAAGGCAACAACTGTTGGCGCAATTATTAGAAAATGGAAGAAGTTCAAGATGACGGTCAATCACCCTCGGTCTGGGGCTCCATGCAAGATCTCACCTCGTGGGGGATCAATGATCATGAGGAAGGTGAGGGAACAGCCCAGAACTACATAGCAGGACCTGGTCAATGACCTGAAGAGAGCTGGGACCACAGTCTCAAAGAAAACCATTAGTAACACACTACGCCGTCATGGATTAAAATCCTGCTGCGCACGCTAGTTCCCCCTGCTCAAGCCAGCTCATGTCCAGGCCCGTCTGAAGTTTGCCAATGACCATCTGGATGATCCAGAGGAGGAATGGGAGAAGGTCATGTGGTCTGATGAGACAAAAATAGAGCTTTTTGGTCTAAACTCCACTCGCCGTGTTTGGAGGAAGAAGAAGGATGAGTACAACCCCAAGAACACCATCCCAACCGTGAAGCATGGAAGTGGAAACATCATTCTTTGGGGATGCTTTTCTGCAAAGGGGACAGGACGACTGCACCGTATTGAGGGGAGGATGGATGGGGCCATGTATCGCAAGATCTTGGCCAACAACCTCCTTCCCTCAGTAAGAACATTGAAGATGGGTCGTGGCTGGGTCTTCCAGCATGACAACGACCCGAAACATACAGCCAGGGCAACTAAGGAGTGGCTCCGTAAGAAGCATCTCAAGGTCCTGGAGTGGCCTAGCCAGTCTCCAGACCTGAACCCAATAGAAAATCTTTGGAGGGAGCTGAAAGTCCATATTGCCCAGCGACAGCCCCGAAACCTGAAGGATCTGGAGAAGGTCTGTATGGAGGAGTGGGCCAAAATCCCTGCTGCAGAGTGTGCAAACCTGGTCAAGACCTACAGGAAACGTATGATCTCTGTAATTGCAAACAAAGGTTTCTGTACCAAATATTAAGTTCTGCTTTTCTGATGTATCAAATACTTATGTCATGCAATAAAATGCAAATTAATTACTTAAAAATCATGTGATTTTCTGGATTTTTGTTTTAGATTCCGTCTCTCACAGTTGAAGTGTACCTATGATAAAAAATTACAGACCTCTACATGCTTTGTAAGTAGGAAAACCTGCAAAATCGGCAGTGTATCAAATACTTGTTCTCCCCACTGTATATATATATATATATATATACAGTGAGGGAAAAAAGTATTTGATCCCCTGTTGATTGTGTACGTTTGCCCACTGACAAAGTCATGATCAGTCTATAATTTTAATGGTAGGTTTATTTGAACAGTGAGAGACAGAATAACAACAAATAAATCCAGAAAAACGCATGTCAAAAATGTTATAAATTGATTTGCATTTTAATGAGGGAAATAAGTATTTGACCCCTCTGCAAAACATGACTTAGTACTTGGTGGCAAAACCCTTGTTGGCAATCACAGAAGTCAGACATTTCTTGTAGTTGGCCACCAGGTCTGCACACATCTCAGGAGGGATTTTGTCCCACTCCTCTTTGCAGATCTTCTCCAAGTCATTAAGGTTTCGAGGCTGACGTTTGGCAACTCAAACCTTCAGCTCCCTCCACAGATTTTCTATGGGATTAAAGTCTGGAGACTGGCTAGGCCACTCCAGGACCTTAATGTGCTTCTTCTTGAGCCACTCCTTTGTTGCCTTGGCCGTGTGTTTTGGGTCATTGTCATGCTGGAATACCCATCCACGACCCATTTTCAATGCCCTGGCTGAGGAAGGAGGTTCTCACCCAAGATTTGACGGTACATGGCCCCGTCCATCATCCCTTCGATGCGTTGAAGTTGTCCTGTCCCCTTAGCAGAAAAGCACCCCCAAAGCATAATGTTTCCACCTCCATGTTTGACGGTAAGGATGGTGTTCTTTGGGTCATAGGCAGCATTCCTCCTCCAAACACGGCGAGTTGAGTTGATGCCAAAGAGCTCCATTTTGGTCTCATCTCACCACAACACTTTCACCCAGTTCTCCTCTGAATCATTCAGATGTTCATTGGCAAACTTCAGACGGCCCTGTATATGTGCTTTCTTGAGCAGGGGGACCTTGCGGGCGCTGCAGGATTTCAGTCCTTTACGGCGTAGTGTGTTACCAATTGTTTTCTTGGTGACTATGGTACCAGCTGCCTTGAGATCATTGACAAGATCCTCCCATGTAGTTCTGGGCTGATTCCTCACCGTTCTCATGATCATTGCAACTCCACGAGGTGAGATCTTGCATGGAGCCCCAGGCTGAGGGAGATTGACAGTTCTTTTGTGTTTCTTCCATTTGCGAATAATTGCACCAACTGTTCTCACCTTCTCACCAAGCTGCTTGGCGATGGTCTTGTAGCCCATTCCAGCCTTGTGTAGGTCTACAATCGTGTCCTTGACATCCTTGGAGAGCTCTTTGGTCTTGGCCATGGTGGAGAGTTTGGAATCTGATTGATTGATTGCTTCTGTGGACAGGTGTCTTTTATACAGGTAACAAGCTGAGATTAGGAGCACTCCCTTTAAGAGTGTGCTCCTAATCTCAGCTCGTTACCTGTATAAAAGACTCCCGGGAGCCAGAAATCTTTCTGATTGAGAGGGGGTCAAATACTTATTTCCCTCATTAAAATGCAAATAAATGTATAACATTTTTGACCAGCGTTTTTCTGGATTTTTTTGTTGTTATTCTGTCTCTCACTGTTCAAATAAACCTTCCATTAAAATTATAGACTGATCATTTCTTTGTCAGTGGGCAAACGTACAAAATCAGCAGGGGATCAAATACTTTTTTCCCTCACTGTATATATATATATATGTGTGTGTGGGGGGGGGGGGGGGTGGGGGGAGGTTAGAATGCATTTTGCAGAGGCTAGCTGTACATATTTAAGATCCATTTTTATAAATAATATATAAAATTTAACAAAAAATGTTGTGCAGCAAATAACAGAGCCATTTTCGGCTTTGGATGTAAATTTTTTCAGTATGTAAGAAGTGTTTTGAATAATGTATGAAAGTCTATTGTACAAATAATAAAAATGTCACTATTGTTATTCTCATGGTCCTCTGTGGTCTTTATACTGTACAATCATCATATCAAAAACAGTATTTCCTTATTTATGAAGTTCCTACATTATGAAGTTTATTTGAACATATTTCATATAATGCAGTTGTATGTGTATGTTTATGAGATGTTTATATTTTAAGGCTGGTACATTCTCAATGCCCTCCACACTTCACTTCGCCACCACTAGGGGGTGATGTAACACGTGAAACTGTAGATAAAGAACATAGACAACACTAACAAAGGATCAAAGCACCAAACACACGGCTGCCATGTACACTTTTAATGTGGATGGATTTGAATCCATAGAGTTGTTCGAAAGCGACTGAAGACATATTACTTATTTTTTTTTAGGCTAAAAGGTACAGTAAACAATCAAATATACACTGAGTGTACAAAACATTAGGAACACCTTCCTAATATTGAGTTGCACCCCTTTTGCCCTCAGAACAGCCTCAATTCGTCGGGGCATGGACTCTACTAGGTGTTGAAAGCATTCCACAGGGATGCTGGCCCATGTTGACTCCAATGCTTCCCACAGTTGTGTCAAGCTGGCGGGATGTCCTTTGGGTGGTGGACCATTCTTGACACATGGGAAACTGTTGAACGTGAAAAACCCAGCAGCATTGCAGTTCTTGACACACTCAAACCACCTGCCACCTACTACTATACCCTGTTCAAAAGGCACTTATCTTTTTTTCTTGCCCATTCACCCTCTGAATGGCATACATACACAATCCATGTCTCAATTGTCTCAAGGCTTAAAATTCCTTCTTTAACCTGTCTCCTCCCCTTCATCTACACTGATTAAAGTGGATTTAACAAGTGACTTCAATAAGGGATCATAGCGTTCACCTGGATTCACCTGGTCAGTCTATGTCATGGAAAGAGCAGGTTTTCCTAATTTGTACACTCAGTGTATCTCCACAGTGTCATTCGACATTAATTATTGAGAGTTATAGAACATTTAAAAAGTCTGTCTGGATCTGAGTATCAAACAGGTCAAGGAAAATCAGTAGAATTTCATCAGATTATCTTGCAATAACCATACATTCAGAAGTAAACCCATGCATTATGTTATGAAACATTGAATGCAAAACTTTCCAAAATAATAAGCTTGCTAGTACACATTTTGTTGAAAAATATCACATTTTTTTCTCTCCATATATTGAGAAAAAGAACCCACAATAAGACAGGCTTTTCAGTTTGGAATGCCATGAAATATTGCTATTGGTTGATGATCTTGTAAACAATATTACAGCAGCGTCTCCCTGTAGTAGTCGTTCATATTGTATATCTTAAATCAAACAACAAGATAAGTTACGCTTCAAATCATAGGCTCCAATGTCATGAACATTTACAGAACAATTGCAGTAAGTTTCAAGGCAAATATCAAACTGATTAATCATCAAATTCTATTTTCTCACCTATTTAATCTTGAGTGTTGTAGCCTTTAATGCAATTCACTATGTTGGGATCCTGCTTGGTAGGAACTCTAGGACATCATCAGTTCCTCTGGCTACGATGGCTGCTCAGGGGTTGCGTAAAGGATTTCCATCCAGCATGAGGGCCCTGAGGAGAATACAAGGGAGAAATGAGTGAGAGACCAGATTCAAGCCAGCTTAAAAGATTGATATACAACAAGTACATACTTCTCTCTGGACAACAACAGCTCAGACAAAATCACAACTACAGTATATGGATCACTTTAATTGGATGTCCTAAAGCTCATACTTTTTCTGATTGCTATTCAACATCACACCTGACCCAAATATAGTGTCCCCTAAACCCAGTGTCACATCCTGGTACCTACCCCAGGCTGGTGCAGTTGCCGAGTTCAGGTGGCACCTGCATGATGTCATTGTTCTGCAGGTCCAGAGTGGAAAGCTTGTCCAGAGCTTTAAGCTGCAGTGGGTCGATGGCTCCCACCTTGTTGCTACTGATCAAAATGGTCTCCAGGGTAGGAACCTGGTACAGCACTTCCGGGAACAACTTAAACCTGTCAAAATATGACATGTCAAATGAATCATCAGTATTACCAATTATCTGTGAACAGCACGATGATTACATCCCTTTAATGTAAGCATTTCATTATACTGTTTTACACCTGCTATATCCTGTGCACGTGATAAATAAACGTTGAAACCATTAAGATCTGAGTGCTTACATGGTGAATGACAGTGTCACGACTTCGGACGAGGCTGCCTCCCCTCCTTGTTCGGGCAGGCTTCAGCGTTCGTCGTCACCGGAGTACTAACCACTGCCGCCCCAATCATCATCACAATTGTCTTGTCTCGTTATCACACACACCTGGTTCTAATCCCCTAATTCGTCTGTGTATAAGTGTTCCCTCTGCCCCCTTGTCCTTGTGGGTGATTGTTTATTGTGAAGGTTAGTGAAGCTTGGTGGAGCTCGTGTATATTGTTAGACGGGAGTATTTTCCTGTGTGCCTTGTATTTTCCAGTGCACCTGGTTTGTGCCCTGGAGTATGTTTGACGCAGTTCTGCATAAACATGTATTTTGCGGATTAAAGCCTGTTATTCTGTGATTTACCCTCCTGCGCCTGACTCCTTCAACACCACCTCATCACAGAATCACCCACCCGAATATGGAGTCAACGGGAGAAGAGTGCATGCCTGGAGTCATGGCACGGGTCCAGGATCATTCCACGATGCTGGCCAGCTTGGGGGAAGCGATGGATCGGGTCCTTCAGGTCGTCCAACGCCTGGAGAGGAGAGAACCCGATCTGTCGAGACCAGCTGGCCAACCGCATCCAGCCACCTACACCCCAGCACCCGGAGGGATCCAGATATCCCGACCACGGGCGTTTGATGGGACGACGTGCCAGGGATTCCTCCTCCAATTGGAGATTTACTTCGCCAGCTTCAGGCCGGAACCATCGGAGCAGGAGAAGGTGTCCGTCCTCGTTTCCTGCCTCTGTGGGAAACCCCTGGAGTGGGCCAATGCGGTGTGGAACGAAGGAGGAGCTGCGCTGGAGGACTACAGGGAGTTCGCTCGCCTCTTTCGGGTGGTCTTCGATCACCTGCCCGAGGGTAGAGAGGCGGGTGAGCGACTGGTCCATCTGAGGCAGGGGACGAGGACCACGCAGGACTTCGCGTTGGAGTTTTGGACGCTGGCAGCGGGGTCCGGGTGGAACGAGCAGGCCCTAATTGACCATTTCCGGTGCCATCTGTGGGAGGACGTCCGACGGGAGCTAGCCTGCCGAGACACCATGTTGTCCTTCAACAGACTGGTGGACATGACCATTCGTTTGGACAACCTGCTGGCAGCCAGAGGACGTCCTGGTAGGGGTCTGCCCGTTTCCACCCCGGACGACTCGGATTCTGAGCCGATGGAGCTGGGTGGAGCCGCCGGCCGAGAGAGCGGAGGAGGACAGCGACAGTGCCACTCTAGTGGTACGAAGGGACAATACACTACACGTCGTAGTCAACATTCTTTTGGGCCGGGAGGTGGCAGGCAGGGCACTCACGCATCACCCCAGGTATTGAACACCCACACTTGTTCAGAGCCCTCTGCTGTGCACTGTACCCTACCTATTCCCTTTCCCGATCTCATGGTAGTTCTCCAGTGTAAGGCGCTAGTTGGGAACTTAATGGGCAGGGCATTCACACGCCATCAAGTCCTCTGTAGCTCAGCTGGTAGAGCACGGCGCTTGTAACGCCAAGGTAGTGGGTTCGATCCCCGGGACCACCCATACACAAAAAATATATATTATGCACGCACGACTGTAAGTCGCTTTGGATAAAAGCGTCTGCTAAATGGCATATTATTATTATTATTATTATAACATTGGTTCCCCTATCCATTCCACTCCCCATCAGAGCACTCGATAGTCGACCAATAGGGTCCAGGTTTGTTACGGAAGTCACGATACCTGTCACCATAATCACCCAGGAGACTCATTTTGAGCAGTTAATTTTTTCGATTATTGAATCTCCTGCTTTCCCTGTGGTATTAGGTATCCCTTGGATAGCACTCCACAACCCCACCTTCTCATGGCCGCAGAGGGCTCTCACGGGGTGGTCGTGAGATTGTCAGGGTAGGTGTCTAGATGTTTCCGTTGGTGCAACCACGGTAGAAAGTCCAGACAGTACCTACACCGTGCGCATTCCCCCTGAATACCTCGATCTGGCGCAAGCATTCTCTAAAACGCAGGCAACTAAATTACCACCTCATCGGGCGGGGGATTGCGAGATAAACCTCCGGGTAGACGCTGTACCTCCCAGGAGTCATATATACCCCCTTTCACAGGCTGAAACGGTGGCTATGGAAACCTATGTCACCGAGTCCCTGCGCCAGGGGTATATACGTCCCTCCACTTCACCCGCCTCCTCGAGTTTCTTCTTTGTGAAGAAGAAGGACGGAGGTCTGCGCCCGTGCATTGATTATTGACCACTGAACAGGGAGACGATAAGATTTAGTTATCCTCTCCCCCTCAGTCCTTCGGTGATTGAATCAATGCATGGAGCGCGCTTCTTCACCAAATTAAATCTCAGGAGTGCGTACAACCTGGTGCGTATCCAAGAGGGCGATGAGTGGAAGACAGCATTCAGCACAACCACAGGGCATTATGAATACCTGGTGATGCCCTATGGTTTGATGAATGCTCCCTCAGTTTTCCATTCCTTTGTGAATGAGGTGTTTCGGGACATGCTTGGTCGTGGTGTAGTGGTCTACATTGATGACATCCTGGTGTATTCCGCTACGCGCGCCGAGCATGTGTCCCTGGTTCGCAAGGTGCTGGCCCGACTGTTGGAAAATGACCTTTATGCTAAGGCAGAGAAGTGTATGTTTTTCCAGCAGTCCGTCTCCTTCCTTTTATACCGCATTTCCACCACAGGTGTGGAGATGGAGGGAGATCGCATTTCAGCCGTGCGTAATTGGCAGACTCCAATCACGGTTAAGGAGGTGCAGCGCTTCCTTTGCTTTGCCAACTACTATCGGAGGTTTATCCGGGGCTTTGGCAAGGTCGCAGCTCCCATTACCTCCCTGTTGAAGGGTGGGCCGTCCCGGCTCCGCTGGTCTGCTGAGGCTGACCTTCAACAAACTGTGTGGTCTGTTCACCTCAGCCCCAGTACTGGCCCACCCCGATTCATCACTAACGTTCGTAGTGGAGGTGGATGCGTCCGAGGTTGGGATAGGAGCTGTCCTGTCTCAACGCTCAGGTACGTCACCCAAGCTCCGCCCCTTAGCCTTCTTCTCTAAGAAGCTCAGCCCGTCGGAGCAGAACTACGACGTTGGTGATCGGGAGCTGTTGGCTGTTGTCCGAGCCTTGACCGTAGAGTTGAAATATATATGGCAAATAGAAATCCTATATGGATGGTGTTAAAAGATAGATGGGAGGTGTTGAATGGAATTGAAGGATGGGACTAATAACAACCAACAACAAATAATAACAAGATAACTAATAATGTAAGCATACTGTGTCCATAATAAGTATATAGGTTGTAGATTGGGAGCTTTTGTGAAAGAGAAAGAGCACAGTTAGAAAGATATGGCATATAGAAGCAAACCGGATGGACATCATGAAAATGATCGGAGAGGTTGAGAGTAGAGGAATTTCAAGAGAAAAAACAAACAAAATATAATTATTGTAAAATTGACTGTGTCCATAAAATGTAGATAGTAGGTATAAGCTGGAAGTAGAGGCCTAAGCATTGTTGTTCACTAGTTTACTCCAAGTAGGGAAAGGGAGGTGGGGTTGGAAAGTAATAAAGGGGAATATATATATTTGTTTAAAGGATATGTATTCGTATATATGTATGTATGTATGTGTGTATGTATGTGTGTATGTGTGTATATATATGTGTATATATATATGTATATGTATGTGTATGTATGTATGTGTATATATATACACTGCTCAAAAAAATAAAGGGAACACTTAAACAACACAATGTAACTCCAAGTCAATCACACTTCTGTGAAATCAAACTGTCCACTTAGGAAGCAACACTGATTGACAATACATTTCACATGCTGTTGTGCAAATGGAATAGACAACAGGTGAAAATTATAGGCAATTAGCAAGACACCCCCAATAAAGGACTTGTTTTGCAGGTGGTGACCACAGACCACTTCTCAGTTCCTATGCTTCCTGGCTGATGTTTTGGTCACTTTTGAATGCTGGCGGTGCTTTCACTCTAGTGGTAGCATGAGACGGAGTCTACAACCCACACAAGTGGCTCAGGTAGTGCAGCTCATCCAGGATGGCACATCAATGCGAGCTGTGGCAAGAAGGTTTGCTGTGTCTGTCAGCGTAGTGTCCAGAGCATGGAGGCGCTACCAGGAGACAGGCCAATACATCAGGAGACGTGGAGGACGCCGTAGGAGGGCAACAACCCAGCAGCAGGACTGCTACCTCCGCCTTTGTGCAAGGAGGAGCAGGAGGAGCACTGCCAGAGCCCTGCAAAATGACCTCCAGCAGGCCACAAATGTGCATGTGTCTGCTCAAAAGGTCAGAAACAGACTCCATGAGGGTGGTATGAGGGCCCGACATCCACAGGCGGGGGTTGTGCTTACAGCCCAACACCGTGCAGGACGTTTGGCATTTGCCAGAGAACACCAAGATTGGCAAATTCGCCACTGGCGCCCTATGCTCTTCACAGATGAAAGCAGGTTCACACTGAGCACGTGACAGACGTGACAGAGTCTGGAGACGCCGTGGAGAACGTTCTGCTGCCTGCAACATCCTCCAGCATGACCGGTTTGGCGGTGGGTCAGTCATGGTGTGGGGTGGCATTTCTTTGGGGGGCCGCACAGCCCTCCATGTGCTCGAAAGAGGTAGCCTGACTGCCATTAGGTACCGAGATGAGATCCTCAGACCCCTTGTGAGACCATATGCTGGTGCGGTTGGCCCTGGGTTCCTCCTAATGCAAGACAATGCTAGACCTCATGTGGCTGGAGTGTGTCAGCAGTTCCTGCAAGAGGAAGGCATTGATGCTATGGACTGGCCCGCCCGTTCCCCAGACCTGAATCCAATTGAGCACATCTGGGACATCATGTCTCGCTCCATCCACCAATGCCACGTTGCACCACAGACTGTCCAGGAGTTGGCGGATGCCTTAGTCCAGGTCTGGGAGGAGATCCCTCAGGAGACCATCCGCCACCTCATCAGGAGCATGCCCAGGCATTGTCGGGAGGTCATACAGGCACGTGGAGGCCACACACACTACTGAGCCTCATTTTGACTTGTTTTAAGGACATTACATCAAAGTTGGATCAGCCTGTAGTGTGGTTTTCCACGTTAATTTTGAGGGTGACTCCAAATCCAGACCTCCATGGGTTGATACATTTGATTTCCATTGATTATTTTTGTGTGATTTTGTTGTCAGCACATTCAACTATGTAAAGAAAAAAGTATTTAATTAGATTATTTCATTCATTCAGATCTAGGATGTGTTATTTTAGTGTTCCCTTTATTTTTTTGAGCAGTATATATATAAAAAAAACATGGGGAATTGGAAGTGATGCAGACAACTACATTGATGGAAGTTACAATCTATCTGCAATATTAAGCTGATCTACCCCCCCCCCCCCCAAAAAAAATAAATAAATAAAATAACTGTGGGGTCTGTTCACCTCAGCCCCAGTACTGGCCCACCCCGATTCATCACTAACGTTCATAGTGGAGGTGGATGCGTCTGAGGTTGGGATAGGAGCTGTCCTGTCTCAACGCTCGGGTACGCCACCCAAGCTCCGCCCCAGTGCCTTCTTCTCTAAGAAGCTCAGCCCGTCGGAGCAGAACTACGACGTTGGTGATCGGGAGCTGTTGGCTGTTGTCCGAGCCTTGACCGTGTGGAGGCATTGGCTCGAAGGGGCGAAACACCCTTTCCTCGTCTGGACGGACCACCGTAACCTGGAGTAAATCCGGGCAGCGAGGAGGCTGAATCCTCGCCAGGCCAGGTGGGCCCTATTCTTCACCCGGTTTGATTTTACACTACCATACATTCCGGGTACGAAGAACGTGAAGGCAGACGCACTGTCCCAGCTGTATGACACAGAAGAGAGGCCCAGAGACAACACCCCCATACTCCCGGCCTCTAGCATTGTGACGCCAGTAGTATGGGCGATGGACGCGGATATAGAGCAGGCATTACGCACAGATCCATCTCCACCGCAGTGTCCAGCTGGGCTGCGGTACGTGCCTGCTCTTATCCGGATCGTCTGATCTTCTGGGCACACACGTCACCCTCCTCTGGTCACCCAGGTATCGGCCGTACAGTACGCTGCTTGAGCGGAAAGTACTGGTAGCCTACCTTGGCTAAGGACGTGAGGGTGTACGTCTCTTCCTGCTCGGTGTGCGCCCAGAGTAAGGCACCTAGGCACCTCCCAACAACGACCATGGTCTCATCTTAGTATTGATTTTCTGACTGATCTTCCCCTCTCCCAAGGTAACACCACCATCCTGGTCGTTGTGGACCGCTTATCCAAGTCCTGCCGCCTCCTTCCTCTGCCCAGTCTCCCCACGGCCCTGCAGACTGCGGAGGCCCTGTTTACTCACCTCTTCCAGCACTACGGGGTGCCAGAGGATATCGTGTCCAACCGAGGTCCCCAGTTCATGTCCAAGGTTTGGAAGGCGTTCATGGAACGTCTGGCGGTCTCGGTCAGCCTGACCTCTGGGTTCCACCCCGAATCAAATGGACAGGTGGAACGAGTAAATCAGGATGTGGGTAGGTTCCTTCGGTCCTACTGCCAGGACCGGCCGGAGGAGTGGTCGGTGTTCTTGCCATGGGCAGAATATGCCCAGAACTGTCACGACTTCGTCCGAGGCTGCCTGCCCTCCTTGTTCGGGCAGGCTTCGGCGTTCGTCGTCACCGGAGTACTAACCACTGCTGCCCCAATCATCATCACAATTGTCTTGTCTCGTTATCACACACACCTGGTTCTAATCTCCTAATTGTCCGTGTATAAGTGTTCCCTCTGCCCCCTTGACCCAGATTGTTTATTGTGAAGGTTAGTGGAGCTCGTGTATTTTGTTCAACGGGAGTATTTTCCTGTGTGCCTTGTATTTTCCAGTATACCTGTTTTGTGCCCTGGAGTGTGTTTGACGCAGTTCTGCGTAAACCTGTATTTTGCGGATTAAAACCTGTTATTCTGTGATTTACCCTCCTGCGCCTGACTCCTTCAACACCACCTCATCACAGACAGTTAACAGCGATATCAGAAGATTGTTTCTTAGGTAAAAGGATACAAAAAAAAAACATATTACAAAATGTTCACATGCACCAATGTACCATCTTTAGCGAACATGTTCCAATTTAAGAACAGGTTCAAAACAATGCCCCCACCAGAAATCTACACCACAGGGTCTAAAAAAGGTTTAGCCTCTCGCTTCACTGAACTCCGCTACGGAAACACTACTTTTATTTGGAAAGACAAGCCCTTTAGATATTTGTGCCGTAGAGGTAATAGTTGTGCTGTGGAGGCTGATTGTCAGTGTTCATGTACCTGAGGCCTATGTTTGCCAGTTGCTGGAGCATGCAGAACTCCAGGGGGAGGCTGGTCAGCTTGTTGAAGTCCAGTCCTTCATCTCCACAACCGTGAAGACCAAGCAGAGGCTCCCTCAAACACATCCAACAATATCATCACAACAGTCCTAGCTGACATTCTCTATCAACAATAGCATTTTCAACTGTGGTGACTTTTTGGAGTGGTGTGATTCTTATCACACTGTGTGTGTTTTTCCTCCAGAGGACTGGACTGTGGTGTGAAGTCACTGATATAAGCAGAGTACCTGGGAGGCACTGCAGCCGGCTGGTTCTTCCTGAAGTTGACACTGGCGACGGGCTCACTGCCCATAGCATTAAACACGTCATCAGGAACACACAACGCCTGCTTGTCACTGGGACCAGGGTCGCACACACAAAACAACAGTTTACTGACAACACTTCATTACATCACAACTATGCTCAAAGTGTGACTAAGCAATGCTATGGAATTGCAGTATAATTTTGTGGTAGAACGTTTGAGGAGTTTTTAACTTTCCTAAAATGTGTTAAAAACAGAGCTTCAAACACGACACAAAACAATAGTTGATACACACCTGTAGTCCAATGTCTTCAGTGTTTTAATGGCGTACACGTTGATCTTTGCTTGACTGGGTAGAGTCATGGCAGTGTCAGGATCATCTCCGTTGCCATATGGATCCTCTTTCGATCAATATGACGAAAAAAAATCTGTCCAATGATACGAGAGTCTAGTAAATCAATTGTGGCCTCTCCACATAACCTTGCAAAGTAAATAAAATGGTATATTCACTGATTATGAGAATGGGTCCTTCTGCATAGACAGAAAAAGACTGTGAAACATCCTTGTACCTTTTATTTGACCCCTCAAGTATTTCAGCATTTCATTGGTTCCTTTCTGTGAAGGAGACAAAAATCATCAGATCACAGAGTCTGAATTGGCTACATTGAAACTCTACATTGAGGTTCATTGAGGTTGTACTGTATTGGTAAAACAAGCAGGACTTTGTATGTATTTAGACATTGATGACAAGTAGCTTTGAGAAGGTAATGAGATGTCATCCTTACTAAGTCACAGTCAGCAGGTCTCTGTGGATGCGTCTCAGAGGGTTGCCCTCCAGGGTCAGGATCTTCAGCTTGGACAGGAGGCCAAGGGCAGCTGGCAGACTGGTTCACACATACAAGGAAGACATACAGTAGCACATTAACAACACTCAATGAGAGCTCCAGGCAGTTAAACATTACACAGGAAGGACATTTTGGGGTGTTTTGACTTGTTAGTGTTGTTGATATTTAATTTGTTGTTATTTGTGCTATGTATAAATGTGTTATGTGCACAGGTGAAAGAGTATAGAATGCACTGAGGAGAGACCAGGGGAGATCAGATCAGGCAAACTTACCTGCTGATGTCATTGTTGATTAGGTCTAGGCGCTCCAGGCCATGGAGTTCTGTGATTTCCTCAGGGACACTCTTTACCTTGTTATCCCTCAGCTCCAATACACTCAGAGTGTTCAGGTGTTTCACATGCTCTGCCTCCAGCACCTCAATCTGGTTATTACCCACTGGGCACACACTAGTTGAGTCAACGTTGTTTCCATGTCAATTCAATGAAATGACGTTGAACCAACACGAAATAGACGTTTAATTGACGTCTGTGCCCAGTGGGTACCAACATGCAGCTCCTACCAGACAGGTGATATAAAGCTGTCAGATATTGCATAGGCCACTTATTAATTTACAAATAATTCATACAAGTGATCTCATTGTGATTCAAAAGCTCTTCATCAAAGGAAATCTGACCATCAGTATCCTCATCTTGAGCCTTGAGGAGGACAGTTCAGGAAGAAAGAGCAGTTTGTTTTGACTCAGACAGAGCTGGTCTAGAGACAAGATGGGAGGTATGCTCTCAAGCTGGTTATGTGTGCAGTCCAGCAGTCTCAAATCTGTGGAGGCATTCATACAGGATGTTATGCTTCAGCCATATTTATGACAAGACATTTCTAACCGGCAGACAATACATAGAAAGACTAAACAACTTAGAAAGCAAAAACTTGCTGACTTGAAAATGTCTGTCTAGCAATGATCAACAACCAACTTGACAGACCTTGATGAATTGTATATTCCAGGTGTGCAAAGCTCTTAGACTTACCCAGATAGACTCATGTGTAATCACTGACAAAGGTGATTCTGAAATGTATAGACTCATGGGTGTGAATACTTACCTAAATTAGATATTTATATTTTTCATTTTCAATCAATTTGCAAGAATTTCTAGAAACATGTTTTTTTCACTTTGTCATTATGGGGTATTGTGTGTAGATGGGTGAGAAAAAAATATATTTAATCCATTTTGAATTCAGGCTGTAACAAAACAAAATGTGGAATAAGTCAAGGGGTATGAGTAATTTCCGAAGGCACTGTACAAGTTTCAAGTTTTATTCGTCATATGTACGGGATACACATGGTATACATTGTCCAACAAATTGCTTACTTGCAGGTCCCTTCTCGACAATGCAAACAACAATAAGAAACTGAGCAGTATAATAAGAGTCTGGTAGCTCCCTCACGACGCCAGGACAGCGGAGTCACTCACCACCTTCCGGAGACATTTGAAACCCCACCTCTTTAAGGAATACCTGGGATAGGATAAAGTCATCCTTCTACTACCCCCCCCCCCCTAAAAAAAAATAAAAAAAAATAAAAAAAAAAGATGTTGTAAAGTGGTTATCCCACTGGCTATAGGGTGAATGCACCTATTTGTAAGTCGCTCTGGATAAGAGCGTCTGCTAAATGACGTAAATGTAATGTAAATGTAGCAGCAGTTGTGATGTGTGTGTAGCATGAATGTATACAGTGTGTGTGTGTGTGTGTGTATGTCTGTGTGGGTGTGTGCATGAGGGAGTGCAGGTGTGCTAAGGTGCAGAGAATCAGAGCAGGTGGTCAGTCCAGTTCAAGCGTTCATCAGTCTGATGACTTGTGGACAGAAACAGTCTCTGAGCCTGTTGGTATCAGACCTCTTGCTCCGATACCGTCTGCCCGACGATAAGGGAGACAACAGCTTGTGGCTGGGGTGTGTGGGGTCCTTGATGATGCTGCATGCCTTCCTCAGGCACTGTTTCAAGTAAATGTCCTGGATGGGTGGGAGCACGGTCCCAGTGATGTACTGGGCCGTCTTCGCCACCCACTGGAAGGCCTTGCGGTCATGGACGGTGCATTTCCCATATCAGGCCGTGATGCAACTGGACAGAATGCTCTTGATGGTGCAGCGGTAGTATTTGGAGAGGATCCGGGGCGGCATGCAGAATTTCTTCAGCCGCCTTAGGAAGTAGAGACGCTGTTGCGCCATCTTGACAAGAGTGGTGGTGTTGTTGGTCCATGACAAGTCCTCGGTGAATGCGGACGCAGAGGAACTTAAAACTTGTGACTCCCTCTACTGCAGTCCCGTTGATGTGGATCGGGGCATGTTCCCTCCTCTGCTGCCTGAAGTCAACAATTAACTCCTTAGTTTTGCTGAAGTTGAGAGACAGGTTGTTGTCATGACACCACAATGCCAGTTCACTTACCTCATAGACTCTACGCACACATCCACACCCACATCACCATATTCGGTGCTGTTGCTATTTATTATATTGATCCTGCTGCTCAGTCACTTTATTAACCCTGATTACACAACTGCAACCAGTATCCCTTTCATTTACTGGTACTGATATTGATCTTGTGTAAATTCTTGTGTGTATTTATTTTATTCTCATGTGTACTTTTTTATTTCTTGTGTGCATTTATTTTATACGACATCTTTGAGGAGCTTTCAAGCAAGCATTTTACTATACTGTTTACACCTGTTGTATCCTGTGCATGGGATAAATAAACTTTGATAAAGGACACCAGTATCTTTGTTGTGACTGGGTATACCATCCAAAGTGTAATGAATAACTTCACCATGCTCAAAGGGATATTCAATGTTTGCTTTTTTTCTACCAATAGATGCCCTTTTTTGTGAGTCCATCCAACTTATTATGTGACTTGTTAAGTAAATTTTTACTCCTGAACTTATTTAGGCTTGCCATAACAAAGGGGTTGAATACTTATTGACTCAAGACATTTCAGCTTTTCATTTTTTATGAATTTGTAAACATTTCTAAATACAGTGCATTCGGAAAGTATTCAGATCACTTGACTTCTTCCATATTTTGTTACGTTACAACCTTATTTTAAAATTGATGAAATTTTCCTCAACAATCCAGACATAATACCCCATATTGACAAAGCAAAAACAGGTTTTTAGAATTTTTTGCAAAATAAATAAATAATAATAACTTCAGTCATTTAAGAATGATGGAGGCAACTGTGTTCTTGGGGACCTTCAATGCTGCAGACATTTTTTGGTACCCTTCCCCAGATCTGTGCCTCGACACATTCCTGTCTCGGAGCTCTACGGACAATTCCTTCGACCTCATGGCTTAGATTGATGAAAAAAAAAAAATATTTAATCAATTTTAGAATAAGGCTGTAACGTAACAAAATGTGGAAAAAGTCAAGTGATCTGAATACTTTCCGAATGTACTGTATATAATTCCCCTTTGACATTATGGGGTACTGTGTGTAGGCCAGTGACACAAAATCGCAATTTAATCTATTTTAAATTCAGGCTGTAACACAACAAAATGTGGAAAAATTCAAGGGGTGTGAATAATTTCTGACGTCACTGTATATCAGTTATGCTGTGCGAGCTTTTGTGCTAAACTCATTATGGTGTTTCAGGTGACAAGCATATGGTCATGTAGCAGCAGTGTGTAGGAAGAAGATCCAGTCCAGTTGGTGGCGGTAATGCAACATATTGGACGCCAACCGCTGTTAAACCTCACCGAAGAAGATTAAGAATACTGTATAGCTTCATTGTTTTTCACAACACAAAGCTTCTGGTATGTTCAATCCTGTTTAATAGGAGATGCTTGTAATTGTCCACTTAACTTCCTTAGGGTTGGTTGCTCCATGCCAACTCTTTTACCTAATTTTGTGTGAGGTATTGAGTTTCTTAAAGCTAGAATCCTTAGTTGCTTCATCCATTTCTGGACTTATATTCTTCAAGAATCAATGGGTATAAGTCCAGAAATGCCTCATGAGCTTAGTTCAACTGTCGTACCCCATCAGAACCCAAAATATACATTTGTTTTACTCCAATGTTTGTAAACAATGTATACAGTGTAAACAAACTCTGTACAGCCTCAAAACATGGTTAAAATTCTACATTTAACCTTTGTTTAACTAGGCAAGTCAGTTAAGAACAAATTCTTATTTACAATGATCGCCTACACCGGCCAAACCCGGACGACGCTGGGCCAATTGTGCGCCGCCCTATGAGACTCCCAATCATGGCTGGTTGTGATACAGCCTGGAATCGAACCAGGGGGTCTGTAGTGACACCTCAAGCACTGAGATGCAGTGCCTTAGACCACTGCGCCACTCGGGAGCCCATATAATATAATGGATGGTCAGTCATTTCATGCATAGGTCTATGAATTTGAGAGCGGTTACATTTCTCCAGCCAGGGGCAGGGAGAACGCTTTATTGTTTTAATTAAGGATTCTAGCTTTAAAGGACTAATCCTTTACCCCACACCCTTACCTTGCAATCACTTACCCAGACAGCAAGGTGATGCAGCTCTATACACTTGTACTGGATCTATTCGGTCAGTGTGTGTGTGTGTGTGTCTGTGTGTATAGATTGTGTGGCCTGCGCCTGCCCATGAAATTACCCCTAGCTCTCAGTCTACAAGGCTGCAAGATTCTACAAGACTTCACTAAACCTATGTCACAACATGGCACTGTGAATGGGGGGAAATGTAGGGATGATTCAGCTATTAGGGAAAAGGATAATGTCATGCCAGTGTAAATGGACCCCAGTGGCCTGTTCTGTGGTCTTCATGGTGGTATTTGTCAGGGCATGTGTGAGAACGGTGAATGATTTAAATGGAAGACCGGAGTGTAGAAGGCCAGGCAGGTAGACAGCTAACAAACAGAGGAGAGGGATAGGCCTACTCTGTGATGTGCTTCATTTCCAAAGGGACAGGTTGCTGCTTGATGAAGTCTAGGGGGAAGGTTACCCTGCTGACAGCCCCTAAACTCCTGTTGAGCCGACAGCACACTAATGGCAGCCAAGTGGAAGCCGAGTGATTGTGGGGTTAGCCTGGCAGACTGTGACACATTTCCTGTCTTGTAATGGGGGAAGATGGAGTGTGGTCTAGGACTCATTACTGATGGTGTTGGTGGTTTCAAATTGGTTGTCACGCCGGTGTGAAAGCGACCTCTGGAAACTTTAAGCTGCTGCACACACTCCACAATATGTACAGCTTTAATCTCCATGGAGGTTACAGTAAAAGTCTGTGCGGGACTGATTTATTCATCCTGCTCCTGCCCGCACGCACAGCTTTTCATACCGCAGTCCTGCAATGTTATTTTAGGCATAGCCTATGTGACCCAGCTCACTTGCCAGCCATGGTCCCAGAAATGTTGCGCCCTATAGGCAATATCAAAATTTATCAAAAATAACCTAAGAAATAGGTTAACGCTACAATACAGTGCATTCGGAAAGTATTCAGACCCCTTCGCTTTTTCCACATTTTGTTACGTTACAGCTTTATTCCCCTCATCAATCTACACAAATTAGCCCATAATGACAAAGCGAAAACCGGTTTTTAGAAATGTTTGCAAATTTATAAAAAATACTAAACAGAAATAACTTATTTACATAAGTATTCAGACCCTTTGTATGCGATTCGAAATTGAGCTCAGGTGCATCCTGTTTCCATTGATCATCCTTGAGATGTTTCTACAACTTGATTGGAGTCCACCTGTGGTAAATTCAATTGATTGAACATGATTTGGAAAGGCACACACCTGTCTATATAAAGTCCCACAGTTGACAGTGCATGTCAGAGCAAAAACCAAACCATGAGGTCG